ATCCCGAGCTTCCTGGTTCAGTGTTGCAGGACGCCGGATACTCGATCTCGGTGTTGGCATTATCTCGTTTTCATGCTACCTATCCCCTTTAATGACATCGTCTTCCCATCCTTCCGTTCCCCGAAAATGGCCCAAAAATGCAGAAAAAAGAAATTAGAGAAAGAAACTCGAGTGTCCAGGTTGGTGATTGGTTGATGCAGGCTTTGAGCAACCTTGACCTGGTATACAATATCATTATTTGGATGTCATCGACAATCACCTCATAATCATTTCCTAGACGATGGGGGAAGATGCGGTGTTTCTGGTGTCTTCTTATTCTATTCATCTACTTACGGCGAACGTGGTTATCTGTTTCGAGTGATTAATCTGCGGTTTATTTGTTATCTCCTAACGCATCTGTTCTTCATATTATTCGATTCCTCTGTCGATTGATTACCTTACTCCCAAGATGATTGTCTATCTCGATACAATACTGGCTTGCGGGCAAGTGAAATAATGGCTCAGGAAGCAGGAGACAGACACTTTTTGGAATGAGTAGGTAGCATTTCCGTGTCCGCTATGATAAACGCGTCATGTATGGTATGGGGAAAATTGGGACTTTCTTTCATCTCTTCAAACCAGCTTGAACAAATACAACATCTCATCTACTAATATGGTAACATAGGGCTTGGATTAGCCTGTACATCTATAGCGAGGTAAATTGTCCATGCTAGACAAATGCATTGGGTATAATGTAATCCAGTAGAAAGTCGAAAGACAAAAAGGACAGAAAGGGTCAAGGACTTATAGATTATCATATCGGTATACTGTACATCTCTTGTCTTTCGGTGTATCCATATATCATAGCAAGGTAAGCTTCGACTGCCTTTAGCAGGCAGGGAAGTAAGACTTTATTGCTCCGGCCCCGGGGTATCATGATGTCTAGTAGTAGGAGGTATATGGTTCGCTTCTGAGTCAAGTGCTCTCCGCTCCCTGGCGCTTCGCCGACTACTCCCCGTTCCCGTCCCCGCCCCCGTCCCCGTCAGACGGGCTAAGTACTGCATTCCCGTCCTCCAAGCTCCAAGCGCGTTCCTCGAACCGGCGAGAAGACGGCCTGTTGCTGACCTCGAGTCGGGCGATGTGTTTTCTGGCTGGTACTGGTAGTGACCGCCTGACTCCGGAAGTGAGGTGGTCGATGAGGCTGTACCGTATCCAGTGAGCGTGGTTAGCGCTCGTCGCTTCGGGAGTAATAGGCGCTGTTCGGGACCCGGGCCTGAGCCCGAGAAGGATGTTCGCCGCGGTTGAGGCTGCGGTTGTGATCTGCTGCTAGCGGCATCGTTTTGAAACCGGCGTGGGAGTCTTAAGCTCCAGCCTGAGCCGGAGCCTGAGCCTGATGAGAAGCGGAAGGGGGCTCCGCTTTTGCTTCGTGGGCGGGTTTGGATTGGGTCGATCGAGAAGCGGGTCAAGAGGGAGGATCGCGCGCCTGTGGGGGCGTTTTCGATGTCGATATCGGAGTCTTCGAGTTCAGCCCAGATGGAGGCTGGGTCCATGTTTGTGGAGGAGGTCCGTTTGTGTTTGGACATTGTTGCGTAGAGAGGGAGGCTTGGGGCTCGCTGGCGCGTTGATTCTTGGAGCGGACGGGGACGGAGTAGGGGTTCGCGCTCGCCGATCCGTTCTTCTTCGTCGTCTAAGTCGAGCCTCACCGGACCCTCAGTGGTTTCGTCTATGGCGGCCATTCCGGGGCCTATGGCGGCTTGGGACGGACCTGAGACGGCCATAGTATGGCTGTCAATGTCTTCCAGTCGCCAGGAAAGACAGAGAACGCCTCCTAGGAGGATGACTGTACCCAATGCGACGAGCCCCGCGTGGAGCTTTGTGAGTCGCGACACTTGGCGGAAGTATATTAAGCCGTCTAAAATGGCGATAACGTTGTAAATGCAAAAGACAAACGGGTAGAGAATGCTGGTGCTGCAAAGCTTCAGACCCAGATGCAGGTAGTACAGTTGCAAGAGCGCAAGGCTAACCATTAAAAGCAGGATAACCCATGACTGCCAGCGATTGAACTGATTATGGCGATCCACGATTGTCCGGACCAGTAGCTCTACGGCCGACTTGGCTAGGAGGAGCGTATGGGCGGATAGAATGCCGCTTATCATCCCATAGCATAGTCCGCGTATGAGCCTAACTCGGTTATGCGTTAGATTGAGACGTGGTGCGTATGAACTTCGGAGCGTTGGGTGTTTTGAGCGAGAAGTGACGGCCTGTAGAACCTTCGATCCAGCGAAGATCACTATCGACAGCATGACCGTTCCAGCTACCCAGAGAATAAAACCCCGACCGCGGAGAAGTACGAGGAGCTGATTGAGGGTATGCGCTGGCTCTCCGATAGCTCCAAAGACCGCTATAAGAACCGCGCCGGCGCATACCAAGAGCGTACCTATTAGCGAGTATCGAGTGAAAGCTTCTCCGAGAATCAACGTAGCGAAGACGGTATTGAAAACGAGCCCCGACTGTTAGAATAGATTCAGTAAGGTTCAGCAGCTGGAGTTGGGATCACTGACAGCTTGGAGGGTAGAAAGCACAGGGAGCGGAAGCGTCGTGATCTGGATTGTACTCCCGACGATGTTTGAAACAACGAACATCATCATCCCCAGCTTCGGCAATCAGCATATGTATTAACCATATTTTAGGTCTGTAGTCCGTACCTGCCATCTCCGCCGCTTGAAAGGAGGCCGTCGCAGCTCGTATGGGTGCTTCTCATCTTCGAGAAGATGCGACTTGCGCTGGAGGGTGAGTCCGATCGCTTGCAGGCTAGTCGAGATCAACCCGACAAGAACCCCAATCTGCAATGCAGACTATCATCAGTCGTTGTACGAGTAATCGATCTATGTCCCAAAAGAGAGCTTACCGCGACACTCCCCTGGGGCGACAGGTCACCAAGATTGCCCATCACGGGGTAACTCCATGCATTGGTGGCAGTGTGGGGAGCAGACTAGACTCAGACACCGCAGGACGTTAAACAGGACGAGAGAAGATATAACGAGAATAATAAGCCATATTCACGTTATGTCGCAGAGTCTTGAAGTCGGAGAGAGGAATAAAAGAGGTCACAGAAAGCGAACGTTTCAAGGGGGTGGGATGTAGTGATCTCATGGCTGCGGGAAGTCTGGAGTTGAACCCGCCAAGTCATCCAAACCGACTAAGCAATGGCAGCCGTCCCCGACTGCACGCCGACTCTCCCTCATCACCCTAACTGCTTCCACTCTCACAACCCGCGCGGATATCACGATAGAACTGACTAGGTGACTATTCCCCTACCACCAAACTCCTTCTGACCTTACCACATGCTTCGTCCACGCCCGTGCTGCGGAACCCAACGCTAACCTGTCCAACCTCAACTCCAGACCGAGACCCGCGCCCACATTCCTTGTCCTCCTCTACCCCCGATACTAGCCGTGCTCGCGGTCTACTACATCAAGCAAGATGTCGCAAAGCCATGCTCTCTCCGACGACCAGGTACGGCGCAGCTCCAGTGAACAAACAGGCAGAGATGAAGCTCTCAAGCTCATGCACTCTCAATAACTAGGTGGCGGGGGAGCTCCGCAAGATGACTGCGTTCATCCGACAGGAAGCTCTCGAGAAAGGTCGCGAGATCCAACTGAAAGCCGACGAAGAGTTCGCCATTGAGAAGTCCAAGCTCGTCCGCCAGGAGACTGCCGCCATTGACACCCAGTACGAGAAGAAGTTCAAGCAGGCCGCCATGTCCCAACAGATTACCCGCTCCACCCTTGCCAACCGCACCCGTCTCCGCGTCCTCGGCGCCCGCCAGGAGCTTCTGGACGAGCTATTCCAAGAAGCCCGTGGTCAGATCTCCGGCATCGCCGCCAAAGATGCCAAGAAGTATCAGGAGGTGCTGCAGGCGCTGATTCTGGAGGGTCTCTATGCTTTAAACGAGTCGAACGTGGATGTCCGTGCCAGGAAGAAGGACAAGGACGCCGTCAAGAAGGCTATCGGGGAGGTGGAGAAGGAGTTCAAGAATGCGGTTGGCAGGGAAGTCAAGGTCAACTTGGACGAGGAGGAGCCGCTGCCCGATGACAAGTACGTATTGTCTTGTCCCGTATCAGATCTGAATTCACTTACTGACTTGATTTCCTAGCGCTGGCGGTGTCTCCATCATCGGTGGAAACGGCAAGATTGAAATCAACAACACCTTCGAGGAGCGACTGCGGCTACTCGAGATCGACGCCCTTCCTGCCGTGAGGGAGACGCTCTTCGGCAAGAACACTAACCGACGCTTCTACGACTAAGCTCTATATGCTCTTCTTGTTCTCAACGAAATCAGCGTGCCTCTTTTGATTTCAGCTTTGTAACTATGTAAACTTCCGTCTATTTGTCGTGGATTCCTTGACTATTCCCTAGGATATTAGCATACTATACACGGCGGTGTTTGTTCATAAGGAAAACTCCCTACAAAGCCTCTCCGAGTTTATCACTTAGGATGTCAAGCGTATACTTACGCACCTTCGAGTCTACTCGCCTTCCTACCATTGCAGAACGTTATCTACGAGGTAACGGAGGAAGGACTTGGAGAGAAATCGCTTCTAGTGATATACTATGCCCCCGAGGACCAGTGCATTCATATCTGATACTGGGCCTTTTCGAATGCCCGGCCTAAGGTATAAACGATATGAGTACATGCAGACGCTAGCGGCGTCGGGTAAATCGTGATAGATACCATAGGCAAACTATAAGGCATATTGAATGCGAATTGCCTAGCATCGGTCCAGTATCTTAAGAAAGCCGGCTCGTGCAATTGCGTTGGCCACGAAGGTCTGGTGGAGTATCCTCACGCGGGACTGGTAACATATAGGGAGACTGTATTGGATTCCATGATGGCGGAGTCTGCCCCAGGCGTAGGGTTGAGTAATGGGGGCGTCCACAGTCGTAGACAAGGGTGGGTGAGCAAGTGCTGCGCCATGCAGTACTTAGTCGATGCGCCGGTAATGTTCAGAAAGACGATCGAGTTCGCGGCGAGCTGCGGCATCGAAATTTATGCGTATCACAGGCAAGTATCTCACAGCTTCCAAGGCCTAGCTATCTCAGGTCTCTGGTTTATTGCTGAGAATAGTAACCTTCTTCTCCTTCTTCTCTGCTGGRGGAAAATTGATAGTAGTCTGGTTGTCTTCCTCTGGATCGTACTTGCCAAACAAGGAATTCTTTTCGCGCGGTTTCGTTCTCACGGAATAGAGGACGCGATAGTGAAGGGATTCCAGAGCCCCCTTTGCTAAAGTCCGCATGAGATGAGACGCACCCGAGTCTTCAATCGCGGAGAATATCTTCTTGATTCGATCAGCGAGCACGTCGACCTCTTTATTGTACTCGTCTTCCGCTCTCCTGTCGGGGAACTGGGTCTCGGACCATCCGGAGTCTATGATTATCTCAAGAAAGGTGGTGATAGATATGAGTTCGGCGTAATCGTACTGGGGTGCACCCTTTTTCTTCCAGCGCTTCACGTTGAACCGTGGATGCTTGAGGATATTGTTGATTCTGTTGACTTCTGCCTTTCTGTGCTGGGACCCAGGGCTGACTGAGAAATCCTTTGTTAAGAAAATATACGCCAGACGCCGTCTTAATGTTGCGATCCAGTCATTTGCTGGTGCAATGTGGTCCAAGAGTCGACTTTGCAGTTCTGCGTCTTGCAGGGTGGAATGGGCGATGTAGCAGATATTAGTTGCCTGCCCGTGGTTAGCGAGATCCTTCCTCGAAGGCCTTAAGAGATGTGAATTACAAGTTCATCAGCGAACTCAGCAGGGGTTTCATCAAGCACGGCAGTTATGGTCTGTTCTATGGCTGAGCAGAGCGTGAAGTCCTGAGTCAAGGAAGTGTCGAGTGGAAGACGGAGGAGATAATGCAGAATGCGGTTTCGGGTATCATCTGCGAAACTAGTAAACAATTAGCGGAGTTCTGCACTGTACCATATGGCTCGACTAACCGGGCTGCGGCTTCACGAAAGAAGTCAAGGACTGATAATAGAGCTGTGTAATGCGGAGGCTGTGACTCGGGAGCGTTGTCTATATATAGCGTTTAGCATACGCATAATTCGGAATCGACGAACTCAACCGACCTCGAAGATGTGTGTCTGGCACAATCAGGTCTGTCAAAGTCAAAGCCTCAGGCCTCGCACTCATATGCCAGAACAGGGTATCTATGTCTTCTGGCTGTATGAGGGACTTCATCCGTCCGGGCGACAAACGCTTTGAGGATTTTAGCTCCTGACATGTAGTATGTTTAAGTAGATTTGACAGACCTTTAATGCCCTACAGTAAGCATGTCTTAGATTATCCCGGTTTTCAGAAGGTACTAAGTGATGTAAGTAAGAGCCCCTCAAAGAGAGAGTAGAAACCAACTGGCAAAAAATATCCACCTAACAAGCTCGTCGGCTATGAGGTCTTTCGAAATAGCATAATCAATAATGCCAGAATAAAAAGGTCGCTCTCGTGATTCAGGATCTAAAGTCTGTGAGTACCATGAAGAAAACATGTAGAAGTTAGAATACTAACCTCGTAGTACAGCCAAGTAAGTACCCGGGCAAACACACTCGCGAGGGAATTCCTGGGTGGGAGGTAGCTCCGTTTCAAGGTCGAAGAAGGACCAAGTTTTCTTCAATTCCAAAGCTTCCGTTCGTCGTACAGCATTAATGATACGCTGAAGCCCTATACTATCATCGTTACCGTTATCTAGTGCAGACGCAAGGACTTCTTCATTCAGGCCTCCCCCGCCTTTTTTATGATCATTGCGCGCGGCTTCAGCTTCGATTGAGGCCTTTATCTTCGTAATCCTAGCCTCGATCTCGTTGTCATCGACCGTTTGTATAACAAGATTATCCAGCGTATTCTTGTACTTTGGCGGTGCCATTTTCCATAAAGGAACACTCTTAACGTTCGGTGCCGGTCGATCCCGCATCGTCTTCGCCTCATCCTTGCCAGTTTGGGGGTTCGGAGTAGCCTTGGGCAGGAACATGGACAGAATGTCTTGGTGAGAATCAATCGATCCTATTGAGTCGGATTCGCTATCGGAATTGGTCACAAACTGCTTTCCATTTTTTGTAATACGCTGCGATGAGCTGAACGGGGTCCCTGTCCGCGAACTCTGGAAACTCGATTGCGGCGCTGGGTCATGGTCTGCTGCACCTGTCGGGGGTGTTTGGAAGCTCGACCGCGGCGCTTCATCATTCCCGTTTTGAGTTCCTGCGGACAGTAACAATGATCGTTTCAATTGCGCCGACGGGCCGCCCGGTGTGTCCGGGATTGTGACATCTGACGGCAATAGTTGTGATGAGAGTTCCGTGAGAGGTGAGGACTGCGGCGCGGGGTCTTCTCCCGGAGATTCGAGTCGAGTGTCTTGATCGGTCTGGGCAAACTTCGGACGCTTGAAGAAACTTGTGATTTTCTGTGGCGAAGACATGCCGTTTTGGTAGTGCGCATGCAGTTTTGACTCTCGAGCTTGATTTCCAGGAGTCTGTCGGACATCCACGTCGAACGCGTTAAGCGGATCGCGAAGTCACATGACCAGGGCTTTCTCTTTATACATGGTTTTTCACTGCTTTCCCCAACTGCTTGCGAAATTGGGACTGGTGAAACAATTACGTCTGATTAGAGACTCTTCAAGGGCTTTTTCTGCGTCAAAGTCGTTGTTTGAGCAAGGACCTCAGGGCATCCTGTTACTTCCTACGATGAGCTAACCGTTGACTTCCATTTGCAGCCAGGCCGCATTGATACAGTGTCCTTCAGGGTACCTACCATTTTTCCAATGACAGGCTGAGTATTTCACCACTGATTTATTGAGCAACATACGTGCGGAGAACGGGTTTCACATGGTTGTCGTGCCTTCTCGAAACGCGAAATATATACAACTCGACGGGGCGGGAACAGGAATATGAACTCGGAGGTGAATCTGGCAAAATACATAGCCTCGTGGGTGAGAGAAGTTACACTGTGACTTATAGGCAAAGCTGCCAGAGCACATGCATGTGCTCTATATAGAACTATATTCTTATAGACATTGGAAGGCGCCCAGGGACCCCGGGCGGCCGTATCATTTCTCCTGATTAGGAACAGCCTTGCGGGAACTTGGTCCCGGCCCCTCTTTGCGTCGATCTTCAAGTATTCCATCTCCACCAAACTTCAAGATTCATCATTTTGCCCCGTCTCTTCCAGTGGTGCGACAGGCTAAAGTTCCGGATGACACGAATATTCTAAACATAGTGAAGCAACCGGGCTGTGCTGCTTATGAATGTACGTAGGGATTTGACAACAGACTGTATGTAAGACAGCTTGATAGGCTGCCGTATATGCTGGTCTGTTCGAGGTGAGGCAGTGTTGTGCTGACAGCGCAGTGCAAATATTTATTCGTGAAATCAATCAAACCGGCTTCAAGATAACAACCTTAGACCCGATTCCAACGTTTTCGAGCAAGGGTAAAATCACGATGTGCTTGGGGTACGCGTTATATGGAGCCACGCTATACGTAATTCGGAAACCTGGCCAGTGCATTCAAAGAGGCGGAACCGAATACTCATCCGGACGGAGTACGGATAACCTTGGAAGAATCTGATCCCGAAGAGAGCAGATCTAATTGAGTCCAGTAGATACCCCAAAGGCCAAGGTCCAAAAGGGGACAGGGGAAGAGCAGCGTGCACTCAGGACTCCGAATCCCGGAACGGCCGAAATTCACTGAGACGAGTTGTGATCTTGATTCATGAAGCATGATAGACTAGTGAAGCGATCCAGAACCAACAAGCTGTAAACAGTAAGGCGCCAAAGCGGACTGTCATGTTGAAAGCCTAAATTTCCGGCTAGAACCCCTTTTGAGTGCCTCGACCTCTTGTAGAAGTCCAGATCGTATCACTGCTTGTCGCTGGCGCTGAGCCTGGATATCTCGAAGCCCAAGAGGATGTACTTCTTATGTAGAAAAGCCCAGGATTTACAGACATGACTGTGATCGAACGGCTCACTGCGATAGGTGGAGTGTTTCGCGTCACCATCCACGATGGCCCGTAGCTAGGCAAGGTCTAGTCGGTTTCAGCCTGAAGACTTTAAGTATGGAGCCAATTGATATCAACGTCGTATTGTATACATCCTCCGTAATTTAGCGCCAGACAAAGGGTCCGCGGCGCCGGAAGAGCCGGCTCTCGCTGGTTTTATGTCGAGGATCTGAGCACGAACAACGCGCAAAATCAAATCGAGATTCTAAGGCGTGCGGATCTTTTGGTTCGACCGAGTGTAGAGGCCGAATTTCCGGCAGAAGTACGGAGTAGTACGCACCTCAGTTCGGATGATGAACCGTTGCTGATTAATTTCTTCATTGACGTCCATGGCGGTCGCCTCCAGGCTCCATCTGTACTTCGTACCGAGCTTTCGGTTCCAATGCGAACAATGATGCCCGTACCGGCGCTCCGTCGCAGGGCTGTTGCCACAATTCCGCTTGAGATTTTGCGTGGGAGCCATATCCTGTCATTGCCAGCTTGGATGAGGCTGGGCCGCAGGTCCTCGTGGAGATCCAGCCTGTGGTAGGTATGGTAAGCTGGATACACTCAAGATTACCGGAAGTGATGGAACCCCAGTCCGATTCAGCTGCAAGGTGAGACTCGAACTTGTACCCCAAGCATGAATAATGTCAGATGGATTCAAAGTTCAAACCGAGTTGCGGAAGGAGTAGACTTCTGTCGAGAGCCCAGGTCCAGGATACAGCGGCACTTTGTGCAAAGGAGAAGAGCACGGAGTAAAGGCGTCATAGAAATGTATCCTCCCGAATTAAATTAAACTCATATAGATTGCGGAGGATAGATGATTGATTGGGCTTTATGTAATAAAGAACAGCAACCAACGGTGCTTACCAAGAATTGTGCCGCCCAGGATGGTATTATTGCTGTGGTAATGTCCACGTTCCCGCGCCTTGGGGGAGCATTGTCAGCCTGTGCTCCCGAAATGCTCACTGTCCTTAACAGTGGTTGCTCTCTCAATCTTTCCCTTTCCCCTCCAGCTCTCCCAACTGCATGAGGATCGTTCCTCACGATACCCCTGCATTCTATATATCTTTCATTTAGCATATTCATGGCTCATGGTGTTTGAATCTCTTCGTTCGTTCCTCATTTTTCCCCTCCAGCCGCCTTTCCCCTGTGTTGTGCCTACCACCGAACGTCGCCGGCCCGTCTCGACGCCCACCTCGATCGCCTCTTAACATTTGGCCGCGCCCTGGCGGATTCCCATTCATAATATCCTGCCTTACTTTGCATCGCGCGATATTCAGAACGAGTGTATTGGGATCCTGGTTGCGCTGCCGGGTTCGGCTCGTTGGAGCGGAGGCTCCATAATATACTCTTCACGCTTGATTTCGCGCGTCGACGTCCTTTGCGAGCGACCTTTAGCCCAGGATGGCTTCACCCAACCCCGAGCCGGATAGGCTCGAACCTCCACCACCTCCAATTCAACAGACGGACAGCAACATTTCAACGCCGACGAATCGCCAACGATGGGCGACTCATCGAGCCTCCACTGCCGGAGGTATGCGGAAACGCGTTTCTATCATGGATCGCTTTCACAAGCGCCAGGAAAACCGAGACGAAAAACGAAGATCTACTGCGGCCAACTCGGCGGCAGAGCCACCGGCACCCACAAGCTCAGGCGAAGGAAATAGGAAGGTCTATGTCAACGTTCCGCTGCCTGAATCTGAAAGGGACGAAGATGGTCATCCCTTAGCGAATTATCCGCGGAACAAGGTCCGCACTGCAAAGTATACGCCCATAACCTTCGTCCCGAAGAATTTGTGGTTCCAGTTTCAAAACATCGCCAATATCTATTTCTTGTTCATCATTATCTTGGGTGTAAGCTTCCCGCCATCTCTTTTTGATAAGCTGATTTCGCAGTGAGCAGAGCTAATAGTATGTGACCGCTAGTTCTTCTCAATATTCGGTGTTGACAACCCTGCCCTCAATACGGTACCTCTAATTGTCATCATTGTGGTTACGGCTATAAAAGATGGCATTGAGGATTGGCGTCGGACAGTACTTGACACCGAGCTGAACAATTCGCCTGTATACCGGTTAGTCGATTGGCACAACGTGAATTCTACCGAAGATAGTGTATCCTTGTGGCGACGCTTCAAGAAAGCCTGTACTCGCGGGACGATCTGGACGTACCGGAAGCTCAGAGACGCGTTCTCAAAAGACAACAAGAACGAAGACTCCGCGTTCACCGAGAGGCGCGCTTCGTTTTTAACGACTGCGTCTCCCAGGGCATCAATGGAATCGGATCATGGCGATCACGGTCAGGATGAAGCCATTCAGATGACCCCTGTCTCTTCCCCAGTTCCCGATGCTCGCTCGGACTGGCCTCTTCCCAACCCGGAACCAAGCCAGTACCTTCACCCGGACAAAGCCGCTCGTCGTGCTAGTATTGCGCCTTCAGATAACTCGTTAGCTGCGAAAAAAGCTGGCAGTGTGGTGGATATGTCCAAGCAGATAGTTGGCAATGCACGGTTCAAACGTGACTACTGGAAAAGTCTTCAGGTCGGTGACTTTGTGCGACTCTATAATGGGGATCCCATTCCTGCGGACATTGTGGTGCTGTCAACATCCGACCCAGACGGCGCGTGCTACGTGGAAACGAAGAGTCTCGATGGCGAAACTAACCTGAAAGTTCGGCAAGCCCTCCATTGTGGCCGTAAAGTCCGTCACGCGCGCGACTGCGAGAGGTCGGAGTTTATAATTGAGAGCGAAGCTCCTCATCCCAACCTGTACGCCTATAACGGCGCCTTACGCTGGGACCAGCGCGATCTTGATTACCCCGATGCGCCTCGGAAGGAGATGGTGGAACCGATTACAATCAACAATCTGCTCTTGCGTGGCTGCTCACTGCGTAATACTGAGTGGGTGCTAGGTGTTGTTGTTTTCACCGGCATTGAGACAAAGATTATGCTTAACTCCGGCGAAACGCCTAGCAAACGCCCTCAGCTTGCCAAGGATCTAAACTGGAACGTTATCTACAACTTCATTATCTTGTTCATAATGTGTCTCGTTTCCGGCATCGTTAACGGTGTGGCGTGGGGTTCAGATAATAGGTCACTCAAATACTTTGAGACACCCTATGTTAGCTCTCCTGCGGTGACCGGTATCATTACCTTCTGGGTCGCCCTGATTTTGTTTCAGAATTTGGTGCCAATTTCTCTCTACATTTCGCTTGAAATCGTCCGCACAGCCCAGGCCATATTCATCCACAGCGACGTTTTCATGTATTATGAAAAGCTTGGTATTGCCTGCATACCGAAGTCTTGGAACATATCCGACGATGTGGGGCAGATCGAGTACATATTCTCCGACAAAACCGGCACATTGACTCAAAACGTCATGGACTTCAAGAAATGCACCGTAAATGGTGTATCCTACGGCGAAGCATTTACAGAAGCCCAGATTGGTCTTGTCCGACGAGAAGGGGGCGATGCCGACGCTGAAGCTGCACGGGCTCGCGAAAAGATTGCCATGGATACGACCAAGATGATCAAGTTGCTCCGACAAGTGCATGACAATCCATATCTCCGTGACGAGAACTTAACCTTCATATCCCCAGACTACGTTGCAGACATGGATGGCCAGTCAGGCACAGCCCAGAAACAGGCCACGCAACATTTCATGCTTGCTCTTGCCGTCTGTCATTCGGTGATTACCGAGCATACTCCTGGCGATCCGCCGCAAATTGAGTTCAAGGCGCAATCACCTGACGAGGCTGCTCTTGTTGGCACAGCGCGTGACTGTGGCTTCACGCTGCTTGGGCGCTCGAATGACGACCTCATTGTGAATGTCATGGGCGAGGAACGTACGTACACCGTTCTGAATACCCTCGAGTTCAATTCAACCAGAAAGCGAATGAGTGCAATCGTCCGCATGCCTGATCGCAGTATAAGACTCTTCTGCAAAGGCGCAGATAGCATCATTTATTCGCGTCTTGCTCCAGGCAAGCAACAAGAGCTTCGGAGGGAAACAGCAAAGCATCTCGAGACATTCGCGCGCGAAGGTCTAAGAACACTTTGCGTTGCAGACCGAAAGCTTTCAGAAGAGGAGTATCGGGCATGGAGCAAGGAGCATGACATTGCCGCAGCTGCACTCACAGATCGCGAAGAGAAACTCGAAAATGTCGCAAGTTCCATAGAACAGGATCTCATGCTAATTGGAGGTACCGCCATTGAAGATAAGCTGCAGGACGGTGTACCTGATACTATATCCCTGCTGGCCAATGCAGGTATCAAACTATGGGTGCTTACTGGCGATAAAGTGGAAACTGCCATCAACATCGGGTTTTCTTGCAATCTCTTGACCAACGATATGGAACTTATCGTTTTCAATATTCCCGGAGACCAGCGGCAGCAGGCTTCTCGGGAGTTGGACGAACATCTACGCAAGTTCGGGCTTACGGGATCGGATGAAGAGCTTATTGCTGCGCGAGAGGATCATACCCCACCCGAAGCGACTCATGCTGTTGTTATTGATGGCGAGACGCTAAAGTTGATGCTCACGGACGAGATGAAGCAGAGATTCCTCCTCCTTTGCAAGCAATGCAAATCTGTCCTGTGTTGCCGAGTCAGTCCCGCCCAGAAAGCAGCTGTCGTCAAGCTAGTGAAGGACGGTCTTAATATCATGGCCCTCTCCATTGGTGATGGAGCTAATGATGTCGCCATGATTCAGGCGGCTGATGTTGGAGTCGGTATCATCGGTGAAGAGGGTAGGCAAGCCGCCATGTCGGCGGATTATGCCATTGGGCAATTCCGATTTTTACAGCGTCTTATCCTTGTTCATGGTCGCTACTCCTACCGACGCTTGGGAGAAACGACTGCCAACTTCTTTTACAAGGTGAGTGCCTCTGCAGGTACTACTACGAAGTACTCAGCTAATCGTCCTCAAAGAACTTGGTTTGGACTTTCGCGCTCTTCTGGTACTCGATCTACAACGACTTTGATGGCTCCTACCTGTTCGATTACACTTATATCATCCTGGTCAACCTTGCTTTCACGTCATTACCCGTCATCTTAATGGGAATATTCGACCAGGATGTCGATGACAAAGTATCGCTCGCCGTTCCTCAGCTGTATATGAGGGGAATTGAAAGGCTGGAGTGGTCTCAGACGAAGTTCTGGTATGTATCGCCCATCGTTTGTCCGTTTGAGATACCGAGCTAATTTGGTACAGGCTGCACATGGCTGACGGCTTCTATCAATCGGTCATTTGTTACTACATGCCATATCTCCTGTACGAGCCAGCGAATTTCGTCACTGAGAACGGGTTAGACGTCAGCGATCGCAATCGAATGGGTGTTTTGGTCGCTTCTTGTGCCGTTATTGCCAGTAACACCTACATACTCATGAACACCTATAGGTGGGACTGGTTGACGGTGCTGATCAACGCGATCAGTTGCTTGCTTATCTTCTTCTGGACTGGAGTCTACTCATCTGTCCAAGCTTCCGCCCAATTCTATGGAGCCGCTGCTCAGACGTATGGGACACTATCCTTCTGGGTCATCCTTCTCTTGACAGTCACAATATGTCTTCTTCCTCGGTTTGTGGTCAAGTCCGTCCAGAAGGTGTTCTTCCCGCTTGATGTCGACATTATCCGTGAGCAAATCACGCAAGGCAAATTCAAATATCTCGATGAGTTTGAGACGTATGTCCCCAAGGCAGCTGGTTCTGCGAACGGTTCTGCGGCGTCCTCTGACCTGGGGAAGCCGGTCGATTCTGGTACGAGGCAAAATCCTTTTTCAGATGATCAGCAGATCTATGCGGAATCCGTTGCCCCGACGGTTCGTACGCATAATCCGCGCGGCCAGAATGGTAGTAACGGAACCACCTATGCTTCTAGTATTGACACCACCCGGCATGCCCACCCGCAGGCAGTCGATTACGTACGATCCTCAGCCGAACGGACACGACACTCATTCGATAGAGCCCGACAGAGCTTCGAAGCAGCCGATGGCTTCACCTCCGCCAACACATTGACGCGAGTGGAATCGTCCCTGACAACAGGCGCCCACCGGCCGCAAAGCCCTCATAGCCCGCTCAAGTCGAACTGATCCCCCACCATATCCCTCCCGAACCCCCATCTTGACTCTTCCATTTACTAACATCATGTGTTTGACGGCTCCATGTCGGTTTCTTGCCACTGCATTCTGATCTGTTTCTTATCTTTGTTTGACGAGTAGTCTTCTTCTTCTTTGCTTGTCGCACCATTTGTCGATTCCCCGATAGAAGGCGTTCGGTATACACATACGGGTGGTTGGGTGCAACTCTACTTTTTTCTTATACCTATTATTCCCACACGAGTTTTTTCCACATCCTTCCCTTGTCCCTGCCCTTGATTGCTTTGCGGCATACAGCTTTGCTTAACCTTCTCTTTACCCTTTTCTTTCCTCTGTACAAAAGCTTCTTCTTGCGGACGCATCCTGGCCTCCAGCTCCTGTCACAGCTGCGCTTGATAATCTTTCCTTCTTATAAATAGTTTTTGATTGATAGCGAGTCTGGTTACGTCGGAGTCTATCTTGGACAAGAGAGGCGCATGTGAAAAAGACGTCTATGGACGATAATGTTTTCTGCAGATTCTTCAGGGACACGCTTAATCATGGGTATCCATTCTCAGAGCACTGTATTACTTCCCTGGTATTTTGCGGAACCTCCTTGTGAGCGACATAGCTCCCCCGCGCGGACCTAAAGGCGCGTTGGCGCGTAAAGTGGTATCTTGGCGTGTCTCACCGCCTTCATCAATTCCGGCAGTAAATCCGCCCTTCGCCAGTAATTAATTTCTTTTCCCAGTCAACTTCCGGAACCTGAACCTCGTTTGCCTCATCTGGGAGGTAAACCACCCCGGAGCTCTCGATCCACTAGAGATAACTTAGTGCCGACTATAGATTGGTTCCTCTACGCGGCGGCGTACTCTCAATATACGGAGCGCGCCCGTCGCAACGATTTCGAGGAGCCAAGCTACTATGGTCTAAGCTGCTTCAGTAAACGCAACTCTGTCCATCAATCTGCACCATAAATTGATTATCCTCTCACTTCTGTAACCCTTCTGTTATCGGAGGAATGTGTCACGACCTTTTGCTTGCCTATGGAAGACGTCAATTCAGGTTTGTTTGCAGATAGCCATGGAGTTCATGAAAACTATCGCGTAAGGACCGAGCAGATGCCCTTTGCTTGCCTCTCATTTTCTGACTTTATACTAAACAACTCTCTACGATCAGGAAGCTTCAGGCTCTCCCGAGCGAAATCCACATCTTATGTCCGCGGCAACATGACGACGACCACGCGCGATACGATGACCTGAACGAGAAGCACGAGTCAGGAAGAAGCGTCGCGGAATTGGTGGCCGAAGCCAAAGAACGCAGAGAAGAGTTCCTCTCTTGCATGCGGATTCTGGCGTATAACGAGGAAGTTGAGGAGTTACAAAAATGGATTTGGCAAAAGATCGATGACGCGCTGGAAAGGTGTGACCTCTGCATCAAACAATACTATATCGGAAAGATATGGCTCATGGAACAACTGAAGGAACAGTATGACGATGAAGACATCGAAAAGTTTTCTCGCATGCTCGATGAATGTGACATCAAACGGATAAAGAGAAACTTGTCGACAGCTACTGCTACATTACGACCATTGCCACCAGATCAGATTGGGCTACACGTGCTTGACAGGGCGTCGTTATTATCCATATTCGAGACATTGAGTTGCGATGCTATGCTGCGCAATGACAGCTTGCTGACAGAACATTTTGATGAGCCTTTCAGGTTAATTCAGACCAAACGCACTCTCAAGGTCTCCGACTACATCCCAGCAGTCACTCGTTTTCTCTTCAGTACCAATCAAGGCCGCAGCTTCTGGGCCATTCATTCTTGGATGCGGTACCAGCGACCTCCGACTGCGACGGAATTTGACTGGGCAATTAAGGAAGGACTCCTTGATGCGTTAAGGGTGGCGTCTCAACAAGGGCAGATAGCCGCGGTCCAGCGGCTCTGGCGTGGCATGCAGCTTATTACCAAAAGGTTGGATAAGGAGCAAATCACACACAGTCTACGCGCTCTCGAAATTGATCCTTGTCGTCTCTCCGTCGAACACCTTGCCATCCAATCCCCTAGCTTGCGTTTCACCCTTAACACCGTCCAAATCTTCCTAGAAAAGGCACCGGGAGATTTCTGGGACGCAATGCAAACAATATCGCCACAGGCCATCGTTGAAGTTGTTTTCTATAACCCCCAATTAGAGGCGTTCCTCATGCAAGCTACGGAGGGTGAGGCCTACGAGAAATCAGCTATGAAGGATATGCTATCATGGGTCAACCCGTTCATGTCATCTCTGAAAGGGCCTCATCAGCCTACAGCATGCAGATCTCTTGTCTACCAACTCATTGATCGGCTGCAGGATCAGCGTTTTCCGAACTTAGCGAGGTATCACTGCTTCGATGTCGGTCTGCTCAGTCTGCTCCATACGCTTCGCAGTTTTACCGATCATGAATCATCAAGAGAATCGGTAGCACGCGTTGTTCTATCCGAGACCTTAGGGGTTGTGAGCGAATACATCAATACAATTCTCAAGCCTCCGCAATTTGCTGTCGAGCAGGGGCGACAGCGTGCAATCAAGTCACTTTGCATGGATGTCATTCGCAACACATTAGCGTTGGAGTGTCAGTCTCTCAAGAGTGATTACGAAGTTATCCTCAAGCATGGTGCTCTTCAGCATGGTGTGAGCACATATTCTTCCCACATCTGGGATGCTGTCATTATACACCTTCATGAAGATGATTTAGCTCTATCGACATCTGCGCTGCTTGGCATCTTACCGCTGGTTGGCCTAGAGAAATTTTCCTTGAAAGAAGGGACGAAGCCGGAGAAGACACATTTTAACACCATATATGGGCATCTTACTCATATCTCGTGCCAAATTATCGAAAGGCTGGCGGATTTCAAACCAGAACACCTTGACGAGCTTTTCAAGAGCCAAGACACTGGTAGTGCTCTTGTATCTACTCTCTTCGCAGCTGATCATAATACCTATCAAGCCGCTGTGGACCTGATCAAAAATGTCAGCGGTCAGTCTGCTCGCAGAGATGCAATCTCCCACCTACTACAGTCTTTTTTTACCACGACAATGTACGGGCTAAGCTGGTCCTTCCGAAGAATATCCAACATGAAGACGTTCGCCTCGGCTCCAAGAATGATACATACTGGTACAGACATTGTGGACATACTCTGTGATACCCAGACTGGTATCCTCAGAGCTCGCAAGCTTGTTGATCGTCGGGAGACGCTATCTCTTCAAAAGCTCTGGGAGTACCTCTGGCAGGCTTTGACAACCATCTTTGACGAAACGGAGGAGTGGCATCGACGAGGTAACGACAAAGCGGTGATGCTGGAATTTTGCCGCGACAGTATCCAATTCGCCGATCTTTTGTTTAGTCAATATGGCGTGTTTTTGAGCGCCGTTATTGACGCGAATCCTTCCCAAGAGGCTGCCGCTCGTGAAAACTTCCTTAAGCCTCCGACGGCGACAATGAGTGGGATGGCCAAGTGGCTTCGGCTCAAGGACGAGTATCTTGCAACGACATTGGTTGGGCTTGTGTCTAAGATTCTCCGCCGCCTGGGCGAACTGGATGTCACTACGTTGAAACAAGACGCTCTAGACTTCATTGAGGGTGTCGCGGTCAAAAGTACCGTCAAGACGATCATTACTCCTCGGGAAAAGGCCGAGCTTGTGAGAGCTCTGGAGGCATACTACAAGAAACCCGTGGTCACTGCGTCTACTGCTAGCCTCAAGAAGCAAAGTATGATTACGGCGTTCACTCAACCAGCCGACACTTCAGCTTCGCCAAGTCCTTCAAAAGCGACCGATGAATTCGACGAAAGCGATATCTCAGACAGTGTTCTGCTTCAACTGTCCCGGTCTGTTGAGCTAAGCAAAGAAAGATTTGGGGCAGCCGAAGCTAAACGAAGGGCAGAAAAGCCTATTGCAAAGCCACTTTCTGTTACGCCCAAGCCGGTTGCCTCTCCGGCTCCGTTGAAATCGAACTTGGCTATTCAATCCTTCCGCGAGAAACGAGAGAAAGAAAGAGAAGCCAAAAAGAAGCGTGACCTTGCCGAATTGGCACGTCTGAAGAAGAGCGCTCCAACTGGCGTCGCGGAGCAGACGGCCATGCAAGGTTCTGCCATTAGTGGGCTTGGGGTCCGAGGCAAGGACCACTCCGCTCCTGCTGATAGTATGATGGTATCTTCTGGCTCCGAGTCCGAGTCTGAAAGCGAAGACGAACTTGATAGGGAACTCTTTGGACCTAGAACAAGCTCAAAACCAGACGCCGTGAAGGCCTACGAAGAGAGCAAGAAGAAGTCATTGAAGATACAAGGCCCCGTCAAGAAGATCAAGCAAGTGCGCTCTGCGAAGGATATGCGTGCTCGACTAGCTCCGGACCTTTCATCTTTGCACCGTACTCTTCTGGCTTGGGATTTCTTTGCGAGCGGCGATCTACCTACCAACTCGGGACGCACGGATTATACTCTTGTGTCTAACGCCTTCCGAGACCCCATTGAGTATCAGAGGACTTTTGAGCCTCTTTTAATCCTTGAAGCTTGGCAAGGCTTTCAAGCCTCGAAAGAAGAAGGGGGCTTCAGGTCTTTTGAGATCAAGGTCGCAACCCGTCTGTCTGTAGACTCTTTCGTGGAAGTCAGCACGAATATGCCTGGGATGGACGCCAAAGACACCGGTGTCTTTGAAGCGGATCTGGTCTTGCTCTCCAAAGCGAATAACCCTACAAATAATCCGTCCGCACCTCACTGTTTAGCCAGGGTTGCTAATATCACCCGGAAGAAGGGGATGGTTGAGGTTTCTTACAGGGTCAATCCTGGTCATCCTTTCATCAACACACTGAGCCCTGGTGCAACAATTTTTGGAGCAAAGATTACGTCCTTAACGCCGCTTGAGCGTGAATTCGGTGCTCTTATGGCTCTTCAATACTACGACCTTTGCGAAGAGATTGTCAGAGCCAAGCCCTCGCCTATTCTCAACTACTCGGATGCGAGTCTCAACCCTATTGCGGATAACTACAACGTCAACCCTGCTCAGGCAAAAGCTATAAAGTCTGCTATGGACAATGATGCGTTTACCTTGATCCAGGGACCTCCAGGTTCCGGAAAGACAAAGACCATTGTGGCTCTGGTGGGTGCCCTTTTAACAAACGCCCTTAAAGACCAAGGGATTGCGATAGCTCGCCCCATAGCGGCAAACAACGCAAGGCCCGCAGCACGGACAACGACCTCGAAGAAGCTCCTCGTATGCGCGCCTAGTAACGCTGCCGTTGATGAGTTGGTTATGCGATTTAAAGAGGGCGTCAAGACAATCCACGGTCGTCACGAGAAACTGTCAGTTATTCGTCTAGGAAGGAGTGAGGCAATCAACACTAACGTCCTGGACGTTACTCTCGACGAACTAGTCAATGCTAGACTGAAGCAGACTTCCGGCGAAAAATCAGGCGAAACAGATCTACAGAAGATCTACATGGAGCACAAGGCTGCAGACACAGCGTTTAAAGAAGCTCGCTCGAGAATGGACCAGTGCAGAGCGCAAGGCCTTGCCGCCCCTGAAGAGCTACAGCGCGAGTTCGATCTGCTCAAAAAGAAGAAGACGCAACTGAGTCACCAAATCGATAATGCCAGAGACAAGAATCACTCTGCGGCCCGCGATGCCGACCTCAATCGAAGACGGATCCAGCAGGAGATTATTGACGGGGCCCATGTCATTTGCGCCACGCTCAGCGGTAGCGGACATGAGATGTTCCAAAACTTGAGCATCGAATTCGAGACTGTTGTGATTGACGAGGCAGCCCAGTCCATCGAATTGAGCGCCCTCATTCCCTTGAAGTACGGATGCTCCAAATGCATTCTTGTTGGAGACCCGAAGCAGCTGCCACCTACAGTTTTATCAAAGGTCGCGTCAAAGTATCAGTATGAACAGAGTCTCTTCGTCCGCATGCAAGCGAATCATCCCAACGATGTCCATTTGCTGGATACCCAGTACCGTATGCATCCAGCGATCAGCATGTTCCCGCGTACAGCGTTCTACGAAGGCAGGTTACAAGATGGTCCGAATATGGCTAAGCTGCGTACTCGCCCTTGGCATCAAAGTGAGCTCCTCAGCCCGTACCGATTCTTTGACGTGCAGGGTCTCCATCAGAGTGCACCAAAGGGCCACTCATTGGTCAACTTGGCAGAATTGAAAGTTGCCATGCAACTCTATGAGCGCCTTTTGAAGGATTTCCGGGAATACGACTTCACCGGCAAGATTGGTATTATCACTCCGTATAAAGGACAGCTAAGGGAGTTGAAGAACCAATTTGCTAACAAGTACGGGAATGCTATTTTCAACATGATCGACTTCAACACTACGGATGCTTTTCAAGGTAGGGAAGCTGAGGTTATTATTTTCTCTTGTGTCCGGGCTTCAAACAAAGGAATTGGTTTCTTGTCCGATATCCGTCGTATGAATGTCGGTCTGACCCGCGCGAAATCCTCGCTTTGGGTTCTTGGTAATTCGCAATCGTTAGTTCAGGGAGAATTCTGGAGAAACCTGATTACAGACGCCCGCCAGAGAAACGTCTACACTAATGGCGATATCCCGAGAATACTTGAGAGGCCGCAATTTACTGGTTATAAGAATGTGGAGATGGCGGAAGCCGAATCTCCAGGGCCTTCAAGAGCCCCTTCCGCTTCGTCTATTTCTCGACCACCCTCAATCTCACTTGAGAACCTCCCTTCCGAATCACCCGTCTCTGCAGCTGCGTCAGGAACAGGCACACCGATTAATAAACCGGATGGACCATCAGGTGGCGGCAACGGTTTGGACGAGACGCGCAACTGTGGAATTTGCGGTAGCTTCGCTCATATGACTCAGAATTGCGATAACGAGGAGTCGAAGGAAATGGCTCGCGGCAATACTACCTGCTTCAGATGCGGCGAGGCCGGCCACACTAAGTTCAACTGCACGGCAGAACGTTGCAGAGAATGTGGCCAATTCGGCCACAGTTCGCATACTTGCCGCTCAACCAAGGTCCTGCCCAAGCATGAAAAGGCCAAGATAGCGAGGGAGGAACTACACCATTCCCGTAATCAAACACAGCGCGTCGAAAAGCAGCGGCTGAAACAATTGGGTGGCCACGATCCCAAAGTGCCTACTATCGCGGTCTCCACGAACAAGCCGAAGCCTCAGGGCCCCGACGGCTCTGGCAAGCGCAAACGTACAGATTCGCCATTGTCTGATGGATCGAAAGGCCCTCGGCCGGGCAAGAATAACCAGGGTGCACCTCCAAATGCGCCAAATGGCCCGAAGAGTCAGCGGCGGAGGGTCGAAGCAAATATTCCACCTCCAAGCACAGAGGTAAGTGCATGATGCATTGACTTCGGGATGGTCTGGTTTCGGTTTTACTAACCCTATCCAGAATCTGATGAAGCCTTCGCGCGATGGGCCAGCGTACGCTCCGTTAAGCAGTAGCAAATCAATCGGTGGTCCGCAGACAGGCCCAGGTCCCACGAATGTATGTTCAGCACCTCGCCTCGGAAGTTCCAAACTGAACGTTGCTAACCTGCCCGCTTCTCATAGCTTCCTCCTCGGCCACCACCACAGCGACCAGGGAACGGAGTGCGACCGCCGCTACCGCCCATGCGCAAGAAGAAAGACGCCGACCCATTCATACGGCCGAAGCGTCGATAGAGCAGCGATAGAGCGTCGATAGGCATCATCGATGGGCATATCGTCCGCTTCATATAAATCTCCCTTACATACACACATACATTCATGCAGCAACTGAAACGAGCGTCAGAGCTGCCCCTTGCGCCCTTACTTTCACTACTTCCCGCATACGTACTCTTCACGTTACACAACCATTCAACATTTCCCCGGGGTCCTTTTGTCTCAGAGCGTTACTGGACAAGCCCAGGCATTGTTCCTTGCATGTTTGCAGGGAGCTGTCGTGGAGATGTATAGACTCAGTGCAGATGGTTCATTGTACATGCCATCAACATACGCATCAAAAGCATAATGTGGCGTTTGGGTTATCGCCGTTTTATTACTTGATTCATTGCATGACTTGCGGCAGACTGGCAGTGGATTGCATGGCAGATATTGAAGGAGGGCAGGGAGGCAAACTTCATGTGCATATACCCCGTTGCTTTTCAAACAAGATGAGGTTCGAGATTCTTCGTAGAGACGATACGATCAAGGGAATATGGCTCGGAAATTGCCATAGAGCACGCTGGGGGACGATTACACTAGCTGAATTCTGGCGCCGTCGAGCAGCCGTTGAGTTGATTCGGACAAGTCCGTGCTCCAAAGGTTCTAACGGCTTTCATATTCTGACCCGTTGGAGCATAAAGGAAGCTCAAGGAACTAGATGAACTATGTGATCCTTCGCCGCGCACAGCCTATTCATCCTCGTATTTGCCGAGGCGAAGGCATTGCAACTCCGGCTCACTCGCCGCTCTCCAAGAACATATCTCCCCTGCCAGAATGCGTAACAAGCACGACTCGTGCGCACAAGCTTGGCGGGGGAGACATTACTCCATACTAAAGCAACGTCACTGCACTCCAATAATAATGGCAGACAATGAAACCTCTAGGGAACTGAGAACATGAGGTTGCATGACGGATAGATCGATGTTTCCCAGATGATCGCTGCAGGGAAGGGGCCTGTTCTTTTCTCCTGCCTATTCCAGCACGACCATTGGCGCCGTGTTCTCAATTTTGCAAATCATCGGAGGAACCCACGTCTATGGGCTCTTACTCGCCGTCTGATTGCTTCGAATTCTTCCTGCGGCTTCAGCCAACCAGAACAGAAGTTCGGCGACCGACTCAACAATAGCATTTGCCCTTCTAGGGAGTAAGTTCTTGGGGGAACAGTTGTTATCGTTGATGGTCGACTATCAAAGCGGTTCTCTGTCTTCAGAGATGGAGTCAAGGGCCTTCAATGATCTTCTTGAAGTTGTTAGTTTAATAAGGTGAAATCGGCTGGTGCCACCTATACTTAGTTGCCCAATATTGAGTTTCTTTGACAACGATCGAGTGGATCAGTCAGCAAGTGCAATGTGATCTGTCAAAGCCGCATCTCTGTCTCTTCAGCTTCCCCTCCATCGCGGCGTCAATCACCTCCGCCGTCTGATTGATTGATTGAATTTGACCGCTCTGCATTGCCTTATTATTATTATTATTCCTCCCCTCGATGTGGTTCACAGATCCACCCCGGTTTGCTCCCCCTGTTTGTGCATCTGTCACCAACACAATGATGAGGTCTGCCAGACTGCCACCATCCCATTGGCGTCAGTCCCGTGTTTGCCCAGGTTCCCCTCGAGGCCTGGCAAATCGGCCCTGGCTGGCCCATCCAGCTGCTCTAGGCTCGAGCGAGTCGTGCCTCCTAACCGGCTGATCAGTGAGCGACATCTGTCAAATCCTCTCCACTTTTTACTCTGATCATCGTCTCCAGCCGATCGATCCCTCATCTGTTCGAGCCGTTATATTGTCTTGAAGGCTCGATTGTGTTTTGCGGCAGCCACCGGAATTATTGGCTGCTATTGAACTCGCGTGTAGAAAACGGCTGAGAGCGAGTGCCAAAAAAAAAGCGTTATTCCATTGTGGTCTGTCCTCGAGAACAATGACAGACATCCCTTGCATCGAGTCCAGGGTTAACCCTGCCTTGTCAGGCCGGCTCAGGAACAATTCGAAAGCCAATGTCGCACAAAACCGGTCGTCCCATGCAGCTCGAATCGTGCGGTTAGCGAATTGCATCTGTGGGGAGGCCTCGGGTCTTCAGCTCTTCTCTTTGTTCGGGGGCGTGCGTCACCCGATTAATGAGTTAGGCCGCAGCATATGCCAGGGAAAGCTTTGACGAGGGCCTTTGAGTTCGAACTTTGAAGAGGACGGCCAAGTCCACACCTTTTAGCTCGATATTTCTCGGGGCCAACTTCCGAAGCAACGATCTATCAGCTCTCGAGACGGGATCTGCTTCAGAAGAAACTCCGGTGGAAGTTCGTCGCCAGAGTCAGGAAAATGATCGGAATTCAGGATCGCCCCTTAAACGTCTCGCTAGCTCTATTTGCTTTTTCCTTCGTGTCCACTTCGAGCGAAGCTAACTTCCCTTCTAGGCGACCAATAGCTCCATCGCTGCGCAGTAGATACTGCATGGTTCATCGCCAATGCATCCCCTCTGCTTGCCCGGCCCCCGATGGCTTCAAATCCTAGCACGCAGGAATAGTTCTTGCTTTCGTCCAACTTTATCTTGCAATTACCGAGAACGAGCTATGGGTCCCAATTGGTGCTGCATCATCTGTGCATTCTTGCATCAAGCGCTCATTTGACGAAAGATATCTCCGAATACATAAGATTATGACAGCGCTGATTCTCGAGTATACTATTCTTAAGCCTTGGCCAACCTACCATACTCTTTGTCACCGAGGCATTTTCTTTTGTCTTCACGACGCTAATTTCCAGAGTTCAGCCCGCAATCACGTTTCACTAGGTATCGTAGTTATCGGCCTCAATAAGCATCTGTCAGACCTTCCTCGGTTTGCCCACGCTCGAAACTCGTTGTCCCTCCTACGGTTGCTTATGACATTGACCATTCGATTGACATTTTGACAAACGACCAACCTCTTTCAAGGCATTCGGGAGAAGAATAACGTGCACAGTATTTCATTCTTTGACTCGAACAAACAACAGCCGTCGCGCGTACTCTCAAACGCTGAGTCTCCAGTTCGTTTTGACACCATTCAGGTTCTCCCTTGCCGGTGGCTTAGGCCCGGCCGCAAACCCTCATCCATGCAGAGGCGCAACGAGACCGGGTCGGTCTTTGAGGCACCGAGTCCGACAATCCCGACATACCGGCCCAGTTCGCAATCATCCAAACGCACGTACACTCTATCAGCACTTTCCCCAAAATATCAGCAGTACTTGTCAATGGCAGATGATATACATCCTTTGGACAGGGTACAACCAGACGACGAAAATGTCACAGAGATTGTTCACTTTCTCCAAACCCACGTATCCCCGCCTGCGCAGACGAACGGCCCAAAGGACATGATCAAAGCAGGACAGAGGCGCCTCAGATTGGCGCTCCGCAACAAGAAGGGAGCGGATTCAAAGGCGAAGGCGGAGGAGGCTTCTCGTCAACTTGCAGCACTTCAGCAACAGAATAATTTCCGGAGGTCGCAGTACAATAAATGGGGCAACAAGCAGAGTGTTGGTTCCTCGGCGTCGAGCTCCAAGTCTACCACGGATCTCAGTTACAAGTCAACCTCGAAACGGGATGTTGAGGGCATTGGCCGGCCCTGGCTGGATCACCCGTTCCATAGGAGGGACGAGCCGGGCTCGAAGGGAAGTAGTCATGTGTCGTCGCTGGATCTCCGTGATCTCGCATCGTTTGTTGAGGCAGCGGTGAATTTCTCCCAGAGTGAAGATTGCGAGCCTCCCCCGTACCAGCCTCAGTACGCAGCAGCTGCATCGACCATCGAGCGTATGCCACATCCCAATGCGCTGCCTAGATCCCTCGCCGTGGCCTCCGGGCCGGACGTGGAAGATATCAGTCGTAAGACTAGCGATGAGTTGTTTATTGCCCCACGGTGCAACGATTCAGCCCAGCCGTCGATGTCGAGCGAGAGGCCGAACGTAAGTATACTTACAAACTCACAGCCCCCGTCGGTTAAAGGATATTAACACCGAGCAGTACGAGACGCAACCTCTGGGATTGAAACCAAAGCGCAGCGGCCCAGTAGCTCCTAAGCTAGCTCCACCACCTAGCTCTAGGAGTTCGTCAGCACCAACGACACCAATTCTCAAACTCTTTCCTGACGCTGCAACCCCTCGCACTTCGAGCAGGCGAGACCTTCGTATCCCGACCAGTCGATCCTCGACGCCGAAACCGCCTTTGCCGCCTGTCTCCACGTCTCAGAACACTCCATTATTGCCTTCTGTTTTTGAGTCGAACAACCGCGAGCTTCGGAATTCGTCCAAGAGTCTACCCAAGATTCATGAACATGCTTCCGATGCACACGGTACAAAGCGGCCTTGTCCAACTGCGTCGGAACAGCCCTCGGCAATTGCTAGGGAAAGGCTCGACCCGGCGGATGCAGAAGCGAAGCAGGCTCGTCGTCCTTCGTCCTTGCCTCCAGGTATTATGGATGCCTTTCCTATGCCTGCGCCAGCCAAGCCTTTACCCACAGTGCCTGAACCAAATTCTCGACTTCACGGCAGTAGTGAGCAATCGGCTTTGAGCAAACAGAAAAGTAAGCTCGACTTGAGCCACCATATCGCGGAGCTTCCAGGAAGCCTACCGCCGGGTATCAGTATTTCATCCCCAAGCAGCCCGGATATCAACAACAGTGCTTCGCGAGGTCGTGATTCTCCGTTCCCGAGAATTGTTGGAACCGTGGACGCATCAACACGCGAGACAAAACCGCCAGCATCTCCCCGGCGTGGCTCGCAGGGTAAAGCTGGGCGAACTCGCGAAGCCAAGGTCCGCTCGTTGATAATGAGAGATCTCGCCAAAAGTCGACATCTGAAGAACTTGAATAAGGGTCAAATCGATGAGTCCCAAAAGGAGGCAGGGTCAGCTCAAACACGAAGAAATGAAGATTCTCAATTCAAGGCCCAAGAGCAATGTCAAAAAATGGTCCTCCCTGGTCCTTCCTCGCCTCCTCTCAAAGCTCCTCAACCGTCGAACCCATCGCGACAAGTCATCCAGAACCGGCGGTACTGCACGCCTCTAGCGACTACTATGGCTGCGGCACTCGAGAGTCATGAAAACCAGCGAAGCTCGACTTCCAACCGGAAACACCACGTATCTCGACGAAGTAGCGCACTGAATCTCGAAGCAAAATCTGCGAGGGAACCCGTGAAGCAAAGTATACTCGATCAAGAGGAAACCCCCTTACCATCTTCAGATGACGAAGGCCCGGCCGGGGACTTTTACTGGAACCCGCCGCGCAAAAGCACCGGACGACGCCGACGAAAACCGACTCCTATCATCGTTGATAAACCCGCCACGGAAAGGGGCCGGTCGATGGAGAAACAGCAGACTACGAACAGCATGAGCCCAACCACGCTACACAACTACAGTCGGCGTGGTCTCGCAAAGAAGCCGCAGACGCATCCCTCTACGAAGGATCACCAGACTTATGAACGACACAACTACCACACACCAGATCCCAAGCCCAATTCTTCGCTCGAGGGACGTGTTGAGCATCTTGAGCGCCAAAATAAAATCCTTCAAGCTGCTCTCCTTGCCGCTTTGGATGTGGGTGTTAAACAGGACTTGTCCAGCCTTCTGGTGGCAACCGCAGCTTCAAACGTGACGCCTCCACTCACTGGTACATCCTTCTCCTCGGGAGCCAACACTGTCTCATCTGAGGCGTCCTCAGCTGGGCAGGAAAGACATCCGCGTAATGGAAAGGCGCCATACCAACCAGAAAGCTGGATCGCAAGCCCCGACTCGTTCAAGAAGGACAACTATGGCAGCGATGATGTCGAAGCCAGGGAGATCGAGCAGATGATTGACGAGTTTGACCTTGACTGGCTATCGGATCGGTCGAGCATTCTTACTAGGGGCTGATCTATTCTAGTGACGTTTGCCCCCCTGCCATTCCGTGATGTTATCTATCGTTCACTCTATTTTTTATGCACCCCAGGCCGCCGATTAGGCTCGAGTCATGACCACTGCCACATACAATTATCTCTTATGTCCTGGACACTCGTTCTATGACGCTCTTAATATTGTCTTCTCCTGCTTTCTTGGCGATATATTGTCCTCGCAGACAGTCCAGCTGTTTTGTACATAGAATCTATTCCATCTGAACCGTTGGAAACCGGGCACGTTTAATACAACAGCATTGGCTCTTAAGCCCTGTTCAGTTGATTGCTCTTTTATTCAGATCACACCAATCACCAGAGCTGTAGGAGAAGAAGATTGCGTTGTTTGCCCTAAGAGCATGAATATGCTTAGTCACCCATGTGTTGCGGCGGCCGATAATCGAGCTTGTTGACAACAACAGAATTGGGCAAACAGCTTGATTCCCCCTCAATCGAACAACCCCAACTTTCCGTCCCTAGCTTTACAACATCTAATACCCGAATCTATACAATAAGCGCTATAAACAGGCCTTGAAGCGCCCGCAGAGTTTCTATTCACACCTCTCCAAACAAACAGCCTCACCTCCGACCTCAAACACCGTTCCCGCAACAACTCAGCAGCCCAGGATGGCCAGCTCAACTACAGTGCGGAAAGACTCTTTTTGACATTGATATATGGGAACAGGAAAAGCTGACATCTATCTCAACGCAGTCCCCTCAAATCCCCCAACACGTCTCCGCCCTCCTCTCCCACCTCACATCCCGCCCGGGCGTGCAATCAACCCTCATCCTTTCCCGCAAAGACGGCTCAATAATCCAAACAACGGGCCTCCTCGCACCTCCTAAGCGACCATCTGTTACGAGCGAAGCGTCCGCCCCCGTTCCTGCCCCCGGTGCATCAGAAGACGCCGGACCAGCTACAGACGCCGCTACATCTACGGACACAACCACAACCACCGACACCGAAACGCCCTCCACCGAAACAGAATCTCAACTCCAATCTGCAACCAGCACCTCAACGCAAACCCAGACACAAGCGCAATCGAAACCCTACCAACCAACCCAAGCCGAGTCCCTCGCAGCACATATCTTTGCCTTTGTGTCTAGCGCGTCGAATCTCAGTTTGGCGCTTGCGAATCCGCTGGACGGGAAGACGTCTTCGGCAAATGGAGTCGGTGAGACGGGGCTAGTCAATGGGACTGGGGGAGGGACTGGGACGGGCGAGGGGGAAGGCGAGGGCTCGGAGGGGCTGGATGATGATGAAGTTAAACTGATGAGGCTTAGGACGAAGAAGCATGAGGTTGTGGTTGTGCCCGATCGGAAATATCTGCTTTGTGTTGTGCAGGATGCGACGCCGACTGCTGCTGGCAGTGGCGGGTTAGCGACGGGGGCGGGGAGGTTTTCGAGGTAGAGACAATAATATATCAACAATCGTTGAAGTTAAGGAGCTTTCTTTGTGGTTCTGTGTGGGATATACCCTGGTTGAAGTAGTTGCTTTGAGAAATCAACACGAATTAACTGTGCAGTGGCGGATGGCTCAATCAGAGTACTCTGTAAAATTGAGGTTGATGTTTTGAAAAATATAATTGTCAAGCACAGGCTTAAATATCCATAACCACATCCTTGTTCGCGTGGGAGAATCTTCCTAGGCCTACCAAATAAGCTTATACCTTACTTTCGGTATACGGTATGGTTTTCATATGTAATGCATGGCGCACTTGAAGATCCGAAAAGAAGACCATGCCAGACTCTATCAAGCTGCAAGCACGACAAGCCGGGCTAAAATAGCCTAGCCTATATTTATGCAAGTATGCATAAGATCATACTGAGTCATTAAACGTCATCCAGATTATGAACGCCCACTGACCGGGTTATCACCTTCCTTATGCGGTAGGAGTCTAGGCCGTTTCTAGTAGTCTGTCTCCGAGTCCACGTCTCCGGTGAACGGGCTCGGGAAGATTCGCAGTTGACGCTGCTCTGCGCTGGCAGATGTGCTCCGAAGTTGAACCGGCATGAAGGCCGGCCTTGTTGACGCTCGAGGTGTTGATCTTGTCCTCTGTCGAAAGTCCATAGCTTTCACGTGCCACACGTGATTTTATGCTTCCAAACCAGCCCTATGTAGCATACACTGCCCTGCCACTTATAGAGCGTCCCAGGTACACAGTAGAAGACACTGGGTGCCCACCAATGTCAGCATCCAAGCCTCCGTCAACATCCCCAGATCCAGCACCTTTCTATGCCCCAACATCCGTCTATCAAAACCTCCTCCCCAGGCGCAAAAACCGCCTCATCAAGCGGCACAAATCCAAACATTCTATATCATCTAGGCAGGTACGTACGGAGTACAGCGGCCACTCCCTCTCGGAGCCTTCGCTGAGGAAAAGGTAGACCTGATAGCACCAAGCAACGGCTGTTAGAGCGAGGGGATTCGAAGCGGACGATAGTTACGTACGGACTGAGTATACGGGCTGAGTAGTGTCTGCAGCATGTTTGGTGGTTAGCGGTGCCTATTGATCGTTTGGTATTGGACTACGGAGTAGATGCGGTGCTGGGACATCTCTTACACGTATAGTCTCGACTCTCTTTACTGCGTCGGGGACCAGATGCCCGCTATGACTCTGTGAGTGTCCTCTGAGCGGACTAGACCTGGCCAGGTCCATAGATTAGTCCATGACTTGAAGAAGCTCAGAGCTGTATGCACTTCCACTACCAAGAGCTTGTTGCTATAAATGCTCCCTACAGTCGGGAGCTTCTTCTTTCCGCAACTCGAAACGCATTCTCGCCTGTCTGCAGCATTTGCAGGATTGATAAGAACGGATCCTGCAATTCAACCAGATAATGCCGCCGGTCCAAGCATGGCCATAGAGCAGTGTGCAGTCGACTGGGCGTCTACCCGGAAGAGGCGTCCCCGAATGTATGCAGGATGAACTCCCCTTTGATCCTAACACTTACTCGTACCTTGCAGCTTGCGAGCCTCCAGGCTCTGTTGCAGCTGCTTGCATAGGTCTGCTTTTTGTACTTCGAAGTTAGGTAGCCCTGGAGATGCCTAGAGTTTGCCTACTCCGGAGTAGTTCTCACCGCGGGGAAGACCACGTGATCCTTAGAGATGCAAAATAGAAGTATCGCGATTGGCTGGGGAATTTGTAGTGGAGCTAGGATTCTGGCATGATGCAAAGTACGTGGGGTGCGGGTAAAGTACAGGCTGCAATGAATCCCGGTTCTTTCCGGCTCCAGCTCCAGCTCCAGCTCAACTCCGCCGCGTCAAGGCTTGAATTCCGATCGCTGGGGACGGAGACGGAGACAATAATGATATGGTGGCAGTGTGTCTGATGTTATTCTTGGATGCCCTGCCTGCCCTGTCCTGCTCAGCCTGGTTGCGCGTCTACTCCTTGAGCTATATACTGTTGAAAATCCATGCGATCATGTTATCGAGCAACGCGGCTTAGAGTGGCTTCGTCGGATGTTATTCTGGGCTCGAATCCTACACCGCAGGCCAGTTATAGTCGTGTCTCTTAAGGCTCTCGTGATTACCTACGACTTGATAGATGAAGACCAAGATCTGAGTCAGGTCAAGCGCCCTGCAAAGCATCAGCTCCTGGAACATTCGATTGGATGCAGGCTGGCCATCTGGATGATGCTGCCTGGTTGGTTCCACAGCCAGTTGTCACGATGCTGCGTACGACCGGGTTTTCTGCTGTGAACTCACCAGCTCCAGCAGTTCAGACCGCACTACAGAACCATCTGCCTGGTGCTGCCTTGTTGGCCTTGGTGTTGCGTGTGGTTAACCAGGATATCCAGGGGTGGCGTTACTACGTATGGTAGGTGGCTGGAAATGCAGCGGTGGTGGTTGGCTGACCGTCTGAATTTTCTTTGGGCCGTCACTGTCAACCTCCGCATCACAGAGCAGCAGCCTCCAATGATCATTCCAACTGGCCCGCTGCTTTCAGGTCGTCATGGTGTTCATGCCGTCGTTGCTTTCGTCGAATGGCGGGCGCCCGGATGGAGTCACATTACTCTCTTGGGAACTGCACATCTTGTTCATGCCAGCAGCCACCTAACCGATATCGCGCTACGTTGCTAGTCTGATTCATGATTGAAGTTCAAGTGGACTCCAGTTGACCCCAGAGTTGCGTTGGACAGTTGGACAGGGTTATGATCCAACTCTATACTATGACGTTTGGGGTAGTGCGATCCAGCCTATGGATCAAGACTCGACTCCAACATAGTAAATCTATCGTTAGCTACAAAGTACTATCGCAGTAAAGTACTCCGTACTATTATTGTGGCTGTCAACGATCGCGAGAAAGACTCCGGGCCTGGACTGCAGCAGTAATGAATCTGTTAGTCATTTTCTAAAACCTGCGTGAAAAGTCAAAACGATGAAAAGCGCCGTGGCTGGTGAGCAGTAATCCAGCAGTAGAGAAAAGGAATAACAGAGTGTGCTAGCATACTCTGGAAGGGTGGGAACAATATTAAGAAGAACAAATATAGAGTCCAAGGCTGTGTTGTGCTGCTATCGCCGGAGGGAGAGCACGAAAGAGTCATCGCCATCCGCTCCCGTCTGCTGTCCCGACCTCGACCTGACTGGCCTCTCCCGATCCTCTCCCTCTTCTCTTTCCCCCCCCAGGGTGACTCTTCTGCCCTTCAACTCCCTATCTAATATCTATCTCTATCTTCTTCCTCTGTTGATATCCTCTTTTTCTAATTATATTCTCGATGGTTATTCTACTGGCGTCTGTTTAGTGCTCTTGCTCTGCCTTGCTCTTTCTGTTGCTCGTTTTTTGCCTTCGGTGGTCCCTGCATCCGCTCTCTTCCTCAGTTCCGCCACTCTCGCCACTGGCCACGGTGAGTGACTCTTGCAAAGTAATTCCTCGTCCCTTATTGTGCCTTTCCTCAGTGCCACCCCCTACTGCTTCTCCTGTCACTGCCTGACCCGACATCGTCTTCTTATCGGTTTTACTGGGCCCAACGTTAGTCATTTGGCTTGGACTCCGCCGCCCTCTCCCCCATATAGTCACCAGACAGCGGACCCTTGGTTTCTGCCCGTTCGCCTTTCAAGTCGGAGTCATAACCAGGCGGCAAAGGATCCATAAATTTAGAGAAGCGCTTGCTGACTAGCCCTCTCTCTCTCATCAGCCTCATAACGACTCTTTCCCTCGTCGTTTGATCTCGTGTTTGCCTCCCGATACAACAGCTGACTGCCTGGACAAGCGCGCCGTACCTGCCTGCTTGCCTCCGGTCCGCCGTTCTATCGGCCCTCTATAACATCACATTTCGCCTTCCAAAATGTACCCTGCTGTTTCGTCTGTTGTTCCGGTCACCTCTATTGTCGAATCCATTCCCAAAGATCACCGAGGCTCCTCTGACATGGTTGCTGTCTCTTACTGAGTCATATCGCATACAACTTCTGTCTTGAAAGAGAAGAGTCACGTTAGCTCTATCGACGTGCCTCTTTGCTACCTCACGATATCCGGCCTGATCTTCTTGGACTCTACAATACGTGATCGGAACACTAGACGGTGACTCTTCCGCTCCTTGCCACGTTCTCCTACTTCGACCTATACCTACCTCCCTAACTCGCCTCTACATCGTTGGGTGACGACACATCCAACTCCCTAACCTCTTCACCTTGATACTTCACTACAAACTGGAGTATTATCGCTCTTAGGCTCGCCGTCGCCTGCGAACTCAAGACGGTTCCTTGTCTTATCGCTTCTCGTTTACGGTTACTTGCACAACGGTATTTTTGACAAACTCACGGTTACAATAACGTCGCCACGTCGCTTTCATACTCGACTGTTGATACTACGCCAAACGATCATACTATTGAGGTATTGAGTCGTGAGACTATATAACATCGGATATGAACGGGATTGACGTGTTAGGTTTGAGAAACTCAAACCAAAGCATACAATACAAGGCGCCATATGCGCACCCGTATGCCTCGTCGATCTCATCGTCGGCATCCTCCTCCTCCTCCTCGGTTTTCTCCTTAGATGCGGTGTCCAGCCAAAGCTCCATCTCGTCGTCATCCACAAGCTCTGTTGATGTGATCTGGGAGAGCGAAGGTGAATACCATGCCGAGGGGAGATTAGGTGCCGCCGGCGGTGTGCGAGGTTGTTTCAGGGGTACTGCCTCGACAGCTGCCGATGTCGCTGTCCCGCCGGAGTTGCGTAAGCATCCCCGACGTACCAACAGTGGCTTGCAGTCTTCCGGCGCATCAGGCGCGCGCCCTCCGCCCTGTCTTCTACGGCAGTCCGAGCGGAAGGTCAACTTTGTCGACAATCTTGTCGGTGAGTGAGATGAGAATTTGTTACAGGAACATGTGCTAAACCTTACACAAGACACTGCGTCAATGATCGTCGAAACTATTTGGCCTTTATCCGCGGTTTCGCTGCGGAGCGATTCAGCTACAGGATGCAAGGGTGTTTTGCCTCTTCGCACCTTTATCCAAGAAACGCTTCGTCGGTCGCGGACGAGCTACAGCACGTTGCAGGTAGCCCTCTACTACTTGATCAAGATCAAGTCGCACGTGCCTAGCCCAGAACAGGCGCAGGATCAGTCGCGGACGAAGCCAGTTTGCCGGGCCATGCAGTGTGGCCGCCGTATGTTCTTAGCGGCTTTGATCCTCGCGTCGAAATATCTTCAGGACCGGAACTACTCCGCTCGTGCCTGGAGCAAGATCTCTGGTCTCAACACGCTAGAAATCAACCAGAACGAGCTGATGTTCCTGGAAGCTGTTGACTGGAAGCTTCACATTACCGAAGCTACCTTCCAACGCTGGACGGATATCGTTCTGAAGTACACCCCGGGCGCGGGTAACATGTTCTCTATCGATGGGCAGTCATGGCGAACTGTCATTCCCAGACTCACACCCGAGTTGGATGAAATAGACAATGAGCCTTTGACTCCTATGAGCATGGGAGGATTCGACGGTGGCTTTGCATCAAACTCCCCGTCGCCTCGCAGCGCTTGTGCGCAGCCACCGATCTACCATTCGGTCTCTGCCGAGCCCACCTCGCTTCCTTCCATCTCTCAGATTCCGGAACTCAACCGACCGGACAGCACTGTTCCATCCCTACCAACGCTCCCCCGACTCCCTCTGTTGCCAACGCCCCAGTTGACTCCCCAAACGAGCAATGCTTCCACTCCTGCTGCGAGTGCTGGCTGCCGCCCCTCGTACCGACGTCAAATGTGCGCTGCCATGTCTCAGAGCATGTGCACGGCGCGGTCAATGTATGACCAGCGCCCATCGCTGTGCTCAAAGGCTAACAGCGCTCTGGAAGGGTTTCCTACCTTCATGCGTCGTTCATCACTCGCTCGTTCGACGTCTTCTGCATCGTCACCAGAGTCGATGGTTTCGGATGTTTCAACCCTGTCCTCTCAGTCATCACGCTCCTCCTTTTCTAGCGCGTCTACGGGTTCCGTGCCTACTTTGCCTAGCCTAGCGATGCAGGCCACCCTCCGATGCACAGGCAACTCATTCAAGGGAAGCCGGAAGCACATGCCGATGGCCTCCCCAATCGATGAGATTACCTTCAGCGGATCAAATTCACCGGAGACTTATTTGGGCTCCAGCCGAGTCCCGGATATGTCTAGCTTTCCAATGGGAACTCCGCTGGACATGACTTCAACTCACGAAGCCGCTCACAGCCTGTGTCAACTATCAGGCCAGAAGTCTGCTGGTCAAGGGCAACGCCGACACACCCGCAAGCGTGGTCGCACCGGGTCTGATGACCTGCAGCTACAGCATCATGTGCGTAGTCTGATCCGCACCGACAATTCTGCTGAGGGAACAGTACTTCCGGATGGTAATCTGGCTGAGCTGCTCCGTATGTCGCAGCCTTCGAACACTCCTTCCTCCCTTCCGTCGCTAAGCGCCCTTGGCCTCGGCGCTCCTTTGTCCGGTCCAGCTGGAATGAAGCGTGCTTGCTGTGGTAGTGAAGCAAGAAAGATTGCGCTCCACCCCAGCTTGCGCGTCGACTACTGACGGACCGAGGTACTGTCATGAAGACTCTCATTTCCTTACCTCATGGCCTGTTTCTTTGCTGTAACAAAGAAAAGTTGCTATCATCAAACGCTGCTATTGCATAATTTCTATTTTGTACCGGCTTCAACTCGTCGATCGAGTTGCTCTTTCTGAACATCTTCAACGGCGCAAAGGAAGAGATCAGGGTCGGAAAAGTTCCTTTGAACTTGTTTCGAGGTCCTATTTGCAACGAGAAAAAGCGCGTCTTTTTTCTACTCATTGTATATACCCTACTACCGTTGTTGGGCTTTGGCGATGGGCGATGGGAGTCTATATTGACATTGACCTATATGCGGCGAGCCTGGTCCAGCTTGCTGGTGTATGATGTACGTTGGAGTGGACCATTGCGTTCCTTGCCATTTCTTTGATGTCACCTACTTGCTTGATCTGCTCTATCATACGAACCGGAGTGCTTGGGAGGGAATGGAATGGATTGATTCACGCGTCTGCAGCTGATCTTACTTCGGAGTATCTCTCACCGGCGGTGTATCTGATTCTCACCTGCATCATCGACGGAGTAAGGGCTAGTTGCATCGCAGTCAGAGGAGTTACTGGGGTCCCTCGGAGTCTGACGGGGTTTGCTTTTGATTTGCTTTTGTATTTTTGTGTCTTAATCCTACACGAAGAACTAAATGTCCATAGTTCAACAGGTTCATACTCTGACCATCATTTACATCTTACAGTAAGCAGAGATTTCTTTCTCCCCGTCTACTTAACATAGCTACGTGCTGGACAAGGCTCCCGGCGCTTGGACGAGTTGCTAAACTTTGGGCCAAAGGGCCAATCTCCAAGGATCAAAAACTCCAGGCACAGCGCAGCTGCTCAGCTGAGCGTGCTGCACGCCTAAACCGTCCGAGACGGTCTGAGATCAAAGAGTCCGTGCAAGAGCCTCTCGCTCAGGTGATGCTTCCATCCCCACTTCCAAGTTCCAACCGTGGTAACGTGAGAAATGAAAGTGAACCAACTCGTGTGAGGCTATGACTCACTGCGCAGCGCTAGCTTCCCCAAGGATTACTCGGTATTGGTGGAATAGCCTGACTGTGAATTTTGGGATGACGAACCCACATCGGAAGGTTTCGTCCAGCCCTTTCATCAGAAGATCAGACGAAAGTTGCTCAGATAGGTGATCCATGCCGATAGGTGGCGGTGGTGAGGCCGATGTTGGTGCCTGATCAGGCATACAGGCAGCGAGGTAGGTGGAACTGATTACATAAAGCAGCATCAGTCATCACATGATGCCGACAGAGTAGGCTAGCTGTTCCAAGACTAGCGCAATCAGATAAGATCAATCAGGCCATTACGGTTAACGGCGCTAGAGAGGGGAATTCCCTGGGTCCTTGTCCCTTGACTCCTTCGGTTCCCCTCACTTCCTTTATCCTTCTTCCCTTTCCTCGTAGACAATAAGAGTCGCGAATACTACTATCTGGCATTTGCTGTCTAGAGCTTCTGTTCTTCAGGACCTCCTGTGCTGTTCGTTCGTGTGGTCTTCGTGTTTAACACATGGCTCCGGTCGCGAAGCTGGCCTACGGGCTCTACTTGCTGGGGTCCCTGTCCCAAGGCATACTGGCGAGTCCCTTGTCTGGTTTAAGCAGCGAGGAGCCGGCTCAGGTCCTGCTGGCTGAATCCCAGGACTCGCTAAATGCCCCGGCCGATGATACCATCCTCGTGGAGTCTGACTCTGAAGAAGAGGGACTGCTCCCACCCTCGTGGTGGACCTCAACTCTAATGGCCCGCCGCCTTCTCGCCCTCTCTACATCCGGCGTGGCCTCTACAATTTTCCCCGACCACTTACCACCATACAGCCGCACGCCCGACACCGTCGCCGGCCACTCGGTCAGTTTGAAAGAGTACTTCGCCGACTGCGACGAGGCACTCCCCGCCGAGTCCGGCAACGGCGGAGACGGCAACCCAACCTTTCTGGCCCTGCACGTGGCAACAACCTTCCGCAACACCGCCGCCGGATCCAACATCTCGCTGTCCATCGACTGGTGGGACCACCTCAACCAGACCACGCCTGTTTTCCCGGGCTTCCCGCTCAGCCCGGCGGGTCTGCCGCGGGTTACGCTGTTCGGATACATTGAGCCCTTTGCGACGCCGGTGCCGGCGGAGACGGAGAAGGCGTTGAAGGAGTGTTATACTGCTGCTCATCCTGACTCGAGTGTTTGGCTGCCTGGAAGGCCGGGGTCCCCGCATTCGAGCTTCTGGGCCAAGATGGTTGTGACTCAGGTCTACTGGATCGGAGGATTTGGGGGCCTGCAGCAGATTGGGTGGTTTGATATGGATCAGTGGAGAGGAATTCGACGGAAGGGGAGCTTGCCTGGCGTTGGGGATGGACGGGGGTGGGAGGATGTGAGGCTTCCGGGGGAGAATTAGCGGAGGACTCCGCAAGGGCTGGACTGGGTACTGTCGAGGCTGGGCGTGGTCTGGACAAGAGGTGGCTTGACGAGGGTGCGAAGATTGGTAGAGATTAGCGACCAAGAGGTCCTGTATAACAGCACTGTCACGTATATGATAGACCGTTATAGCAGGACATTCCTTTGCTCCAGGATAAGAGATAAGGCGTCCAATGGCCGCAGCCTTGGGTTATCGTGTCTGGAGCTGCTATCTGCGCTTATCTCTGCTTATCTTCTCACGATGACATACATATTATCGCCTCTTCCCAAGATGCCTTCAGCTGCGATTGAATAACTGCCTACTACATCCCAGCTTCAAGATGAGGGTCCCCAAGCTGCGCCTCCACCGGCCTCACCTCCGCGTCTCGCAGTCCCAGTCCGCATTCGCCTCGGGCAACGCCCGCTGGACGAATCTCGATCTCGACCCCGTTCCCCGCGCCGGCCGCCTCTGGGGTCCGCTCAGTTTCATCTGTACCCACCATCCACTCCACCTTATACTCCCTCAACTCCTCAAGTACTGACCATGAATGCGGACAAACAGCATACTGGATCTCCGACGCCTTCAACGCCGCAACCTGGCAATTCGCCTCATCCATCATCGCCGTCGGCCTCTCATGGCGCGAATCCCTCGGCATCGTCGCCCTCTCCTTCTTCATCATCTCCTTCGTGATCGCGGCCAACGGCGCCGTCGGCTCAATCTACCACATCCCCTTCCCCGTGATCGCCCGCGCAAGCTGGGGCTTCTGGGGCTCCTACATCGCAATCATCTCGCGCGTCATCCTCGCGATCTTCTGGTTCGCGATTCAAAACGTCAATGGCGCCAATGCAGTCAAGGCAATGATAGGCGCGATCTGGCCGAGTTTCCTTACGATGGAGAATACGATCCCTGAAAACCAGGGCATCGAGACCAACACGATGATCGCGTACCTTGTTTTCTGGCTCGTGCAGTTTCCCTTCCTGTGCATCCACCCGAATAAAGTGCGCTGGCTTTTTGTGGCAAAGAGCATCATTGTCCCGGCTGCGTGGGTTGCCATTCTGGTCTGGGCGTTTGTGGCGGAGGGGAGCGGTGCGCTATTTGAGCAGCGGCCTTCCGTCTCGGGAAGTCAGTACTCGTGGGTTTGGCTGGCGAGTATGACGAGTGTGTTGGGGAATTATGCGACGTTGAGTGTTAACCAGGTACGGACCTCTCCAGCCCTACTCAGCATGGATACCGTCGGTGCTAATGTGCGTGCGCACAGAGCGACTTCTCCCGCTACTCGCGCGTCTCCGCCAAATGGCAGCTCCTGTACATCCCGCTCCTCCCTATAATCTTCACCTTCATCTCCTTCATTGGGATCGCTGCGTCGTCAGCCGGATGGTCGCGCTACAACACCGCGTCTATACCCTGGGACCCCATCGAGCTGATCAGCCACTGGAACTCGCGCGCGGCGCGCTTCTTCGGCGCCTTCTCCTTCGCCCTAGCGAGTTTGGGCGTGAACATCAGCGCGAACTCAATCTCCGCCGCAAACGACCTAATGGCTCTTTTGCCCAGCTTCATTGATCTACAACGCGGCCAGATCATCTGCGGCGTGATATCCTGGGCCCTTGTGCCATGGAAGATCCTAGAGAGCGCGAACAACTTCCTGAACTTCATGTCCGCGTATGCGATTTTCCTCGGCCCCATTGCGGCAATCATGCTTTGGGACTACTGGTTAATCAAGAGCCAAAAGTACGATACCGTTGCGCTGTACCAGCCCGAGACGAACATCTACCGATTCAACAAGTGGCTCGTGAACTGGCGCGCTGTTGTGAGTTTTCTCGTTGGCGTGGTTCCTAGTTTGCCGGGGCTGGCGAATAGTGTTAACGCTGGTATCGATGTTGGCGTGGGAGTTCATCCGTATCAGTTTGGATGGTTGCTTGGCTTTGTGGGGACGAGCTTGGTGTATGTTGCGCTGTCGTATGCGTTTCCGGTGCCTGAGGCGCTTGTTGATAGGGCCGTGCTGGCGGATGAGGTTTATGATGCTGGGGAGATTGAGGGGGTTGAAGAGGGGGGAGTGGGAATGGGAGAGAGGGAGGGGCGTGGACCTGGGCTTGTGCAGGGGCATGGTGGGGTGGGGAAGGAGAAGGGGTTTGCGGTTTATTGAAGATATCTATTCGATGGATATATGTGTCTGCTGGCTTGAGGCAGGTATATATGAGATGTTATAGAGTAGTAGAACATAGCATATGCCAAGCTTGATATCATATTAGAGCAAGATCTCCTCGCCGGAGTCCATCCCAAGTGTCCAGCTTCGATGATCTTGCTTCTACCAAGGGCAGTCACAGGAACTTCGATACCCTGTTTCTTCCGCTTTGAGAGCCGTAGAAACAACCAACCGTAAATATCCGTTTTGTTTTGATATTATCTATGTACAGACATGTCTGCTCAGACACAAGCGACCATATAACGCCTTGAAGACCCAATGAGGCTTCTATACTTTTGACCACCCATTCATCTCCCGCACATATGAAACCAACTCAACCATATCCTAGAACTCATCCTCACTCCCATCCCCCTCCAACTCCCCCCTCGCATTCCGAAGCACCTTACCAACAAGCGCAGAAGCCCGTCCAACCTCTCCCCCCTCGCCCCTCGCAACCTCAAGACCCCTCTCAACAGCGCCCAGGAACCCGCGGGAGACGAAAACCCGCCACCGGTCCTCGCGCGTCTCGTACATCTCGCCTTCCTCGTCGCGCGGTGCCCCGAACAGGTTCAGCGTCAGATACGGCGACGCGATTGAGCTGGGTATCAGATGAGAGGGGAATGTCGTGATGGGGAACGTAGACGTGTATGCGTTTTCGTGCTCAGAGTCGGAGGTATCCATGTCCATCGCGCTGGAGGAGCGCGAGTGTGCAGAGGCAGGTGCAGAGCCGATCCCCGCATCCAGGAACTCCGCCAGCACGCTCAAGAACCGCACCTGCGGCCGTCCCTTCGCGCCAGCTTTACCGTAGGTCGCTTTCCCCGCGCCCGACGCCGAAGAAGAAGAAGTCGATTTCGGCGCCGGCGTCACAGACCCCGAGGACCCCGTCGTCGCCAGACTCGTCCACTTGCTCTTCGCCGCGACATGCCAACCCAGCACACTCAGGAAACAGTTCAGCGTCTTGACCCACCCGCCCGCAACGCCCGCCACCTCTTCCCCCACAACACTAACCAACCACCCGAGCACCTCCACGGAACTAACCCGTACCTCGGCCGCAAGATGCGTCATGCCCGCGCGGATATACGGCATCAGGGTGGCGACGTGGTCGGCGACGTCGGCTTGAGGCAAGGCGCGGAAGAGCTTGAGGAGGTTTGCGCGCACGGCGGCGTTCGAGTCGAGGATTAGTGGGAGGAGGGAGGGGAGCATGAGGCTTAGGGGTTGGGGGGGAGGGAGGTGGGAGGGTTGGGAGGTTAGGGTTGTTGTGAGGTGGGCGAGGGAGTCGCGGCGCTGGGAGTCGGATTTTGAAGTGAGCAGGGACAGGTGGTGGGTGAACTGGGATGAGGTGCTGGGGGCCGAGAGGGTGAGGGATTGTTGGGTTAGGGTTATTGCTGAAGAAGTCAGCTTTAGGTGCTTTTGATAGGGGTGAGGGGGTGTTTAGACTGGACTGGACTGAGGCTGGCTAGACGGTAGAGTAGATATTCAATCCGATCTTTCATGCTCATGCCTGCACCGCAAGCTAGCTAGCTATCCAGCCCGTCCAAGCCCACAGCCACCCTCTCGAGAGGCAGGCAAGCACACCTTTGGACTTGAAGCTCGTATCGGTAAAGTTGTCAGGCTTGGCCTTGGCCTTGCCGACCTTCAACTTTGGTTTCTGCGCTTCGTGTTAGCCTGTGTCATTGTGTATAGGAAGAGAAGACGTACGACAAAGTCCTTAGCCTTTTCCTTCTTTCTCTTGGCGCTGTTGCCCATTTTGGCTGTGGTGGTTGGCTTGGTTACGCGTTGGACAATTCGATAGAAATGACGGGGTTGACAGTAAGGACACCAAGTCAACAGCTGTGAAGGCTATGGTTCAATTAGACGTGAACTGCCGTGTTGCTTTGATGTCGATGATTTCTTCAAATCGAGACGCCGGAAATTTTATATCAGTCACGTGAGTCACGTGTCAAGCCTCGGCCGCTCCACCGATCTATTGAAGTCCTACAAAGGCATTTTACTCGATGTACGGAGTACGAAGGCAATGGAGAAGGGAGAAAATCATACGTAGCAATCATAATCTATTAGACTAAAGCAAAGAGATGCGCACTTCTGCCCGGCCTGACCTCGAATGCAATAATAAACATGAGAAACAGAAAAACACAAAACAGAACAAACCAAGGCCAGGTACCGGACAGACGCGGTGATATCAAGCAAAAATCACAAGTCAAGCACAAACATAGGCATGACGATTCTCACAAACTTACATATCTCGAATCGTCAGCCCAGATTAGACGTAAAAAGACCCGAAGACCGAGACTGTAGACCATAGACAAAACCGAACCGAAAGTGCATCACTCGTAACCATTAAATCAGCGTCGTGAAGCCATTTTTTGACCGTCAGTCTCGCGCAATCACCAAACGCCTGCTCTAGTGAGATCCCAGCTCAGTGTAGCCATCAGGTCTATGTCGTATAAAATATCATCGCAAATACGAAAATTAACATGCGAGTTGAAGGCAGAAAGTCTACAAACTCATTGTCAACCACTCCCATTCTTGGCTCGCGCCCTGACCAGCAGCGATACTGTGGTTGGCAGGGTTGACGGCCGCTGGAGGCATGGCCGGTGCCAGCGGGACAACCTTGGACCGCCCACCGGACGAGGTGGTACTAGTCGGGCTTTCAGCCATATCAATGTCAGAGGCCTTTTCCAGCCTGCGCTGACGTTTCGGTGCGACCTGAACCGCTCCACGACTGCTGGTTGCACCCGGAGATGTAGTCGCTGCCGGGCTGGATTTCGGCGGAGCAGCCGCAATGGGAACAACACCAGAGCCTCGACCGGAGCTACCCGGCATTGCTGGAGGGGACTCGGACGCTGTGTTGCTCTGAGCCCGGCTAGAGGTCGGCACAGTTGGAGTCTGCTGAACCGAGTTCTTACGGGCAGATTTCTTGGATACCCGCGAAGAACCCACCGCAAGGCTGTTGGCGCTGTTCCGGTTGCGCTTTTTAATCACATCCGTCTTGAGTGACAATGGACGCACCACGCCATGCAGTTTGAGGAATAAGCCGCACGCGTTACACAGTGGCTGACCTTCCGGGTTACGCCGCCAGAGCGGTGTTGTTTGCGTGAAGCAGTTCGTGCAGGTGGTGGGACCATTCTGCTCGCCTGGTTTTGTGCCACCTGGACTGGCGGGCCGAGATGGAGCAGCGCTGTTCAAACCAGATTCAGGCGGGGTGTTGGGAGAGGTGTGAGAGGATGGGCCGGAAGCCATGCTCTGGCGTAGCAGCTGAGCTGTGTTTGGAGTGGACGAAGTACGGGCAATCTTTTGGCGGCGCGGATCCTGATCCCGATTGCGCACCTCGCTGACGGACGCAGCCGACCCGTGGGTCCTACCTAGGCTTCCGCCCTGGTTCCACTCGCTAGGGGTGTCCATCATATCTGAGGATCCGATGGTAACGTGCTTCCGGTGCTGAGCAGCAAAAGCAGGTAGCGACTGGAAGGAGCCAGGATATGACGCATCCCAGGCCATATTGCCATTCATATCACCAATAGTTTCATCGCCAAATTCGGCTGGCATTGCCAATCCGCGGTTCGAAAATTGGGCTCCGTCGTCGTCTTCGTTGTCGGAATCGGCGCCAAAACTGAACATAGCGGCGTGATTGCCATTGAAATCATTGGGATTCAACACCTGGGTCGGGTCGACATGCTGGGGAATGGAAAAGCCAGGAGACTGCATGGAGGAAGACTGGGCGCTCATGTGGGCATTCTGCTGCGAGAGATCTTGGGACGAGCCACCCTGGTTGTACATAAATCGGGGCTGCAGGGAGGCAGACAGGTTTGACCGCTGAGTGACATAGGTGGGGATAACCCTACGTTGCGAGCGCGTGTCCACAGGCATGTCGAAATACTTGGAGTGTTCACCGTCATACGCGGGCTGAGGGGTCGACGCAGTCGACTGGTAGCCAGAAGGCGGGGGAGAGAAGAAGTCGGTTGAGTTGAGGGAAGAGGCAATCGGAGTTTGAGCGTAAAGGTTGGCAAAAGGGTTGCCGCTGGTCATTGGCGACTCGCTGGGGGAGAAGGTAAATTGCTGCTGGTAAGGGCCTGCAGACGGAAGAATGGGATCATCGCCGAGGTTGAAAGTATCCAACGCAAACGTCATGCCCGGAGATGTCTGGTTATGAGCATTAGCCAGTTGCTGAGCGTTCATGTGGTTATGAATAGCCATTCCAGACGAAGTGTCCAAGGCATACTCCGGCACAGCATGTGAGAATTCCGGATCATGAGCCAACATGCTGGTGGACACGGGTGGTACGCGAGGCGAGGCCTCAGCCGGCCGCTTGCGGGACGGAATCTGCAGGTTGAAAAACTGGCGCTCGTCGATGCTTGTCTTGCGAACCCTGCGAGGCACGTAACCAAACTCACTCTCCCTCCGCTGATCTTGTGCCGGGTGGGGGAACGATGCAGGTACGGGAGTGGCTTCGGAGGCCGCTTGGTCCCTGCGGGCCTTGATAGGGATACCGGCAGTGGTGGCTTCGGAGGCTTTTGTGGTCGTGGGAGATGGATGGTCAGAAGGAGAGAAAGGGATGATGAAATCGTCGAGGTTCATTGGATCTGAAAGCGTATCGGCAGCCGTGGTGGGCGTGTTGAGGGAACGATCGGACAGACGGAGCTGAGCAATGCCACTCATACCAGGAATAGGACTATTTTTACTGGAGAGACTATAGAAGGTTAGCAGAAGAAAAAGAAAAGAAACACCAGATCGGGAACGATGACGTACCGGGCCTGCTGCTGGGCGCGTTCTCTCTCCTGGCGCCTCAAACTAAGAGCCATCATTCTCCAGGTCAAATTCTCCATACGCTCCTGGTTGGGCAATTGAGCTTTCGTCCTAGAATAAAGCTTCCATATTTGAGTCGCTAATGGGTCCCTCTTCTGCATCTCATCAGGGCTGTCGAACCCTCTAGGGGCATTTTCCTTCCATTCGGGAAACAAAGAGTCCTGGAGCAGATTGTCGTTAACTTGAGTCGAGTCAGAAGGCGACTCGAGCGAAAAGTCGTCAGACAGCTGCGAGGGCGCAGGGAAGTGGTGAGAAGGCAGGTTGTGATTGCGGGCGGAGGACGAGCGATCGAAGTCGGCGAAATCATGCGAGGTGGGAAAACCGGCGGCAGCGGCTTGTGTCGGTCGCACACGGCCAGAACCACCCCCGAGAGTCAACCCAGACATGATCGTGGGTTGGTAATCTCGTGGGCTCCTCTAATTGGAAGGCCACGAGGAAGAAGAAAAGAATAGATAAGGAAAGAGACCAGGAAAGGAAGTGAGATAGATACGAGAGGGAAGGGGAGAGACGTAGATAAGAGCGACGAGAAAGAGTAAGATCGAAGGAATGGAGGGGGAATGGAAGCGCAGTAATTGGCCCTTTCGCGGAGGACAGTCAGCCTGGCAGGGTCTGGAGAGGAAGAAATTCAGCTTACCCGCCGTTGACGACCAGAAGGCCGGGCTCCAAGCGTTGCGAAGAGGTGCAGGGAAGAAGCGAAGAAGGTGCAGCAGGCGCGGAAGCTAGGATCGGGTCTGAGATCACGATGATTAATCCTGACCGAATGGCTTGGAAGCAAGGATGCACCCCGGCTTCGCTCGCAATCAATCGGTGATAAGATTATTTTTTTCGTATATGTATCTCGAGTTATTCTCGACAGTGGCCCTTAAGGGTTGCGCTTTTCTTTTTATTCTTCGTTGGTGGGGGCAGGTTCGAGCTCGAGCTATGACTTCGTGCTGGGACCGCGAAAAAGGCTCCGGCCGATACAGACGGAGCGCATTGGGATAGCGATGTATTTGAATCAATTGATCGCGATTCGTGAACGGAGAGAGGGGGCAAGAAGAGAGGGGTAGTCTATACTACTGTACGGGGATGAAGGGAATTTGGCAAGTAGTTGGAGGATGGATGATGCAGTGGTTGACCAGCCAAAGAGAGGATCACATTCATATGATAAACAGATGAATTATGGATTCAGGTAATAACCAAAATAATGGAAACGACCCATGTCACTACTAGCAGCTGGCTGCATGCCCTCCGGGTTCTTCTCTTGTCCAGACGGTCTTTTTTTTTTTGCTTTCCCGCCGTAAGAAGACGAAATTCGTCAGTGCCGCGCCGGCCTGGAGCTAGACGCTGCATTAGACGCTTAACTCTGTCCTTAATAAATTAAACAAGCATCTCTACAGAGTATGTTCGCCGTACTTTTTGAAGACTTCAGAGCGATGAACGCTTTACAGGCAGTAGAAGAGAGAGTAATTGTAATACCGATACAGCAGTGGCAGCCGGGGAGGCGCAAGGTTTCATGGGCGGGGAGGACTGGAGCAACGCAGTAGAGTTCGATCCCACTTTTATTCGAGCTTAATATACCTTTGCCGGCGTCTCCAATTACTGCTGCATATAGTCAAATGATAGTTGAGCCCGGATCATTACTCCGCAAGTTTGTGCTACGACGGCTGTATACGAGCATCGTCTGCTGCAGGCCGAGACCAAAGTACCCGACAAAGTACCATCAGCGTTGACCCGACCCCTGCTAGCGGGGATTCAAGGGGGATAAGTCCACCAATGGCACTGCACTGCGCAAAAGCAAATCACTGCCTTTAGTGCGACCAGATCCAAACCAAGCTCTGTTCATGCCGTCTATAGACTACGGAGATTCAGGTTAGCGCACTGACACCTGCCTATTGACTCGTGTGCTTGAGCCGTCAATGCTTGGTCCAATTAGCCGCAATTCTGCCGTGCTGGCTGCCATTGGCTCCGGCCATGTTAGTGCACGCATTCCCTTGGGAGAGGGTGCGCCGTTTGAGGTCTAGACAAGCCGGCAATATGGGTGAAACTTGGAGAACGAGCATATCGGAGGTCGACAACAAGATAGAGCTAGGCAAGCCGATGACAGTGTTTCGGAGTTAAGCTCCCTCCCGATATAGGACGTCCATGAGCCCACATGGCTTAGAGGCCTCGCAGCGGGGCGGACGACATCGGGCAGTCTGGCTGGTCCGGAGTGATGCCGAGATGAACAGGAGGTTTGATGCCCGAAGCCTCCGGCATTCAGAGTCTTGAGATCGGGCTGAGCCGGCCATGGGTGAGTCGACGACCACAACGGACTCGCGCAGACGGGGTGATCGCTGAACTTTGAGTCTCATTATTGCCGAACCATGGTTTCAGCAACGTCTCTTTGTGTTAGAAAGACACAAGGAGGCTTGCTAAAGATTGGTTTTGGGGATGGAGAAGTGATGTCGGTTCCTATCTTACCCGAAACTCGTACGAGGCGGTAACGGAGGGCGGTATCGCTGGTTCTGTCAGTCCGTTTCCAGATTCCAGCACCTTGACACTCCAACTCCATCCGCATCTCAGGATCAAGACGACAGGCCGCGGTGGATCGCGGGGCCCCTTGTCAGCTTGGAGTGGACTGATGACCTCAACTTCAGCATCCCGGCCTTGTTCCAGCCTCCTCTGTTCTTTTCTTCTTGTTGTCGGTGCTCTCGAAACTCAGATCGTTGAATCGGCTTCTTCCCTCCGGTCGCACGAGGCGATCGCTCGAAAGTCCGTGAAGGTGATCTCACCCTCCTACTCGAGAAGGAAACTGAGCCGGTGATGATTCAGGACCGCGTAAGAAGAGCCTCCCCAATCCCATACTTCCCCAAGCTGACGGCCCCTGCTGTGGCAACCAGATGGGTCGAATGAGCGAGCGCGAATGAGATTGCCAAGGTCAAGCAAGGTTGACCAGGAAGCCGTTAGGCCCATCCGACGAGCCACTGAGATGCGAGAGGGACCTAGGCACCTGAGTCGGAGACTGTCCGTGCTGACCCTGCTAAAGGAGCTGTTGATATTATCCTGATGAGCCAAAACCTGGTGGCGAGCCGCGAGTGAAGCATTGCAATCCAGGACAAGTTAGCCTCCGAAGAACAATTCGATAAACCCACTCTCGTCTCCAACATCGAAGACACTGGGAACTTGACGGCCCCGCAGAATAGACAACCGTGAGGGTCCACCGACAGAAACACACCCGTTCATTCGTCGGGCCTGTCGGTTGCTGTACCTTATCCCACGCGGCTGCAATGACGGTTTCCACTACGGCTCCGATAAGCTGATAGGGAACTTCTCGGCGTAATTCCCCTTGGTCAACGCGCAGCGAAAGACGGCGAACAATGCAGCTGTCCGTTTTGAGGCCCTGTCCCCCAAGTATCAACAATAATAAAATGCAGAACGACAATGAATGACATTGATGAAGGGACGCGTCAGGCTCTGAGTCATGCTAGGGTGATTTTCCGGGTGGCGAACGGATAGAATCCGCGCATTCGACAGAAGTCCCAGAGTGGATGAGGTGGCGGTCGCGATCGTCCAACTCCAACTCGCGGACACTGCTGCTGCAAATAAGATGAAGCAGTATCAGTCGATCGTCTTTTTGTCCCTTGACGATGACGTCCCTACCGCTCAACGCCACACATGGTACCGCATATCTCCTGATCCAGGTACCAGGATTTCGGTTGATTTCATCTTTCCTCAGTCGACATCACTCTGCAGTATCGACGCTGATCTTGCTCCTCGAGTTTCGAGACTGAAAACGCTCGGAAAAGCAGTCGTGCGCGTGCCTAAAACCCCGCTCAGCCTGGCCTGCCCGGAGTATATCCCTCCTGCTGCGAGGCAAAGCTGTCCCACCATAAGACAGCAGCTTATTCCCGGATCCTGACTCGAAAGGATTCTCCCGCCTCACCGCGCCGCCCGCAAGCGAGACAACCGGCCACCACCCTCGAGAAAGTCCGCCCGATGTGGAATGACCGTAGGCCACTCGACCATCGACCGCCCCTTGGCGCATACCCCGCAAGCGGCAATGTCCCTCAAGTTAACTATCCATCACCTGGGATGATTAATCCCACGACATGATGGGCTGGGCCATCTTCCCCGGGATGCGGATAAAGTGGATCTGACACGGGCTTTGCCGTCACTTGGACCAAGTGCTCTGCTGACCTTTGAGCTGACATGGGGAAGAAGCAATCGACAGCAGGGCCTCATCAGCGTCGTCTTCATCTCAAGATCAAATGCCGCACCGTCACGGAGTAACAGTCACAGCCATATTTCCTCGCATGATCAATTTCGATGTAGATTCCTCCCCACACTATTTGCTGAACCAAAACGCCTTGCAGATTGGATGCCGCGCCCAGGAGAATTTTCGGTCTTGGTGCAGGGATAATTTTTCGCGGCTGCGGCGGATATGGGGAAAAAAGCTCGGTAGCCGGGAATATATCGAATACGGCACATCCCTGCCCCAGATCTCGGAGCAGGCCGCAGGGATCTGCAGCAGACTGCAATAAGTAATTATGAAGGGAAGACGCACCAAGGGGACCGAGATGTGAGCTCTAAAACTGAGCTCCAAGAGCCTAAGGCGGACTCGGAGGATGGGCCTCGTCGCGACGGTTAGGGCGGAGGCCGACATCATCTTACGATGCCGTGAATGATTTCCGGCATCTCGACCAGTATGCTGAGAGAGAATTTGGGGTATCGAAGGCCGTGGAGATAGAGTAGCGTATGCGTGAGCACTTTCCTTGTATAAATCACAGCGGAGTCTGCTGTCTGCAGTTCACCCGAGGAGATGATTAAAAAAGCGGATCGATGAAGGGCATCCATCTGAGCCTGGACGAGAACGTTGTTCTCAAGCGATCTTATATGGGTTCAAGGCTTCCACCCCCGCAGGAGTCTGATAAGGGACGAAAGGCTTTTCGCCTCAAACCTCAAGTCCTCTGTTTACAACCCAATGGGAACCATCCGGGTTTTGTACTGCTGCTGGTCAGAGATGCAACGCTAATCTATCGCAGTCGCAGAGAAAGAAAGAAAGATACAGCGTAATCAGCGACTGCGAACGCTGCACCTATCTCCGCCGACTATCGGTTTCGAAGACGTGATCATTATCGAGATAACCAGACCAACTCGACACCTTCATTTGCCAGCGGCGGTCGTCGAGATAAGACTCAGCAGAATCCACGTCAGACTAGCCCCCTTGACCATTGCCGTGGCCTGAAGGCAACCGCCAGGGCCCGATTACGTGCATGATAGCATCGCACGGTCATCTGAGCTCAATCTCACAACTCAACCTCGCGAATCGCTACGTCCCCGCATCGAGATCGGGGTTGGTTTGCGGTTGGAGTCGCTCTCTCCACAGTTGTACCCCAGACGGTCCTCAGGCCCTTTGTTACCTTCGACCGCTGCGGGACTGCATACGCTATCGCGCCGAGAAATGCTGAATGGAGAACCTCTCTTCTTCAAGGGTCAGCTTCCTACCTTCCTTTCTGGTCCTCTTATCGTCGCCTCATCCACCGCGGAGAAACTCGACTCTTTGTCTCCTGATCAGGCACAATACCCTTGTTTACGATAAGCAGGGGCGGGATCCAGCGATCAGACACCTCCCAATCTTCTCCTCCAATTGGTAGAGATCGAAGTGAGAGGTTCTATCGCCGTTCGCTTGTCAAACCACCTGTGTCCCATTGGTCCCGCTGCACCAATTGCGCCATTACTGAGATACGTCCTCTCTGAAATTTTGAATATCTTCAGGGACACCGATATCGGGAACGAATCTTGAGGCCCAGCAACAATCCCAGTTCGAATCCCCGCAGACCTTGCAGGGCGCCGTTGTCGCGTGCCCTCTGGATGAGATTTCTCCAACTATGGCTGCGCGTATGTCTTGGAGCTATACGACTCCAATATCTTGGACACTGTGCAGACTCTCTTTATTAGGCCAAGTATTCGTAGCGTCCTCATCTCCATTTACCAATTGTCCTCCAAATCAACCACCGGATGCGAATGATTTGCCCGCAATTGCGTTTCGTCCAAGCCAGGATTGCTTTTCCTTGTTCGAGGTCGCGGTTCGCCCATATGCGAGACTACTATACAGACTGTGACCACTTCTCAAGTAAGGGGAGTGCACTCTCTGCTGCGAAATAAGATAGATCTACGTGTCGGTAGTCTCGCCAGATCTTCTAGAGGATAAATAGCTGTCAATACAGGCGAGCCTCTGTTGTATGCGCTCTGGGTTACAAGAAGTATGTGGATAGACACCGTAGATAACCAGACTCTGAGCTCCGCCCTAAGGAATGTTCATTACACACCTGCACTAAGCATCGGTGCTAACGGCCTAGGAACAATCCTCACTACAAGTATTACCCAGCTTTGTTCTATATACGAATACGAAGCCAGGGTTGTAGTTGGAGATTTTTATATACTTCGGAGGGAGACAAGAATACACTGTTTATCCTAGACATGGATATATCTTTATCTTCTTAATGAGCTAAAGAACTAAGCACCAGAAGTATATCATAGTCAGCCGGCTCCTTCTACCTAGTATATCTTCTTCTCGTTGCCGCTGCTGATGTTGTTCTCTACGTCCGGCCCATCTTGAGATCATCCAATGTAGATGCGCTAGCATGTGGAAGGTTCCCACCATCAGGCCCGAGTACTGACTCGACATGTTAGTACCAACGATCAATCTCCGGTTGCGGCTCATCCAGCTACGTTTCTTCCTGGCCTCTGCTCCCCCAGACGGCCCGACATCCATCAACGCCCACCCGACTCAATAGAGCGATATGAGCCAGGTAGGTACTTGCAGGTGACTTAGAGATCCTAGAACAGACCCTGCCAGAGCATAATATCGGAGCCCGACGCCTACACAGCAAAGCAGGGCAGACGCAAGAGCTGCAGGCAAGAGATGTATCTCCCTCCAGCTACCACAGTCTTGCGTGCAGTCTCAGTGGACCTCCATCAAGCAACGCAACCTCCTGCAGCCTGCAGCTTTTGCGAGTTCTGTAGGTACTCATGAGACTCAACAAACGAGCCCATATCATGTCATGCGGGATACGCCTCCTGAACGCGCCGTTGATGCCTCCCGAGATCGCAGCTTCCCTTCCCCTGAAACCTGGGCGCCCTGGTTGTAGGCGGCATTTGCATTTGCAATTGCAGATGCGCGGCGCTGAAGAAGCGCGTGATCAAGGCTCGCCGCTTGGCGGGCCTGGTAGAGGTACCTAGGTGGAGGTCTGGCTAAGGCTTGCCTGTGCGGCGTCCGCAGGTGCCATGGCCAGGCTCGTGTGGTGAAGCCAGCTCCGTCATTACGCTTGGAGGACTCGTAGCCGGGCTGGGGCTGGGACGAGGCCATGCGTTGTTGTTAGTTTTAGTACCCATTCCATGTCTCGGTTGGATGGCCGGGGCAGGCAGGACATGCCGTGGTATGGGAGTGAGAGTAAGAGATAAGGCCGCGAATGGGGGACTTGACTCCCAGCCACGATCCCGATGGATGTCTTGTGTCTCCAGTGGGCTTGCAGGGCGAAGGACTGGGACCTTCGACGTGATGTGTTGCCAGCAGTTGAGCACCCTGCTGCGGCCGACGGTGGCTTTTAACAGCGTAGATCCTCCGGCTCTTTGAGCATGCCGGCGGACTATGGTAGGGGTAGCTCTCGCGTGGTGGGATACAGCTTGCGGCCGTAAACCTGAGGTGGTTGTAGGATTTCAGGTCTCGAGCAGACTGAGAGCTGCATTGTGTGTTGGGTTGGGCCCTGGCAGGAGGTGTTGGGTTCGAGATGTGATAAGCCCGAGGGAATGAGGGAGGTGATGATGGTTGGAAGTGGAAGTGGATGAAGCCGGGAAAGCTCCGGATGACGCTCAACAGCCTCGAGAATCGAGTGGACGTCACTACCTCAGTGCTGGAGTCCTCCAATCACCGTCGTTGCATCTCGACCCATTTCGCATATAAAACAATCATCCCCCCCGGTATAACCCCAATTGCGGAGGTCTTCAGCAACACCTTGCCTGGGTATGCATCTTATCTTCCTTACATGCAGTGCCTCTACCCTCTCTCCGTTCCTTACTATTTATATCTATAACGAGGCGTCCAGGCAATGCTGGTCTTAAAAACACCATTATATGGTATAGCTATAATACAACTAGGGTCAGATCGCAAGTACTCAATATCCCCAACTGCCCGCCTGCCTACCTCGTCTTGCCTTTTATCCAATAGTCTCAATCACCAGGGCGTCAAGGTATAGAGCACTATAGCCCTCGCCTCCAGCTTATTCCACAGAGACTCTTCGTGTAGCCTGAATGTGTGGGCACTTCGCTAGTATAACTGCTACTCCTAAGTCTAGTCTAGGATCATGGTGTATGGTAAACCTATGGTACACTGGGATTATCAAGTAGCAGCCAGGCACAAATCTGATAAGGAGCATAATTGATGTGAACGAGAAGGAAGACCGGTATTAATGTATGCAAACATATTGCGCTTATAGCATATGCTTGGGAGCTCGGTCATGCGTAATCCGTGGGTACATAGTAGATAGCGTTCATATATACCCGATGTAGTTATAGAAGTCCCCCGGCCAACTGGGAAGAAACCCAGTTCTAGGCAGATTGGTAATTTCAATTCGCAGGTACAGATGGACGTAAACCTAGCCAGAGAGAGAAAGCGTCCAATGATTGAAGAACTCTAGTTGTATTGCGATGCGATGCATACCAAGCAAGACAGAGGAAAAACATGACCCAACCTTTATAAACAGTAAAAAAAATGCCACCCAGACCCTCCATTGCGCCCGCTAATGCTTAGCTTCCAGTATATATAAGTATAACCCCATCAGACGGAGATTTATGAAAAAAAACCCAAAAGATATGCAAGATATGCAAACCCTATATATCCAGTCGAAATGGGTATATTATGAGAAATCGACCGAAGGAAATCAAAACCGAACCCGAAACCGAAACCGTTGCTCCTTGCCGGATCGCCTTTTCCTTTGCCTTCCTTGTCTATGTTATGTTATGTTCGAATTGTATTTCGTTTGTTTGTTATTGATGGCCGTGAGCTGAACCGGGAGGCCCCATCGGCGGACTTCCATACGCGGCTTGCTGTGCGTCCGTGTAGATTGGATATGGGACCATGTTCACGTTCGGCAACCCACTGACCTCCTGCCAGTTGGGGTATCCCATTGCTGCTGGCTGCGCGGCGTACGTAACCGGGACCGGCGTGCCCTGCATATCAGCGGGCGGACTCTGCGGGTGTATAGGGTAGCCTTGCCCGGGGCTCGTGACTCGTCGCTTAAGGTCGGGAGGCATGGGCTGTGCGAAGCCACCGGGACTAGGGTACTGCGCGGGCATATTCTGCTGCGCGGGGAACGTCATGGATCGGGTCGGGGTCGGGGCCATTTGCCAGACCGAGCCGTCTGGTTGTACGGCGTATGGCGATGACGGACTGAGCGGTTGTTGTTGCGAGGGGACGGTTGGTGCGCCGGGGAGCTGGGCGTTCGGCGGCATCGCGGCGATGGGGGTTGCGGGTTGGCTCCAGACGTGAGGATGATGAGGCATGTTGACGTTGACCATAGGCTTCCCTGCTGCAGCCATATTTGCTAGCATCTGCTGGTCTGGGGGGATAGTCGTGAACTCGTCCCAGGGAACGGTGGAGGGGTCCATCGGGTTCGGCGCTGCTGCATCTACACCTGCACCATACCTCGTCAGTCGCGATCTCGACTCAAGCTGAGGCGGATACCCACTTGGCGCAAATGGAGCAATTGGACTCGGGTAGTGTGCGGCGTTGAAGGTCGCGACTTCTGGCCCGGCGCTCAAGGGCATATGTTGGTAATGGTAGTACGCGTCCGTCTGCTCGCCCATCGTTGGGGGCGAAGACGACGCCGTCGACGGGTCATTCGAGATCGTCTCGATCCGGGAGTTGGGACGCGACTTCTTCTCGATGGGTGGTTGTTGGTCGACAGGGAAGAACTGGCACTCTTTGCGCAGGCGAATGCAGTTTTCGCATCGGCCTTGGGGGTCGTCTGCAGCGACAAGACACCGGATTTTGCGCCGGCGGCAGTGGACTAAGGGGGGACATAAGTAACAACGTTAGAAGGGCAATCAAGGGCAACTAACCGCATGCGACTGAGGTACGATGATATCCCAGCTTGTTGCGCTTCTTGTCGGCTGAGGGATCCATGACGGCGGGTTGTGTGAGAGTGATCGATGTCATGCACTCGACAGCCGTAGTCATGCTTCGTGAGATAGAATCAACAGGGTCGACCTTACAGCAGGCGCATCAAAGCCGATCACCGAGGGGCAGTGGTGGAAGCTGGTCTTGAGATGGGACGGTTAAGAAAGCCGGCCATACAAAGACAGGACAAGGGTGGCGAGGGGCAAGAATCGTAGTAGACGCGAAACTCGGCTAAAGAAAGTCGCGCATAAGAGGCCAGAGGCAGAATGCACGATGGTTGGCGTGATAATAATAATAATCGTACTGTCTTGGGCGCTCGTTTCAGCAGCGGTACTCCACACGTCCGCTGAAGCAGGAGGTGCCGGCTGAATGGATTGACTCCCAAATCGAGGGGCAGGCGATGTGTTTCAACAGAATTAAGTCGAGACCCGGCACCAAGCAACTGAAATGACTGCAGTCTATAATGTCCTCGCGATTAATGGTCGTGGTTGAGATCGTGTCGTGTCGTCGTGAGGCAGATTCCAGTCGGACGTTTGGTGGAAAATCACCCACAAAGATTGATGAATTATTAGAGTAAGGAGCGGTAGAAGGCGATTAAGGGTATGAAGGAGCGAAACAATGGAAGCAGCAATCAATCGGAGAAAGCAAGATAAATTAGGTCTATAAGAGAAGGAAGGGAGAAGGAGCGTGGGAGAGAAGAGGATAAGAAGAGCGAACAAAGTCTCGGGAAATCTTCCCTTCTGCTGCTAGAGTGAGTCTATATATTTAAGATTAAGATTGGGTTGGCTTTCTTTTGCCTTTCGCTTTGAGGAACTGGTAGGACCGTAGGAAAGGAAGGAAAGGGGTTTGGTGGGATCAGGTCGAAAGGCACCTTGGCCCGAAATGTTAAAATAATTAAATTCCATAATAATATTAATGGAAAATAAGGCTGTGGAATGACATCAAAGAGCACAAAGTGGATAGTGGTAGGAGCGCTGCTGAGCATCCGGTGGCATCCAGATATCACGGTCGAGCAAATTCTAAGTCATCTAGCATGACTTGCAATCTCTGGTCATGAACGGATTGTGGTAGGGATATCCTGATTGCTGACAGCGAGGCCTGCCCAGTATAAGATGAAACATCCAGGCAGGGTAATTTTTCCCTGGATTACGAGGTACAAGCAAGAACAAAGAGAGCTTATTCCTGGGCCCGTGGAACAATGAATCTCATTCTCGATCCTGCCTTCCTAGTCGTCGATGCCACTGAGCCTGATGGGCATAAATGATCTGTCTCTCGTCTAGCAGACAGATATCCAACCCAGAATGCACGATTCACTGATTCAGGCGGACTCTGGCATCCCAAGCGAGTGAAAGGAACTCATACGTGGATAATTGGGATCCCCCGACTCAACCAAAGACATCCATGGATCCAGATCTGTGACAAGTACAACGCCCTTCTTTCGGACTAGCGGGGGTGGGGGGTCCCTGAGTCTGAGTCTGAGTCTGAGTCTGAGTCTGACGGCGGAGGGCTGAATGGCTGAATGGCATCATCTTCCAGCAGTGATATGCCACAGATAGGAACGCCATCTTGATCGAGGACGAACTCCGTGTGTGGGGGATTTGGGTTACATTTCCCAGAGTCTCTCAGCAGACATGACCTGTCCGGCTCAAGTCAGGAGGCTTGAAGAGCCTTCCGTTGCTTTTGTCGCTGCTTGGAGAGTAGAGAGTCCGGCTCTGATTGGGTGTCGGCAGTGAGTGGGATAAAGGTGCCGGGACCAATCAGGGGCCGCGACGGCAGCAGCAGCAGCCCGATCTGTCGTAGCGGCAACATGAAACAGACCCTCGAGTCTTCGAGAAGGCTGCACTCGTCAGCGTCTCCACTGCGACTTGAAGTGACGAGTGTCAGTATCAACTTATCAGGAATCGCAGTCACAGACACTGCGAATTGCTCTCCAGACTTGTTGTTACTTGTTAGAGTCAAACCTCGTATACGTCGTATTCCGTACCCAACCACTACAACAAGACTCAGCATGAATCAAGCGAAGACGAGGAGCTGTCAAGTGGGCCAGCAAGGTTTAATTAAGGATACAGCTTCACTGCCTGCAATTTCTGCAACCCGGTGGGCCTAAACTAGCCCTGCAGTGAGCATGCAGGCCTCTGCAAGGGGAAGTTGCCTGGCAAAGATCGTCCTGACGATCTGTTGCCTCACGCCTTCAACCTCACGATCAGTGGGCTGATGACGAGTCGCTGTTCAGTGCCACTGCCTTTGCCATGTCACCACCCTATCTAATTATATCTGCAAATAAGAGCACTGAAACCCAGAATGTCACTTTGGGGCCACTATCTCGGGTCTCGGAAATAGCTCCGAGCCCTGAGGCCCTGGATGATGATGAGACTGAGACTGAGGACATGTCGACTCGAAGGCACCGCTTGCTTGGCGAGCACTCAGGGTCTTGCGCCGACAGCTAGTCAATTGCCGAGCATAGCCGAGGACGCCGTGTTCTTCGGGGCATCTGGAAGGTTGGTTTGGAGTTGTCTTCAGCGCTGGCTTGGGCTCATAGTTGTCCCGGAAACAGATACCCAATGGGCAGGTAAAGGGCGCTGGTCGAGGACCCGCCAACGTCCCCCATACTGGAGCCTGCTAACCTTGTCCGGTAAATGCATAACTGCATAACTGAGTGTCGTGAAATCTGCTTTCCTCTCCTTATTAAATATGGCTGATGCTATTGGCCGTACTGCCAGTAATACGAATAAAATCGTATTAATACGGTACCTAGATACCGCTAGTCCCGCTTGCTAAGCAGCAGAAACCGCTCCCCCGGAATTCCCTCGAAAGCCGAACCATGACACTCTCCCATCCCAACGGCCACGAGCTCAGCGGAAAATCTATCCGAAGCTCTCATTGTTTGACACTTCCAGTCCTGTCATATCGCGTCTCTCAAGGTTCTCTCGGTCAGCTGGCAGTCGTTTGGTTTACTCAAAGTGGTAAGTGTTTCCTCCCCGGGCATGCCCCGCTCTGCTCTGCTCCTAACTTCCTCAGCAGCTGGGTCAGGGCGCTTTGACATTATAGAACCCAGATCATGACATCTAACGGTCGCCTAGTCCTACCTTGAGTCTCGACTCTCGCGATCAGATAACACGAATCCCCGAAGCAGAAAATAATCTCCGTCGTTGGTAGCGAAGCGGAGATCCTTCGCCTCGCAGCCGTTGCCTGTTCAGGGTCTGTCCGAAGCATCATTGTCCTTCACAATAAACTGGAGGGTCAAGCTAGCGATAACCCACGGAGATTTCTCGTCCTCAGACCCCACGGCCTCGCCGGTGTTTCAGTGTTTCACTTCCACCATGTGGTACTCCACTCACCACTCTAGTCCAGGTACCTCGACGGTTCGACCCGACCTTACGCGTCCTGCCGGGCCCTAGAGTTAGCTCACCTGCCATGCTCTCTCAATCAATCTGAATCGGAATCTGGCTTGGTTCGGTTCGTCAGGTTGATGCGGACGCGGTAAATAGCCGACGGTCCGTTGCTGGAGGGTATAACTACTAATCATGTGCATCCTGCTCGGAAATTCGAGTCTCGATAAGATCCACGGCTCTTCACTTCGGTCGTCGGTCCTTCTCGGGCTAGTCGCGATGCTTACAAGATGTCATGTTCTGGTCCTCCGGCTGGAAGACTCGGCAGTATCCTTTGTGGGGAAGCTGTGGATTGATATTGGACAACGGCGTTCATGACTCGCAGTTGGGACAATCTCATTAGAGTCGCACGTGGAACTATCGCGCCTGAGTCCTGATGAATAAGAATTTCGATAGTCGATACAATCCTGCCGGTCATAACGACCGTCGAGTCTCGACCATGTCTCGACGCTTTGTCCTCGACTCCTCTCTACTTCCAACTTCCAAGTTTCCTGGCACTATGTTGGTCCTCAATCGAACCTGCCTGGATGATTGGATATCGAAAACCTAGGCTCGTCCCTGACTCGAAAACCGTTGGAATGCGATCTCGCCCACTTAGCCTTGCCTCGCGCAGGCCCAGATGAGCTCTTCCGAGTCAACCGAGTCCAACCATGATGCCATAGTATCCGCTCTCGCATGTCTACAACCTGCTCAAGAGTCAAGACCGCGCGCTCGAAGCACCAAGCCATGACCCTGGGTCGCATGACCCGAAAGAATTTCCGAGTGGATAGAGAGCAAGCCCAACGGCTATCGGATCGCGACAATCCCGCGAGAAATCAATAGTTCAACGGGGATCAGCTTATGTGGAGCCCGAGGATCAAGTTGGTAACAAGTGAATAGACTACTGTTGGTCGCCTTGCCAAGTTGAGCTCATGCATGTTTGCATGCCCACCGCGCAGGGCTTTATCGACCTTCGGAACTGAGGGCGGCATATGAGAGATGGGTTGGAAACACAGTACATACGAGGGGAGAGGATATCGGGTTTTTCATGCGTGATTTTGGAACGAGTCATGACTGCAGGTTCAGGGCTACCATTAGCCTTTCCCGACTATCGCAATTGATATCGCGTGCCGTGATGATGTTGGCCATCGGACCTAGATCGAGATCGATCTTGACCGTAGCCAACGGCTTGATGTGCTGGCGACATCCAGAAGGACCAATGGCCTCCTAAGCGATCGAGCTCATGGTGGCGGATTTGGACTCGAGAACCTATCATGCCTGCCCTGCTGATGCTGGCCTCCCAGGATACGATGGTTAGCTGAGACATTCATAGCAGTGACTCATGTCAGACTCGGTACCTGGTTAGACATGGCTTCAGCCTAAACAGCGCCTCATCGCTGGCGTGCAGTTCCTAGGACACATGTGGATCACTCAGCCAACAACGCCTCTCCCAGCTTCTCTCAGTCGTGGTATGAAAGCCTCATTGGAGCTCTGCCTTAACCATAGTATCGCTTTTTTGGAAGCACTCAGTCAACGATTCCCTTCCATCACGATAAACCTCGTTTCGCCCTTGGGATCGACCGAAGAATGTCCCGATCATCATTCATGGACGAGTTTCCAAAGATGAGTCGGCGGTATACTGCAAAAGGTCACCAATAAGGCGCGCTACTGCAGCAACGTGAGTACCCTGCATGAGTCACTTTGAGATTCATGTCCTCGACCTGTCATCGGCAATCACACCGTGGTCTTCACTCGTTGGCGCCTGAGATAGAACGCTGTCTCAGCTGAGTGGATCGGGGTAACCTGTCATCAGATTCATCACTGGAGTTCCCGTCCATACCTCCTTTCCCGTCCATATCCTGCCCTATCTTCGATCATCGCTACTTACTTATATCGACGTTCACATCAGTGTCAATACTTAGACTTGCGTCGGAAGTCCACTGGGACTCAAATGACACTGAGATTTCAGGAGTGACTCGAGCCGATCCTGACCGTTCTGATCTGCTAATTGACGCACCGCGCCGCCTCGAGCTGCCCTTCGAACCCTATCGACTCCGCTATAACAGCTCACTTATGGGCAGGTATATGAGCGGCAATTCGGTTCAGTACTTTATGAATGGACCAGAGTCGCAGGGCAGGGCACGCAAACACGACCACATTACTCTTCCACCCGTGGCCTGCACAACTCAGGTAGCTCAGCGTCTTCCTCGATATGACGAAGGCGGATGCTGTGCGCATTCGCATCCGCATCTACCTCCACACCCATGGCTCGCTGTTCTCAGAGAACGGTCGAGTCGGGAATTGTCATTTTTGGCCACTGGTATGCCTGCAACTGCAACCATGCGACACCGAATACGTGGCATGGGGTGAATTCTTCAAAATCTCAGTTCAATACGATAACTGCTGGCGCGCCTCTTGGGCAGCATCGCTTGGGTGAAACACGGCGTCTTCTTAGCTCCCAGCTGCTGCCCGACGCTGAGTTGCCAGGAATGTGTGCCAGATGGTAAAATGCAGCTACATCGCCAGTATCCAACATCAGACTCAAATTCGATCTCGAACATCCGGATGCCGGCTCTACGAAAGAAAACCCGTTGATAACGGCACCGTCGGCCATCGATTCGCCAGCAAGATATCATTCGCATCTGAATCCGACCGTGTCGAATCAAGATCCGCGCTTCTACAGTACATGGAGATATCTTCATATGCAGCGTGACCAGACTGTCAGAACCAGCTGAACTGCGTGGCTGATGGATATAGTTGCCCGTCCCCGTTCACCGCCAGTCCAATTGAAGCAGGCAGGAATGGAACATACGGACCAAAGAAATCAAATCTAGGCAGTCTCCGGGTTTCAATGCCAATCTTGCTTATCGTCAAGGGGAAGATGTTGCGTGCTCGGAATTCATTCTACGCTCCCCCTTGCAGACAAACAAGCTCAGATCGACATCGACACTTGGACACTTTAATCAAGCATCATCCCTTGCTCGCGTACCGTATACTTCACTCGCAGCAACTGTCCCTTACCCGGCGAAGTGGTACAGGTCAACCTTCAACGGGACGAAATAGGATTTCAGCCCCTTTTGTGCGACAACGACCTCGAGCGATCTAGGTCTCGATCCGGAATGCTGGTAGATCGAGGCCCCGTCCAGTCTGTGTACGATCCTACGATGCATGAGCGGGAAAACTGGATAAACGGTCGATCTACATCCTATGCGCAAACAACGTGCTTTCTGCTTCTACTGGCCGGGTATCGGATCCGGAATATCACAATAGGCAAGCAATTTTGCGCACCGAAGCTGGCTATCCTACTGCGGCGGCATGGACTGGACTTGCCCCAGCGCCCAGCGCAATCCACCCTTCTTCGCACCTTCAGACTCAGCTCGGGCAACCCCGACCCACCGTCCGTCAAATTAAGCTATCCTGAACCCTCTTCCCAGGCCCAAGGTTCACGCAACCCCAGGCTTAGACGGCATTGGCGGCACCGCACCCGTAACCTTAAGTATGAACTTACCGCGCCATGCTTAACATATGATCAAGGGTTATCGGCCATGAACTTACCACTCACCACTGACTTTTGGATATCCTGCAATGATGTCTTCCAGAAAGCAATGTGACGCAAACTCGTCATTGCATCTGAACATGACATGACGGGCTAGACTACACTCGACGGCACTGCCGCACTGGGCGGGTCGAATGGAAAGGCCGAGTGAGGTCAGAGCTAGGGCTTTCTCACCGTGGATCCATCGGTCCACTAGGTCCAGCGGGAGAAGAGGGTCGGCCCCGGGGGTTCCTGGTTAGCTCCGTGGAAGTGGTAAGGAACCTAATATATTATTCTTACGCTGCCAGTAAGAGATAAGCCCGTGCTGTATGGTCGGATCTTCTGAAGCATCCTCAGGTGTCTCCGTACTACGAGTAAAGGTGCTCGTCACTTCGCTGAGTCTGGTTTGGCCGAAGGCTCAGCGGAGTGACGAGTAGGTAGGTGACTCCGGGTGCGCGTAGGGCTGGTAAGTTGGCTTTACAAGTCGTGGTTGACGTGGCGTGATAGTGCTTTAACTATGATTTGATTCAATAGTTACGTTTACATCTACCGTTCCTAGGTCTTCCGTAGGACGTTAAGAGTCACTTCTGCATAATAAATCTTGTCGCAACAGCGATCCGTTCATGATCAAATTGTCATCTTAACATGGGTAGACATATATACTCGAAAGGGATAGCAATACCTCGCCAACCTACCAAAGACCCAGCTAGCAACTCAGTAAAAAGCAACTAAACTAAGCATGCTTCGCCAAAAAGTCCAACGCAGTCTGATACCCGCGCTCATACTCCTTCTTCACCTCGCCATCCTCAAGCCGACTCCTCGCCGCCATCCACCCATGGATCTGGCTCGGAAAAGTCTCAACGTAATGATCAACCTTCAAGTTCGCGCCGAACTGGCTCACATCATCGGGCTTCTCGTCTTTACTCGCCAGCAACGCCATGGGGATATTCACGTTCTTCGCGTCATTGGGGTCCAGCATTGCGGGGTGGCACTGCACGGCGGCCTTGAACGTCTTGTTTTCGGTCCCCGACGAGAGGACCACGATTTTGCCGCCCCAGCAGTAGCCCAGGATGCTCCAGTCAAACTTCTCGGAGGGCGCGTAGCTGTTTGCTTCGGACACGACGCCCGGGATCTTCGAGAGCGTGTTGGGGGGCGCGGCTTTTGTCTCGAAGAATTTGCCCAGTTTCTGCTTGTGTTCGTCGGTTTGTGGGGGGAACCAGGAGAGGTCGGCGGGATCGCCTTCGAAGAAGTCGGGGATGAAGACGCGGTATTTTTGCGAGCTTGAGGTGGCCAGGATGTCGGCGCCTTGGAGGGTTTGCGGGTAGAAGCCGAAGATGTCTGTAGATCACAATTGTTAGTTTTGTTTAGTTTGGGTTGGTTTGGTTTGGGTTGGAGGCAGTGGAGGCGCACCGTAGATGACGAGGATGGCTTTCGTGGCGTCCGATGGGCCCGTTACGTCTAGGTTCGTTAGCTGCTATTTTATTTTGACTTGGGATTGCCAATGCCGGTGCATAGGGAAATGCGGCGGTGCGTTGGAGGACGAACAGGTCTTTAGGCCATTGATGGTCTTGTACTCGCCCTTGGGCTCGTAGCCCTTTGCGACGATGGGAGGGATTCTAACGCGATCGAAGGTTAGCTGCGAGCGAGCTGGAGATAGGATCGAGGATGTTTCAGGACGTACGAGCAGCAGGCCTTGCTGACACCGGACATGACGGAAGAGCAGCGGATTGGGTTCGGTTGGAATTGGAATTGGAACGGGGAGCTCGACAGACGTTGCCGTTGGCGAAGCGAGGTGAGGATCGACCTACGGAGCGGGTAGGTTAGAAGCTGGCGGGAGGACATGAGACAGGTAACAAAGAGAGTGAGACGTACGATATTGGTTGGGTTGAGGTGGTTTGAGTTGGGTGAGTTGGGAGATGGAGGACGTTGGAGAGGACAGGCAGGTGAGGGTGACGTTTAGACACCCCGCGTTGATGTCATCGGCTAGAGTGGTGCAGCTACTAGGTGGTGCTACTGTCGGCTGCGGCTTCGGCATTTCATACCATCGTAGTGCTGGATTCAAATCTATCAAGAGTACGGAGTTTTTACTATTGGATTTGTGTTAATTGTGTATGGAAAGCGTGCTTATTATTCAATTGCTGACTGGCATTGTTCCTGGGAGGATCAGTCAGACTGTGACTGTCAGATATATATTTCTCGGCAACGGAGTCCGTCCCCGTGCCCGTCGCATACTCCGGGCCGCTGCATCTGACGCTCGACGCATCCTGAGTCTGACAGCGCCCGGACTTTCTCACGCCAACGCCTCGTCTCGTCTCGGTTCTTAGTCTTACCCAAGCCAAAGGCAAATAAACTACCGCCATGTCGATAAACTACAGCCACCGCGAGGACCATGAGGACGCCACCTCACCGCAGCCACCGCGCCATGGCCTTGCTTAATCTCGGGCCAGCGGTCCAGGTCCAGGCTCAGCGCATTCCAGCAGGGAGCGATCGGCTGGGTCTAGACTCTGCTGGGAATGCTCAAGTTTGGGAAGAACCGGGGTCTGGCCTGAGACCTTGCAAGCGAGGCGAGCTGAATACGAAGACAGCAACAAAGACAGAGTTGACTGGTCAGGTCGCTAGCAAAGTCTGAGCAGTCAGGCAGGACTCAGTCCGAGTCGGGGCCGACCATGGGAGGAGGCGAGAGGCGAGGAGGAGGAGGAGGCGACTCTGCGGTGTCATGGCCGCCATGACCCACCGGCACCGACAGCATGGTCCGGAGCGAGCCTTTCCGCCGGTCAGAGGTCTAGATGCGACAGTTGTGCTTGTAACTGATACGGAGTAACTTGTGAGGAGGGTGATGAGTGAGCGAATAATCATTTAATGATAATCCCTCTGGGATCGAGGCTCGAGTTGGCTCGACCCGACAGGCCCGCATTTCTCCGAGCGCAATGCGCAAACATGCAATCTGACAGGTTGGGATGCCAAGGCCGCTAGGCTGGACTCGGCTAGTGGCATGTACAGCCTAGGCCTGTTGCAGACTAGCGGCTGGCAGCGATTGGCCTCCCGCCCACCTGACCACCCATCGCTTTCTTTCTCTGCTGCCCTGGAATGCCATTCTCCTGGGAGCGCTGACCGTGGATACGAGCGTTGTCTGATCGATCTAGACTAGACGGTGTCAGGGTCAGCTGCCAGCCTGCCAGCCTGCCTCGGACAGTCTGCTGGGTAGAGAGACGACTCCCGCAGGAATGGCAGCTCAAGCAGCTCCAGCTAGGCCCGTGAACGGTGGGACTTCCCTGTCAACCACGTTGCCGAGGATCAACAGAGACGGAGACGGAGGGAGTGACGGAGAGTGACTGAGCGACTGACGAGACTCTGGAGTCTGGAGGAAGAAGAGCGACTAGGTCATAGTAGTAATCTCTGTCTAAGAATGGGGTCCAGGACTAATAATAATAACAACCAGACGAGAGGATTAGCTCTGGCCTCTCGTTTCTTTTTCCTTCTTTTGCGACTCCTTTTTCTCCCATTTCTCCTTCTCATTTTTCACCCCCGCGTTGGCCAGACCGCACCAGACTCGACCTTTCTCTCGCAGACTCCCTCGTATCAACTCAACTGCTGCCCTCCTCTCCAGACACAACAGTTCTTCACGGTCATGTCTTTGTCCCTGCTTTCTTCCTGACTTCTTCTTCACCTCTGTGGGTAATGGTATGCCTAGCTAGTTCCCCCACCGCAGCTCAGCTCTGGCCTTATCTGGCCGATCCTTAACTGTTTGAGAGATCAACCCTGAGATCGCCTCCTGTGTTCAGATCGCTCTCGCAGCCTCGCTCGTCCATTCAAGATCGCTCTCGCGATCCCCTCGCCCTGGATCCTCCTGACCTCTCCGCCCTCTCTGGGAACCGACTCTGGCTGGGCGACCTTGCCTTTCCACAGACCACCCTCGGCCTCCCTGTCTCCGTCCTGCCTTCCGCCCCTGCCCCGAGAGAAGCTGCCGCCAACCTGGCGACCCTCGCGATCCCCCCCGGCATGGGGACGGGCCTGGAGGTCCAGCAACCGCTGAGTGCGCGGCGACCCGCCGCTCCCCCGTTGCCCACCTTCGAACTGCCCGCGCCGACCTTCACCGCGACGCCGGGCAAGTACCCTTCGCAGGCGCATCCGCTGAACCATCCCCATCTCCCTCCTCCAAATCCCACGGTCATCGCATCGCAGCCAGAATCCACCGCGACCGCGACGACAACGACAGCCACAACGACCGCCGTGTCATCGTCTCCGGAATCGACCTCGTACTGGGCAGGCGGCTCATATAGCGGGAGTACCGGTACAGGCCGGCAGTGGACACCGAACCTGGGCTCGTCGTATTCCAACCGAGATCCCTTCAGCCCATCCTTCCATCGCAATCCGGCGACCTCCACCCCCGGCGCCGACTCCATTCCGCAGCCCCAGGCCCCGACATACGACATGAACCAGCTCCCTCCGTTCCAGCAGCCGCTCTCAGCAACCGCAACCGCACCACCCGCTCACATGCCCGCCCACCCCATGCTCAGCTCCCACCCCCCCGTCCCCTCGAACGACCCGTACATGTCCAAATCCTCCTCCGCACCCGCCTACGGCGCCGTCCTCTCCAGCCCACCGGGCTACCAATACCCTCCTGCCGCACCGACCGGCCCACCACCACTACCCATGCACCATCCGCCACGCGTCGCGTCGAATCCTCCCCCACCACACCTCAGCTATCCGCCCCAACCACGGCAGCCCTGGCCGTCATACAGCCTGCCCGCGATGACCGGTCCCGTGATGACGAACGTGCACTCGCCCGGCGGGCAGATGTCGCTGATGGGCCCGCCGCAGTCTGGGCTCCTGCCGGGTTTTAACAGCGGACTGGCGGCCAGCATGCAGCAGATGTATGGCGGGCACCATCCGCACATGATGCACGGGGCCGTCGGACCGACCAACGACCGGCCGTTCAAGTGCGACAAGTGCGGGCAGAGCTTCAACCGGAACCACGATCTGAAACGGCATAGTCGCATCCATCTGGCGGTTAAGCCGTATCCTTGCCATAGCTGCGATAAGCAGTTTTCGCGGAAAGATGCGTTGAAGGTAGGTTTCTGAAGGCGGCCGAGGGCGGTCTCGGACCCTTTTTCCGGAACTTAACTGACATACATTAGCGCCATCAACTTGTTAAAGGATGCAAGGATCCGAATGAGCCAGAGAGATCGGTCAAGGTCGAGGGGGGCGAGCATTAACTTATTCGCTCTCGACCCGCGTTGGCCCATCGCAACGTATCGCAAGAAACGCAACACGGCTCGAACCCAAATCGTGCGCTCGTCGAACACAAACCGGCTATCCACGTTGAAACTGCACCATGTCGATGACGGTGGAAATAGGACAGAGGACAGAGGAATGACGGAGGATATGAGAGGAAAAAGGCAGGTCGCAGCACTCGAAGCACTCGAGCCGCAGCCCGCCGACTCGGAACGAGTCAAGTACAGACTGGGACAATTGTCTAAAATGTTACCGGCTAGAGACAGGACAGACGGACACAAGTACACGGAGTTGTCGAGAGGGATATGGCATGATTATTGGGCGTTTTTCTTTCTTCCCCAAAGACGAACTGACTTTGACTTTGACATTTTTGATTGATTCCACACGTGGAACGCCGGGATTTTTGTTACTCAAGTTCGGTTAGTGAGATTTGACTTGTACTGGGCTGGGCTGCGCGGTGTTTGGTGTCGACGACTCTTTTCGTTCGTTTTGTCTGTCTGTCTTGTCTTGTCTCGAGATGTACCGTATGTTGCACGCAACAAATGTATGTATCTGTAGCACTGGGAACTGGGATCTATTTGTTTGTCTGCTGCTCTTCATTTGTCTAGGCTTATTATGTCGTGCTGGGCTCTGCTATGTCGTGCAGGTGTCACTGCTCCAGGCTTGTATCACATCGCTGATGGGACACAGGGTAAGGTCTCCTGCACGACAGTCTCATATTACTTTCTTTTTCAGTTTATACCATCCAAGATGGGAGAGGGAATAGAAGACATTCACATAAAAAGAAGTCTATATCTCCTCCCTCTCCCTCTCCCTATATAGCGACGTCTCACCCCGCTCCACAGCAACCCCCCCTCGACCTCTTTCTCCTCTTCAGCACATACCAATCCACCCTCGAGTCTCGACGCCCCTACTCCCCAGCTCCAACACCTCCAACAAGGTTCAACTGGTTGTCCTTCTTGCCATCGGCGCGAAACACAAATGCAAGTGTCGAGTACGTTTACGTTTAGGGATGCCGGAGGGACGGGCTCGCTTTCGTTCCCGTCTATCACCACGCACGACTCTCCTCCGGCCCCTTCTACCACTACCAGGGATAGCTGGAGTATGGGCGTGGATGTGGATGTGGATGTGGATGTGGAAGAGGAGGACGGCGAGGACGTGGAAGAGGAAGAGGAAGAGGAAGAGGAAGAGGAAGAGGAAGAGACGCACGCCCTCTACGCGCATCCATGGCTCTCCTTCTGACGGACACACTCAGCCGCGTTCAGAGTGGAGGCGGGATCCGCGCCCCCTGGCCCCGCGGGTTCCGGCGTATCTGGCATGAGGTGGTGGTGGCGGCTGTATGGGAGTTAAGGCGAGGCGAGGGGAGGGTTGGAATACCTAGCCGCCGACTCGGCCTCGGGTGTGGATGTGAGTGAGTGTGGAGTGTGGAGCCCTGCTCAAGCTCAAGCTCAACACCCACGGACTTCAGCGATGGCCTTGCGCTCGACGAGAGCAGAGCAATGGACTCGGCTGCAGGTGGTGGGGATTCTCGCTGGCGACTGTCCGTTGATCTTGTTGGTAACGGGGGCCCGGGGGGAGACTTGGTGTCTGGCCTTCGTGGGACTACTGTATCAATTCCATTAGGTGCCCGCACTCCCAGCAAAACTCACAACGCCCGGCGGTTCCTTGCATTTGCATACTACTTACGGTACTCGGAAGAGCGGGGGGAGATGGATGTGGATTCCAGAAACAGAAACCATTCGCAACAACCATGGAACCCCGATCCCCGTGGAAGCGCATCTGCGTATACTCGGTTCCTCTGTCTGGCTCTCGTATGCCCGTTTTAGCCTTGACTCCTCCTCCTCCTCCCCCTCCTCTGGTCCGGAACGCAAGAACAGATAGTAAGCTCGTTCCACTCGCGCGACGGGCAGACCGTGCGTTGGGGTGTGAGGCTGGCTCTGGGTTTTAGCCCGGCCACGGAGGAGACGGAGGATCGGATTTGGTTCTCTGGCATTTTGTCGGGAATCGGAATGAGGAGTTGATGGGGAAGGTGATGAAAGTGAGCTTGGTTGCGTGGACATTCGGCGTTGGTATGGTAGTGCCTTTTGGTACCTGGCTTAACTGTACGGTGATGGTGATGCTAATGTATTCTATGGGTAGCAGGGAAGGGCTATGACAAGGTGTGGATGGTGGCCAGCGCATTGGTTTATTAACAAAGCACGGCCGGGCACTCATAGCCTCACAGCCTAAGATGGAGTGGAGGTTGGTTAAGGCAAGCTAGATTAAATATCTGGGGTTTGGCAAACGCTATCGGGATTCCATTCATGAACCGTGGTAGTCAGGGTACATCTAGGTAGGGCTTGGGTAAAGCAGTTTGAAGGTAGAAGTTCCCCCCAATCTCAAGCTATTGGATTATCTCCTATAAGCGTACTCTTTAAGTATTTCCGCACGTAAACAGGACTGTAGTGCCGTTCTAGGTGAAGTGTTGAGCCCTTAAGCTCCTTAGGGCCGTGTCGTTACATGTGGTCAGTTCTGTATATCATGGTCATTACTGAGCAACGAGATGACCCATACGCGTTTCTTTAGTTGCGATTGTTAATTTAGCGGACAATAGCGCTTTGAATTGAGTAAAAGGTACCATATATATAAATCCCGAGAACCGAACCCCAGAATGCACATGCAAGGCAGCCCATCGCATCGACCCGACCAGACCCTAACCCTAGAGAGATAAGAAGAGAAAAATAAAAAAAAGAAGGAAAAGGAAAAGAACACTGTAGACGGGAATGAATGAACCGATCACATCATAAGGAATAGGAAATATCCAAAAGAATGGCTGGAAGACAAGGTGACGAAGTTAGTAGGGATCAAACATCCCTCCTCTCAACAATCGTCTCCCGCACAACCTTAATCCCACTCAACTCCTCGTCCCGAATCGAATCCAGACTAGAGGCCAACGTACTCGACCCCTTCGGACTCGCATGTGTCCCACTCGTAATAACCGCCTCGGCGGCCCCGGCATCGCTCCGGAACGCCTCGAGGCTCATCTGTCTCTGCACGCTCATCCTTCCACCCGTCCCAACGCCCATGCCATACTGTCCCTGCGTGTGGTTGAACTTCTTACTCAGCATCGCCATCTCATCGCCCTCCTCCTCGCCCGCAACAGCAACAGTCGTCTCGGAGTCATCGCGCCACTGCGTATCGGGTATGGACAGCGGGTGTCGGAAGCGCTTCTTCTTGCTCGCCTGCGACATCCCCATGAAACTCTTCCCGCCGCCGCCACCGCCCCCGTTGCCGTTTTTGTCGTCGGTTGAAGCGAGTGGGTAGGATTGCGAGTGCGCCGTTCGGTGCGTCGTCATGTACAGGCCTGCGCGTTTTGCGATCCGCCGCAGGAACGGGTAGATCATGGGGGCGTTGCCGATGATCACGGCGACGAAGGTCTCCCTGCACGCCCAGGAGCCCGCTTGGGAGGCGCCGTTTGCGCCGGCCTAGATGGCTGTTAGAAGGCTTCTTTGTGGTTGGGGAAGGGAGGGGTGGACATCGCGTACGGTGACGATCAGGACGCAGCGGAGGATTCCGGCGGCCATGACGAATGTTCCGCCGGAGAAGAGGACGAGGAGTTCGAGTTTCTCGCGGATGGGAAGGCGCGCTTTGAAGAGGATCTGTCCATCGTCCATGTCAGTTTCTTTCCTTCGGGTTCATGGTTGGGTTGTGTGTACCGGCATCGGGATACTCAGCAGGTAGATATCCGTCGCGACGTTCAGCGTCACCGTAACGTAGACGTCGATCTTTGATACTGCGGGTTGGCAGTAGTTGCCTGGGTCGGGGTAGATCTGCCAGTTCTTGGACATGGGGTGGCACCCGAACAGGATGGAGCAGATGACGGCGATATAAGTCGCGCCGATCATGGCGTATGCGATGCGCACGCGCATGCGCATGTTGATGAGGCCAGCCCTACACAAAGGCCATCAGCAAGCGTGTTAGCAGAGTGTTTGGGATGTTGGGACGCACGTCAACCGCCCGTAGAAGACCGCCATGCAAGCCTTCAGCAGCCACAGCAGGGTTGTATACAGCGACCAGCCCAGCACCTGCGTCTTCGACCCGCCAACGCGCAGATGGTATTCCTGGGAGTCGGGATGTTTGCTGAGTTCCAGGCGCTGCGCGTCCGTCATGCTGTTGTTTGCCAGCCCCATCCACCATGCGCCAACGCAGTACGCGGCGCCTGTTTCAAGGCCGTAGACTACCTATCCGCCACAACAACTGTTAGCATCTATATCGGCAAAAAGCGATGGGAAGGAACGCACCCCCGCCAGCGGCATAAGATAGTCATCGAGCTGGAAGTTCTTGGGCCCCGCGATGCTCCATCGTGCAACGACACGGAGGACGATGGCGACGATGGCGAGGGCGAGGAGGGTGAAAGCTTCGACTTCGAATTGGGCCATGTTCGCCTTGCCTTTCCTCGAGACGGTCAAGGGTTAGGTCAAAGGTTCAAATTGACTCGACGCCAGGAACAGAACAGCCAGGGACAGTCAATGTAAGTGAAACGGGACAGGAACCATGGAGACGGGAGAAAGAAACCTGCTGGAGCCAGAGCAGAGCAGAGCAGAGCAAGAGCAAGGGGCCGGTCCATTTTTCAACATCCATTGTGCAGCGTATCATATCATATGCCTCCTATTAGCATTGCAAACTCCACCGCTGTGGCTGTTGCCGTGATCCATCCGACCGGAGACCGACGGAGGACGGAGAGCTGCATTGCATTGCCGGAGTGGGAATGGCGACTGGGGATCAAGTGACGGGTCTGGATGGGATATGAGGCGTCGGGCTTTGTTGGCGAGATTGAAGTTATGCGTTGGGTCTGTCACTGATCGGCGGTGGAGTTGTTGACACTGACACTAGGAGAGTTGACGCCGAGTCTATTCTCGGCGAACCAGAAGTTTCTTCACTCCGCTTCTGCCACGCTCAAGCCGCCCGCTTGCATCCTCCAGCTGCCCAGCACTGCAGACTCGATGAATTGACATGCATGACCCTAGGAAGCCATCCATCACATCGACAAGACGAGAGTCGAGAGCGAGTGCGCACAGACCGGTCGTTTCTTCGTCAGTTCAAGTTTCAGCAGTTCAAGACTGAGCAGTTCAGTTGAAAGAACTCCAACTCCAACTCTATTTCTTTCAACTCGAACTGCTCGATTCTCGAACTCGGCAGATCCCAGATCGCCCAGCCCGGCCTACTGCAGCTGTATGCAGCTCTGCATCCCATCAAAGCAATCCCTGCCGGAAAGTCCCCCCGACCAGCTGCAGCCTGCACTCCGAACTCCCTAGTCCTATCAGATCCAGCGTCCTTAATTTCCGCAGTTCCCGGAAAGCTACGGAGTAGACCATGAGTGACACTATTTAATCATTTCATGTCTGGTGCCGCTATGGAGACTGGAATGTGGGGGTGTGGACGACCGTTGTGCCGCCCGGGACCACCTTGCTTTTCCAAGGAACTCTCGTCGATGTGTCCACTTGGAATGGCCTGGTCGGATGCAAGATGACTAGTCTGGTGTTGTCTCCAACTGCTGGGAACTCCGAGCGATTGGAGTGCAGTCAAGGGATCGCACCGTCGACCAACACTGCAGGCGATATATCTCCAACCTTGTCCGGGGTTCCCTGCAGCCTCGAAACGTACTTTTACTCCGTCAACTCTCCGACTCGTCTCTTGCACTCTGCTGCATCTCGGAATCTCCCTCTGCCGCTGTCACATCAACGCTGCAATGGAGTCTGAGACGCTTGACCTCCTCATCGTTGGCGCCGGTACTTTCCTCCTCGCTCTCCCTTTCAATCTGCTAATGAGAGTAAACATGCTGAGAAAACATGCTAATGAGTAAACAGGCTGGAGCGGCCTCGCCGCCCTCAAAACCTACCGCCAACTCCACCCCTCCGCGAACGTATGCCTCCTCGAAGCAGCCTCCTCGGTCGGCGGCGTCTGGGCAAAACACCGGCTCTGGGACGGCCTCAAGAGCAACAACATGCGCGGGACGTACGAGTACTCTGACTTTCCGATGGACGACTCGTTCGGCGTCAAGGAGGGACAGCATATTCCGGGGCATGTGCTGCAAAGATACCTGGAGAGCTACGCGGAGCATTTCGGTGTGCTCAAGGATGTACGGCTAAACTGCCGCGTCGAGACCGTGGAGCACAACGAGGATGCGCAGAGCGACCTCAAATGGACGGTCCGCTACACCGATTCTACATCGGGAGAGGAACAAGAAAAAGAAATCACCGTGCGCAGCCGCAAGCTCATTCTTGCGACCGGCGTAACCTCGCAACCGTACCTCCCGCACATCGAAGGCCAAGAGACCTTCGCTCGCCCGCTCTTCCACACAATCGAGATGCCAAAATACCTCGAGTCCACGCTGCAACAACCCACCAACCGCATCGCCGTGCTGGGCGGCACAAAGTCCGCCTGGGACGTCGTCTACGCTGCTGCGACAGCCGGCGCCCAAGTCGACTGGATCATCCGCGACAATGGGCACGGACCCTGCTGGATGGCGCCGCCGTACGTCACGCCGCTGAAGAAGTGGCTGGAGAAGCTGGTGACGACGCGGCTGCTTACGTTCTTCTCTCCGTGTATTTGGGCCGAGCAGGGCGCCGAAGATGCGCTCGGCAACAAGGCGCGCGCGTTCCTGCATGGCTCGTGGCTTGGCCGGAAGATCACGGACTCGTTCTGGAAAGTGCTGGGTGACGACGTCGTCGCGCTGAACAAATTCGACTCGACCCCGGAGCTGAAGAAACTGCAGCCGTGGATCTCGCCGTTCTGGGTTGCGTCTGGTCTATCAATTCTGAACTACGAGACGAACTTCTTCGATCTCGTTACGGAGGGGAAGGTCCGAATCCATGTCGACCATATAACCCATCTCTCCGAGGGAACAGTCCACCTCGCAAAAGCCCCCGCACTCGACAATGTCTCCTCCCTCGTCGTCGCATCAGGCTGGTCTCCAACACCAAACATCACCTTCGTCCCATCGACTCTCCCATCGCAACTCGGTTTCCCCAACGCCACCGACCCCCTCCCGACATCTCTCGTCCAAGCCGCAGACACCGAGATCCTCCGCCGTTTCCCCAAGCTAAACGAACACCCGACGCACAACTCCCCCGAGAAATACGAGCCCCTAGCGCCCGACGCACAGACCGAATCCCAGTCTCTGCACCCCTACCGCCTAACGCGCTTCATGGTGCCTGCATCAGACCTCGGCCGCGAGCGCAGCGTCGCGTTCATGGGCGTCGCAATGACAATCAACACGCCGCTCCTCGCGCAAACACAAGCCCTCTGGATCTCCGCGTTCTTCGCCGGAAAGGTCTCGCTCGACTCCATAGCGACAGAGACGTGCCCCGAGCATCTTGCGGCCATCCTATCCAAAACAACATCGCCGTCCATCGACCCGGGCGTCGACACCAAGAAGCCCGCCGTCACAACAACAATCACGAGCCCAAGCCCCGAGTCCGAGTCGCAGTCCCAGCCCTTGAATGACAAGCAAGGGAACGGAAACGGCTACTTCAACACCCTCTACGAAACAGCGCTGCACACGCAATTCGGCGTGCACCGGTACCCCGGCGGTCTGGGCCGCAGAAATCCGGACTTCGTCTTCGATGCCATTCCGTATGTTGATATGCTCCTAAGGGATCTGGGACTCTGCGGCGCTAGGAAGAAGGGCGGGTTTAAGGAGCGCTGGCTGAGCCCGTATGGGGTTGAGGATTATGTTGGCGTGCTTGGGGAGTGGAGGGAGAGGGAGAGGAATGGGGGCAAGGAGGTGGAGGAGGTATGAGTGAGTTATCTATATCGAATCGAAACGGAGGTTGGAGGAGGTTTGATTTGCTTGTTTTTTTGGCTTGTTCTGTTGCGTCGGTCTCTTGATTCTTGCAGCTTGCATTGTGGACATGGACATAGAAACGAGGGCTTGGGTGCTGGGCCGGGGTGCTTAAGCACCTACCCTATCCTATGAGACGCCTCGGCCAGGTGAGGCATCGCGCGGTCGGTGCGGGTGCGGGTGCGTAGTGGCAGCGTGCGGTTTTTCTCTCTTTTCTTTTCTTTTCTTTTCGTTTCTTTTCTTTTCTCATACCCAGTTAGGTACGTACCTAAATCAAGTATTCATTCTGCACTTGAGCTGTTACTCTGAACTGAAGCTGGCGAGTTGCTTACTTACCTACTATGCTACCATAGCGTACCATAGCCACTTTCCCATTTCCAGGCCCGAGCATACCATACCTACCACCTGCATACTCCGGTGTAGGCTGGGTAGCTAATCAATCCCGTCACGCTGCGTTGCTCCCCGTCGTCTCCGTGCATTATTCGCATGTCCTACGGTAGCCCTGGAGGTACGACAATGTGTCCCAGTACCGTAGAGCGGTTTCATAGGAGATTCCATTCTTGGGGCTTTCCTTCAAGAACTAAGACCGATTGAGATAGATGGCAAGGTAGAGTAGTGTGACTGTGTGCTTAGCTAGGTAAACTAGGATGGGAATCTGGATACGTGGACTTACACTCAAACGGATCACTGTATCTACATTCAGTGGGCGAGAGAGAAATGGGACTGCGCTGGTTGAACTGGGTACTGTAAAGGTGCAGATGAAAAAATGTAGCTTTTGACATGACAATCTTATAGTAAGAGATGGCATGAGGCATCAGAACATGAGATATAGACCCGAAATATTGTCTTGTGATGTTCGTTGTCACCAGGAGTCTGAAAAGGCATCCGAGTCTTCAGAGGCTTCAGAGCCATCCGAGTCTTCAGAGGCATCCAAATCCTCAGAATCCTCCACAATCCCACCCTGCACTGGGCCCAACTTCTCCATGAACGACTCCAACAGTTTCGCAGTAGCGTAATGACAATTCTCCCGTGCGAACTGAACAGCGTTATTGTATTGCCTTCTGCCGAATCTGCCATGTATCAAGGCGCCGTGCTCGAGAAGCAGGTGGACCATGTCAATCCGGCCATGTTCCGCTGCACCTTCAAGAGCTGTTCTCCCGGAGTACCTTGCGCCTTTCGCGTTGACATTCGCACCGAGACGGATGAGTTCAGAGGCGATAGGCAGGTAACCTTTGATTGCTGCGAGCTGCAAAGCAGTAGCACCTATCTTCTCGGCAGGCGCGTTATTGACATCGGCACCTCGGCTGAGAAGAAGGCTTATTAGCTCCCAGTTTCCACATTCCACAGCACGCTGTAATGCTGTACGGCCGCCGAATCCCTTTGCAGGGTAGTTGATGTCAATCTCATCGAGATCGAGCAGCTTGCGAACGAGGGGAATTAGTTGATGCTGTACCGCGGCCTGGAGAGCCGTGTAGATCATAATATAGATCTCATTCATGACGAAGTTTAGCCCTAAATGCCCTAAATGGTCGACCGCTATCTCCTCATTGACGTTGGGACTCAATTGGAGGAGTCGATCAACCAACTCCGCTCCGTAAAAGTAGACAGCCAGCGCTAGGGCACGACCGACTAATTCTGGACCCCAGTCATTTGAGGTCGACTGTATTACGGCCTCCAGAGCCGAACTGCTACCTCCTGCTGCTACTATCTCCAAAGCCGAATGAGGTCCAGAAACATAGGCAGTCTGCCGATATGTCCCGTTCGCAGGTTCACATGGTCGACCCCAAGAACCACAACAAGGATGCGGCACGCCCGTAGGGTCTGCGCCTGTTGAAAGAGTGAGTTGTAGTAGATCCAATCTTCGCCCAAACCCAGCGAGTGCGACTGCGCTAGGAGCACGGCCTCGAAAGTTAACTAGTAGGCGTTGAAGCACGTCAATGCTACCGCCTTCGTTTTGGATGCAATGTACAGCCTCAACTAGCTCGCGGTCAGTCACTCTCGACCCGCGGCCAATGAGGCCTTCCACCATGGGCAGGTTGCCCTCTTTAGCTGCAATGCTTAACGGTATGTGGCTGTGGAATTTAGCATTGAGTAGGTTGACATCCCGATCAATGAGCCACCATGCTAGGTCAAGCTTTTGTTGTTCCAAGGCTTTTAGCAGGATGTTTGGGCCAGAATAATCCAAAATACCTCGCAGAGCTTCGGTTTCGTTAACATGCATTGCTGTGTCCGCGTCCTTGATCTCGTCGATACTCAGGTTACTCGGAGTCACGACGAAGTTTGCTAACTGGGCAATGAGCATATGGTCCCCTCCCGCAATGGCTGTTGCGAGCATGATCCTAACCCATCGGCTATAGTCTTCTTCGGTCTTAATTTTGAATATTTTCAGTTGGTGGATGATATCTGCGGAATAATAGTATGTCGGCAACACCTTGTTCAATGTTCGCTGGTTGCCATGAGACAGTGGATTGTGGATTTGAGCACCATTGTCAATCAAAATCTTGCATACCTTCATATTCTTGTTTTTCAAAGCACATAGAAACGGCGTCCAGCCATTATAACTGGCCTGTAGATCGACTCCCGCGTAAATTAACGTCTGAAGAACTTCAGTGCGGTTGAAATCAACCGCTATCAAGAGATGAGAAAGATAGCTTGAACTTTCCCTGACTTGGCCCGGGTTGACGAGCCCTGGGCAGGCTTGTAAGACCCGTTGAATGATCTCCGATCTTCCAGACTTCGCCGCTGCACCCAGTAGCGTGGCTTCACCTCCGGCTTTACCTTGGGCTTCATCTCGAGAAAACCGAAACTGCCTGATGGATTCCTGGTATAGTCCATTCGGATTGTCGCAGTGACTTAGAAGGTCATCAAAGAGGTCTCCCTCTACCACATTCGCAGCAGCAGCGAGACACTCGATGGAAACAACAGTCCCACGATCGCGGAGCACCTTAATGACCGCTTTGTTGTTCTTGCAAATTGCGTACAGCAAAGCGGTAGCTCCTCGGTGTGCTCAGTTGACATTAGCTCCGCAGGAAACGAGGAGTTCGCATAGCTCCACACCCTTGTCCTTCTCAATATACGCGGCCCACCCTAAAGGAGTCATGATGTTTGGAAATGCGTGAATGGGTCTATTCGGATCCATCCCAGCCTCGAGCATGGCCTTGACAATCCTGGTATCCGCTAGCCGTATCGCACTTGCGAAGAGTTCCTCAGCAATGGCCTCAGCCGTCGGCTCGTGACTAGCGAGAAGAACTTTGAAATGACTCGAGTTGTGCCAGCGGAGGCTTCGAGCTGTCTGCAATAGGTGCGCGTCTTGTGCTGCGATTGTCTCGACGGACCGTGTATGTGTATCGTGAAAGGCAAGAGCATTGGACAGCAGGTAAAGCTCCAACTTCAATTGGGTTGTTTGCAGAGCTTGGTGTTGTCCCTCGAATTCTTCTGGCATTAGAACATTCAACATTGCGCTTACCTGAGAGGCGACGCTCCTGTCAAAAGTAGGAAGGCGCTTCACGACCCCCTGTAGACGATTCATCACTTCGGCCTCCTCCAAGTAAGACGTGAATCCTATAACCTGAGACGAAGCAGCCTGAAGCGATGAAACTGCATCTGCTGGGAAAAGTCAACACGATCCAGTGCCTCCTGACCGTCGAGGCGGCAAGTCTGCGTACATTGAGTCTGTCCGCGCAAAATCTCTGTAAACCTCAGCCAAGGGATCGATGGCGTCCAGATCGGACGCAATCTTGGGAAAGATGGTTGAAGATTAACATGTGAGCTGGGAGATGACGGTGTTCGAAGAAGCACCCCATCGGGTGTTACTGGGGAAGGAGCTGTCCACGGTCTTCCGTCAGCGCTTCAAAGTCTCCTTGAACTGCTGCATCTCGGGTAGTCGGGTTCGTCATCGGAGCCTAAATTGGGCCTAACCGATCAGCCCAGCTGGGGACAGTCTGGTTGATCAACTTCGTATTCCGTTTACCAGAATGGAGTTGGAGGCTGGTTACTGCTGTCAGCAATGTGAGCACTGAGAAGCGAGGACATTTCCCAAAGGGTTGGATCGCCGCTAGGAGCAATTGCTCTGTGCACCCCGAAGTGCCTCAGTTGACCCTCTTATTGGCTATTTCCGAATCTGGCTCTTTGCAGCTGGAGGCAGGCCAACGCCCCTTCTTGGCCCATGTCTATGCACACCTCACCTAAACTGACGCCGTTGATTGGAGGAGTCAGAATCTCGGTCTCTTGGAAGGCTTCTCGAAAAGCGTTCATACTTCGGGATGTTTCTTACCGGGGACAGCCTCAACAGCACAAACCTTGTATAAATCGCCCCTCTTCAGCATTCCTCTCCAAGGATCGGACTTTCCCACCGGCTCTCACCTTCCCTCTACTGTCTCCTCCCTTTTGCCTTCGTATCCATCATCCATGGCATGGCTAAGTACTGAGTTTGAACCATCTGAACTGGAAGCCTATATGGCCACGGAGAGCTTCACTGAGCCTCAGGTTACTGAAGCGGCTCGAACACAGCTTCTGTTACCTGCAGGTGATTTCATAGACGCCCTTACCGTATGCGACCCTTTATCTCTAGACGCCACCATTGTCAGCTCGGGACACCTAACGAGTTCTGTGCGGAACCCATCTCGCAATCCAGTCCAAGTAAACATGGCCATGACATCAACCATGGAGCAACCTCGTGCTGTGTTCTCCACAAGCCATGACCCGGGAATGCCCCGCGCAGTCCCCTGCCCTATTGAACCCCGCTGTTCCTCAACGCATGCGCGCTCGGTGCCAGGCGCGCACGGCTATGCTAAACCGGCATACACAACTTTCTCGAATGCGCAGACATTCAACAGTTGTGCGTGCGCAAGCATCCGACCCCATCAGTGCAACATCGGAAACACAGACTCAATGGACGAGGACCCGCAATCGTACGTTCATCCTCCTCCGCTCCATTCCTCTATTAACATGATACCCACCCAGTCTCGCCGCGTTACCCGTATTCGAATGCAAATGGGAAGGCTGTTTGAGTCCCAAGCCCTTCCGACGCGAGGGAGATCTCATTCGCCATCTGAAGACTATACATATCTCTCCAACGAGGTATCCATGTCTCCTCAATAACTGCACCAAGGGTTTCGGGAGGAAAGACCATTTGCTGCAGCACCAAAAACGCCGTCATCGGGATTTTTAAGCGATGGAATCCAAAATTGAGCGGGATAGAAGCGCTGGGGATCTGGCTGGGCTGCTTTGGCGTTTGCAGAGGGCGTTGCTCGGGATTTGCTGTGAAAGTAATGATCAAGCGGTTTTGTGTTTAGGTTCTTTATGCGGCGTTTATCTTGCCATACTGTTGAAAATCTGAATGAACTCTTTCATAAATTGCGTTTTAAGCCATAGCCTGAAGAATGTAGAACTGAAGCCAACATTTCCGCTCATGCTACTGGTGGTTCGAATGAGTCTACCGTAGCGGAGAGGATGCGGATCACCGACAAAACCGGACCTTAGAATCGCTCAGGAGCGAGTGAACCAGGCCGCACTGCTGATAAGGTCCTTAAAGACCTGGAAAAGACATGGTGGTGGATTTCTGAGCGATGGATTGTCCTTTGAAGATTGAGCTGGGGAGACTTGAGGATGCCAAGAATCAGACCCGAGCGGGAGAGCCAAGCGGAACTGGGTTCTTCCGCGCCCGTGTCACGTGCTGACCTTCCCCTGCCACAATCGGTCTGGTCTTGGTCTTGTCAAGATTCCACTACCCACCTTCACTACTCTGTACTATCAGGCAACCAGTATCATAACAAACTTGCTTTAAATATATTCTCTGATCTATCCATCAAGCTTGTTGTGTTTATGGTGCTCCCACTTCCAGGTTCCAACTTCAGCTGTGTGTTTACGAACAGCTTCCTCTACCTACAGTTCGTCTCCACAAGCTTTCCCGAGCTTCACGGTGGACAGGTTGGAAACCGAGCTTGGGTCCTGTGGATTATCCTCTAGCGGGCCGGTATTACCGTGTTCTATCTTCAACTTCCAGAGCGATGGGCTACAGCGGAATGCCTTCAGTCTCCAATACCACCGTGCTCGCTCTGGTGCTTGACCGGACGTGAATATATAAGCCTTGACAACTACTTTCTTGGAAGGTCTAGGTAAACTGCCTCGTCTCTCTCTCCTTAAGATTTGCCTCTGGTGGCTTTAAATCATCAGGGCCCAAGACTTTAGTTAGCAGAACTGCACTGGAGACGCTCATGAGGCTGCAGATGCCCAGCCATGCAAAGACTCGAGCACACGAAATGCTCGCCTGCTGTCGGCACATTGCAGCGATGGCGGTATAGGAAATTTCCCCCCTGGTCGCTGTTGAAGGAGTAGTGGTACATATCCCACGCGGCGAGGTCAGCCTGGCGGAGGAGTCCCTCAACATACAGATCGAGATTATTGTACGTTGGTAGCGAGGTGGAGTTCATGAGGGTGATCATGGTCATTAGATCGGACGGCAGCCAGATCGTTTCCTGCACCCAAGGATCCGCGGTGCATCGACATCGTCGAGCGGCGTCTAGTCCTCGACGACTTCGCTGGCGAGGTACCGACTCTCCTTGCTTCGTGTCACGCCGGCCGTGGAAGTGATGTTGCCGAAGAAGTAGCAGTTATCGTTCGTCCCATCGCCCCACGATAACAGATACCGATCGAGAAGGTCAACGTCGCCGAAGATAGTCGGGTCCATCCTCGAGCAGTGCCGACTCTCCACCTGTGTCCTCTTCACCATGATTGCGACAATTTGGGTCTTTGAAAACATTGTTGCAGCGGGCTTTGTATCAGCCATCTCGGGGTACTCTTGTCCTTCAACCGTGTCGAATATAATTGTCAACCCGGGATAATAGTAAGATGAAGGCGGATCATCGACGATACTCAGACTGCTGAAGTCAGCGACGTACAGTCACTCGACCCTCGGCACTTCTTCGCCGACTCTATGCCACTGGATCTCGTCAATCAGAATACAAGACAGCACCGCGTCGCGCAAAGTCGCGTTCTGGTCGAGCCCCTGCCGTACCGGAACGATATGCCGGCACCCATTGCACGTCAGCGAGGTCCCGTTAGGAGTCTTGCTGCGATCGTCGCCTCACATTAGACTGGCATATCCCGCTGCGGTGCATAGTCGCAGCTTCTTGGTCAGACTTATGTCGTTGCATGGGTAGTTTTCAATAGAAACCGCCGAAGTTGGTACTTTCCAGCACAGCCGGCACGGAGAGGGTTTCGTCGGCCGCGGCGATCGAAGTCAAGGTCCAGCTGACTGTGCCGGTAATGATGGGTGTGATGAACGCCGGAAGCTTGAGAATAAGGAGCGCGATAGAGATCATCCATTGGCGCGGTTTCTGGAGGAGCCTCGACCAGAGTCGCACCCACGGTGGTAGCTTCCAAGTTCCAGCGTATCATCCAGCCCACCTGCTTTGCTTGGGTGACGACGTGGTCTGCCTGGCGTTCACTTGCCTCTATCGGGTCGGTGATGGTGGCAGTAACGGCATTGGCGAGGAGGTAATGTCTGCAAGCGTAGACGGCGAGAGTTGTCCACGCGCCAAGTGACACCTTGACGATAGCCGTCGCGGCGGAGATAAGCGTCGTTACATGGCCCACGCGGAGGACCAGAGTCCGGCCGATGTATCGTGCGTACGAAGCGGTGTCGTCGTCGAGGGTGTGGTAAGCGTCGACAGCCAGCGATGGTGAGGGCGATGGCAACGCAGACGGCTTGATCTAGGAGAAGGATAGCCCAGGCATTTTCCTTTGGAGGGAATCGCGAACTCAATTCCACTTTACTGGCTCTGGCTCCGACTGAGCGTCTGAGGTGGCGTTTTCTTGCTTGTTATCATCACCCTCAGGGCAAGGTCTTTCTGCTGTTTCGCAGAGTACTTCGTTCTTGCTCGTGTTCATGGTCGCGGTTTCACGAAATTGCGAAAACCTAACTGAACTGGGTACAAGAGCGCCAGCTGAGATGCATAGTGGATGAAGAAGAATCAGAAACATTGGGGATAGGGCGCAATTAACTGGTAAGAACCATGCTCTGCACCTCGCTGTTTTCTGTCGTGGCGCGGCTGAACAGTCCGACAGGGATATGAGTACATTGGCCGCTGGTGTCTGATCCCATCATCGCAACCGCAGAGAATACGAGGATCGCAACCGGCGACGTTGTTTGCTGCAGGCCTCTTTGCCGGCGATTGGGTGGCTCAAACGTCGTGTTGCCCTCGCTCACTTCGACAATTCATCCACGTTCGCCCGCGGAGTTCGGCGGAACCGGCGAGGCTGAAGACAATGCATCACAAGATATCTTGCCATTACATTAGATGGAAATTGAACCCGAAGGCAAGAGGCAGGACGAGCAACCACTGCCTTGGCCTCAGCCTCGTGCTGAATTTATGTCATCGGTGAAGCCGGGGGCCGCCTCCGCCAACGAGAAATAAGGTATGGTTTGATACAACGGAGTAGGTCAATTGACAGCGTTAGGCGACTCCTGCTCTTGACGAACACTATCTGCCTATACGAAGGGTATCAAGACAGTTCAGTATGAGTGCATCGGGCTCCCCATAGGTGGAGCACCTATTGCAGCACACGCATACCGCGCCCAGTCTTCAGGATAAGCCCCCTTCATGATCCGCGTTTCGTGAATCTCTCTAGCTGCATGTGGTTGTCTCCAACAAACCAGCCCCCATGCTCCAATCCATCATTTCTTCTTCAACGGCACGACCGTCGTCTCCCCATGCCTAAACACCGTAATGCCCGTCCTGACAATCCTCAACTGGCTCGGACAATGCGGATCCGGACAAGCGATAACCGCATCTGTTGTCATCCAGTCGTGCTCGTGTGTCATGCGTTGCTTTGCGGCGAGGAGGGGGAGGACCGATGCTGCCCGCCGTACGGTACAATGTTAGCAACACCCAGGCTCATTGCGGTGTATGGGCAACGGACCGAGGCTGTATATACTAATTCCTTGCCCCTCGGGCAAATACATCATTTCGCCCTTCAGTGTGAAATAGTCGCCTTCTTTGGCGCCGCAGAGAATGCGTTTCCCCTCAGGCACGATGACTTCGACGCGGAGGTCGTAGAGTTGGAAGGTGTCGTCTGCGGCCATTTTGATCCCGACAATGATCCAGTGTGGATTCACAGAGTTACTTTGTCAATTTAGGTGTTGAGCTTAAGCCTAAGCTTCTTATCCGATAAATAAGAAAATTGGAGACCGGTCTCCAAGTCTTATCTAGGACGCCGGCGCCACTAGCCCTCCATCATGCATCCATCGCGCATGCACGGGGTAAGTAGCGTGTGTTGGAGGCAAATGACTCGCTACCTATCTAATCTTGACTCACCACTTAGCAAGAAAAGATAAGCTCTTACGATCGCTTGAGACATTTTCGCTTTTATACTACCCCATACTTCTCGTCGCCCCAGTCCACCGTAAGGGGAATCTAAGACACATCTCCATCGCACACTCCACCTGCATCATGGCGGCACTAGGTTACTTCAGGGACAAGAAACACGCCGATACAACAGCAGAGACAGACCTCGAGACATACGCTGTCCAAAATGGCGACGTCGAAGTCGAGCAGATCAAACGAGACCTGCAATCCCGGCACATCAACATGATTGCCATAGCGGGGATGATCGTACGCCCCTTTGCACCCCTTCTACTTTTCAGTTAGTCACTAACGGATTGACGTCCAGGGAACAGGTCTCTTCCTCAGCTCCGGACAAGTGATCTCCATCGCCGGACCCGCCGGCGCCTTCCTAGCCTACATAACAATGGGCCTGGTAACCGCCGGCGTCGCCTACACAACAGGCGAAATCACAGCCTTTATGCCGCACACCGGCGGATTCATCCGACACGCGACCAAATTCGTCGAACCTGCTCTCGGCGCCGCAACGGGGTGGAATTTCTGGTATACAATGGCCATTAGCGCGCCGGCGGAGATCACGGCCGCGGCCACGTTGGTGCAGTTCTGGCACGTGGATGTCAGTGTTGCGGTGTGGATTACAGTTTTCAGCGTGTTTATCCTCTTCATTAACTTCTGTGGGGTTAGACTTTACGGCGAGAGTGAAGTTTTCTTCTCGAGTCTCAAGATCATGCTCATCATCGGCTTGATTATCGGGGGCATCGTGATAAATGCCGGCGGAGGCCCGAATAATGAGTATATCGGGTTCCGGTACTGGAGGACGCCCGGGGCGTTTAACGAGTACATTGAGACAGGCTCAGCGGGACGGTTCCTCGCGTTCTGGAAGGTCCTGCTCACGTCTGCGTTCAGCTACGGGAATATCCAGGTCGTTGCGATTTCTGGCTCGGAGACACGGAATCCGCGGAGTGTCATCCCCAGCGCCACGAGGAAGACCTTTGTCCGCGTGTTCCTATTCTATGTCCTCAGTATTTTCATCGTTGGGCTCATAGTGCCCTCCGACGATAAGTCTCTCTCCCTGTCAACGGGGACAGCCTCGCAGAGTCCATTCGTGCTGGCGTTTACGAGAGCCGGTATCGATGTCCTCCCGCATATCATCAATGCGGTTGTGTGCACGTCCGCCATTAGCAGTGGGAGCGGGTGTATCTTCATTGCCTCCAGAACCCTCTACGGACTCAGTCGGGACGGACACGCACCCCGGATCTTCCAGAAGTGCAACCGCTTCGGAACGCCGTATCTTGCTGTCGGATTGTCGGTTATGCTGCTCCCGCTGGGATACCTGACGCTTGGGAGCCAGGCGTCGACGGTGTTCAGCTGGTTTGTGAATATCACGACTGTGGCGGGGTTGATTGGGTGGGTTGTTATTGAGGCGACGTATTTGAGGTTCTATGCGGGGTTGAAGAGGCAGGGGTTTGGGAGGGATGGTGAGTTTGCCTTCCGAGGTTGAGTTTGGGGGACTTGTGGATGAAAGTGCTAATGGATTGGTGGCTTAGGGCTCCCGTACCAGAACTTCATGCAGCCTTATGCGGCGTGGGCGACGCTGTTTATGGTTGTTATGGTGCTGTTGTTTTCGGGTATGCTCAACCTCTGCCTACTCCCCGGACGACTAGAGAGCACTCTGGTATTGACCTCGCGTAGGATTCGACGTCTTCACGACCGGAAACTTCACAGCCTCCGGCTTCCTGACGTCCTACCTCAACATTGGCATTTTTGCAGGTGCGTCAATGCAGAAATCTTACCATTGTGGCCCTCGGAACGGAAATTCATCGCTGACATCCCTCACTTAGTGCTTTACGTCTTCTTCAAGATAACCCTAAAGTCGAAAGTAGTCCCGCTAGACGAAATCGACTTCCAGTCCGAGTTTGACGCCATTGAGCAGGAGAAGGCGACCGGTGAATACGTCGTCAGGTGTGGCCAGCCGTGGTGGAAGAAGTTTATTCGTTGGTTCTAGCAGGAGTTGCAATGTGGATAGGGGAGGAATGCGCTTTTATATCGGGCGAGCCTCCAAGTGGTTGTCGGATGGTACCATACCTATACCACCTGCTACTTATTAACGTGGACATAGACAACACAAGCCTTTTTTCCACTCTCATCCTCAATCAAAGTTGGAACCACCTCGGTGTCTGTGCCTAGCTTGAAGAGGCGGGCTTGGGGACTTCAACAAAGCACCCCTAAGTAACCGCACGGCTTACTGCAAGCTGAATGGATCACTTGGTAGCGCATGCTATTTACCAGAGCCCGGGCCGATGTAACTTGAAATCACTGGCCCCATGAGGTGGCCTGTAGGAAAACTGCTGGTAGGTATGGTATCATTCAATCCCCCAGGGCGGGCCTGGTACGAACCCTATATTTCACTATGTTAGGTGAGCGTTCAATACAACCATCCATTTGTCTACAAATAGCCATGACCATATCAAGTAGCTACGGTAGGGTAGGTATTAACGCAGCCAGACATTCATCTGCCGCTTAATATCCCGCGATGAACTTCCAACCAGGAACCCATACACCCCGGGTACAACCGTCCAGCCGCCGACCTCCGTGCTCCAAATCGACAGATCCTCTTGCGACAGATCAAACCTCACAGTCGCAGTCTCATTCACGTCCAGCGCGACTTTCTCAAACCCCCGAAGCAACTTGGGCGGCTCGTCAGCGGCCTCAGGGAAACGCACGTACAGCTGCACGACCTCCTTCCCGAAGACAGGGCCCGTGTTCGTTACGGATGCTGTGACGGTGACGGCGACTTGGGTAGAGTCAGACCTCAAGTCAAGGTCGCTGTAGACCGAGAGATCCCCAATCGCAAAGCCCGTGTACGACAATCCATGCCCGAACGCAAATAACGGCGTGACATCGAACTCGTCGTACCATTTATATCCCACATACAACCCCTCGCTATACGTCGCCGTCAGATTAACGCCAGGGAACTGCGCCACGCTGGCTGTCGGGGACTCCTCACTCGCCGCCGGAAACGTAATGGGCAGTTTGCCGGAGAAGTTGACGTCTCCGAAGAGCAGCCTCGCCGTCGCCGAGCCAACCTGCTGGCCCGGGTAGAACATCTCAATTACGGCGTCGACGTTGTCAAGCCACGGCATCAGAATCGCGGCGTTGGTGTTCAGCACCACGATGGTCTTCTTGCTGTGCTGTGCAATCAGCGAAATGACCTCGTCCTGGTCACCGGGCAGTCTCAGACCAAGCGAGCTATCGAGCCCCTCGGTGTGCGCGTCGTTCACGAAGACGATGCTCACGTCGGCGGATTGTGCGGTTGCCACGGCATGCTCGTACAGACTGGGATTCTGGGCAGGGATGTTCACCCCGACTGTGATGCCGTATGTCCCCGGGTCGACGGAGTAGCCCATGCTGTAGTCGAAGCGGATGGGGATGGCGGTGCCGGACTCGAGGTCTGCGACGCCTTGCACGACGACGCCGAAGTTGCTGCCGGCCATGTCGGCGACGAGTCTCCCGCCTAGGTATAGACTGCCACCGCCGTTTCCGGAGAGTGAGAAGTGGTAGCGGCCGCTGGCGTTCGGGTGGAATGTCCCCTCGTACCGGGACGAGAAGACGTCCGGCCAGACGGCGCCGATATCAGGGGGATAAGACTGCGATGTTATGTTGTCCGCGTGGACTGTGCGGTTTGGTGCGCCGGAGAAGTCGGTTGTTGTCCAGTATGTTACGTTCAGACCCTCTGGACCGAACATGGATGAGGGGATTGTAGGGAACGCGTTGGTCCCGGGGTATGCCTCTGAATACAGGACGGTGATGTTGTCCTGCTGAGCACGAGCCCTGATGAAATCAAGCGGTTTCTGGACAACCATCGTCGTATCAAGGACAAATCCCCCATGCAGCTCCGTCACAGCCGCTTGATCCGCTGCATCAGCGCCAAACACCGCAATGACCTTTTCTTCCCCCAGCCCAAGAGGCAGCACACCCTCATTCTTCAGCAAAACAGCCCCCTCCTCCACAATCGTCTGCGCAAGATCCAAATGCTCCTGCGTTCTAGCGACACTATCAATCCCCGCAAGTCCACTAGACGGCCTATCAACGCCCCCAACCCGAAACACAGGCCTCCACAGCCTCTCAACCATATCCTCGACCCTGCTCACAGAAACAGACCCATTCCCCAGCGCATCCTCGAGCAAACCACCGAAGAAATCCGGAAACCCATACCACTCCATCCAGTCCCCGCCCGGCTGGCTATTATCCAGCCCAGCCAGCGCCGCGCGAACCGTACTCCGCTGCGCAAAGTACCAATCCGTCACCACGAACCCGTCGAATCCCCACTGCTCTTTCAGCACGTCGCTAAGAAGCCAGGAATTCTCGCACGCGTGTTGCCCATTCAGCTTGTTGTACGCACACATCACGGACCCAGCACCCGCTTCTTGAATGGCGGCTTTGAACGCCGGGAAGTAGACCTCCCGCAACACGCGTTCGTCAACAACCGCACTGACCGCGTCGAATTCCGGCGCGAGTCCGAAGCGGTTTGTTTCCTGGTTATATGCCGCGAAATGCTTCACGCATGCGATGACATTATTACCGTCTTGTATGCTTTTCGTCACAGCCACCGCCATGCGAGACGTGAGATAGGGGTCCTCGGACATACTCTCCGCGGCGCGTCCCCAGAGCGATGAGCGGATGATGTTTATCGTTGGTGCGAGGACAACGTTCCGACCTTTGGCTTTATGTTCGGCGCCCAACGCATCCCCGAACGCCTCGTTCAGGGTTGTGTCCCAGGTCGAGACTGTGAGTATTGGGGACGGGAAGGTCGTTACGTTGGCGAGATTATTCCCTACGCCTTCGGGGCCGTCGCCCATGCAGATGCCTGGCATGTTTAGATGGGGGATTGGGGGGATGTAGCCTATGCAGGCGTTTGTTTCGGCCTACCGCTAATTAGAACTAGCTTAGGTGAGGTTGGGGGGAACTGCATGTGGGAAGGGAAGGGAAGGTACGGATTTATTCCCCTGCACCATGGCCAGTTTCTCTTCGAAGGTTAGGGCCGACAGGAAGGAGTGCAGGCGGTGTTCTGGGGTGTAGGACGTGTTGAGCCATGGGTGGGTTTCTGCTGCTGCTGCTAGGGTTGGGATGGATGTGGAAAGAAGGAGGAGGAGGATGGTCCAAGCCGCTCTGCCTCTTGCAGCGGGATCAGGACTGTAACCCATGTTGTTTCCTGGTTCAGCTGGAGGGAGGCATTCAGCTAGCTGGCCTGAATGCACCTGCAACGTCTCTGCAGCTTGGACGGGGCCGTGGTTATGTACTGTGGAAACCCGTTGATCAAAGCGAGAAGTCGGTCCGGAGCTTCGATACTGTCGGTGAGCTCAGCTACCTGACTTAGGTACCCGGGTACCCCAAGATAACGGTTGAATATTTGGAGAACACGCGGTTTAGTCGCCGGCGTGGTCTGCGTAAGGCCCCGTCTACAGCCCTGATTGAATGCCGGCCATCAACCGGTGGTATGGGCCCGCCGGGGCCGGGGCAGTTGGGTAGTTCCTGCATTAGGGCTGAATCCGTCATATATGACAACTATTTATCTATTGATACCAGTATCTCTGCCGATCACGCCAGTCCGGTATCACTACATGCGAAAACTCGGTCTTGATCTATTTGTTGAGATGTTTGGAAGCATGAAGAAAGCTATCGAAAGAATACCCCCTCCTGGATACTAAACCCCGCGCTGGCAAACATGTCATCCCACTTCTCCTCGTCGAACAGGAAGCCCAGGCCCTCACTTTCCGGGTCAAATGGCGCAGGTGGACTCAGATTCGGATGCATGGACGACTGATCGCATTCGAGTTGGCTTCTGGTATTCGTAGCGTGAGTCAGAGTGTGGCCATATGTCTGGTACAGGCCAGGGCCTGCCGATAACATTGAGGATTGCCCTGATACTCGACCAGGTTGGGCGCTGATACCAAATTGGTGCACAGCTTCTGAGCGGTTTACGAGGCCTGGTCTTGTTCTGTCGAGGTCGTTATGATGCGGAATAGGAATACTGTTACGGCGGTTCATGGTTTCCTGCAGGCTCTGTTCACCAAGCTGTGGAGCAGAATGAGATTCCACTAGGGGCCTTGGGCTATGCTGTGTACGTCCATATTCAAATAGTATTTTCTCCAGAAAGCGTGCCTGGAACGCGCAACTCGAGGTTGGAGGCGCTGATAAGCCCGCGAACGTTCCGGCCGCGTCGCGAATGGCCTTCGTTGTTACTGGCTCTATTTCCTGCCGTATTGGGTGTGGAGAGGATAGGAGGAGCTTTAATGAGGGTAGCTATTTTAGCCCTGAATACTGGGTGCTGGGGTGGAACGCACGAACCTTGATGAGAAATATAGCCGCGTAAGCAGTCATAACATGGACTGAATCCTGAGCAAGATATAATAAACCCGAGGACTCGGTCACAAGCTGCATCATATCCAGGGCGCTCTGGTAGCTAAGCCAGAAGGGCTTGAGATCGAATGTCCCATCTGCGTTCCGGATACGTGTTTCCTGTAGAGGCACTGAGAAGAGCTGTAAGCGGAGGTGTGAGCCGTAGAATGTGACCAGGAATTTGTGGCAGGCGTGTTTCCGGTTTAAGCCTCCATGGCTTGATAGCGCGCTGGAGTTACTCGAGATAATCTCCAGCCACCTTTTCTGCCATGCTTGAATCCGCTGATCTATAACCCCCAGGAGACGGTCTACCCGATGTGGTGCTGTCTTCGCTGGGCTCAGTAAATCAAATGTATCCGCTGTGATCAGCCTCAGCGCCGTGAACGCAGAAAGCAACTGATCATTCGAGTTTGCAAGGCCCTCGTCATCCCTCCACCAACTCTCCGCAGCATCAATCAACTCGTTGCGCTCAATCATCCACGGCTTACCCGTTTGCAGGCTGAGACTGCGATCATACACAAACAAAACAAGAAACGTGCGCTCGATATTCCGCGCTGCTCTCTTTTGGAGCTCACTCAATCCAGACTTACGACTGGCACTCGGCGCCAATTTGTGCCATCCCATGTCGAAAGCCATCCGAATCGCAAGGCCAACCGACATCCAAGCCCTCGTGTCATTAGGCTCTTTCCAATACGTAAGCAGCAGGATGGCCTGGACGATCTCTGCGGATTTATCCCCTCGCCTGACACACTCAACGAAGAGGTTCTCTGCGTGCTCGTGGAGCGGCGGGTATAAAGCGGACTCGAAGGCCTTTGCCGCCACGGCAAGGGCGGCTGTGAGGAGGAATGGCACTTTCTGGAGGTAGCGGAATGTATGTAATAGCGGGTCGAGCTGGCTGATATAGGGGTTTATCTTGCCCATGAAGTATTCGTGGAGGTGCGTGGCCACATGCATGTTGATTAGGCCAAGGGCTATGGGGTCTTCTTGGGAAACAGCTGGAGGTTGTGGCTGTGGCTGTGATTGTTCATCGGACGGTTGCTCACCATCAAGACCTGCAGCTTGCGTATCTGGCGAAGTGCCAGGGCCATGGTCTACGCTGAGGATATTCTGCAGCGAGAACTTCCCCTGCATGGCTTGGTGGCTCAACAGACCATGTGGTTGGAAGCCATCGGATTCAGCCCAGAAATCAGTTGGGCTGGGTTGGACTTCTTGGACGGTGCTCGCGCCATGTTCTGGTCTGCGCTGCTTTCTCGCTAATCTTAATTCAGGGTGTCAGCAGTTGTCGCTATGATTTGCTGGCCGAGGTCGATGAGGCATACCGCATCCCAGGCCTCCTCCCCCGGCAGTGCTCGCGGAAGACACATGTCAATGCCTTGCGAAGACAGCGATCGCACCTTTCACTTTCCGTACTGGTCACGCATTTCATCTTCACCTTGCGGCAGGAAAGGCATGCGTTGATACTGGGTGGCATCTTCAACCTCGACAACGTGGGTCAACCGGCACCAAACGACAAGGTGGATAGGACAGAGACGGGTCACCGAGCTCACTGGCACCGGGGCTCGGTGAAGAGCTGGCCGGGCTTATCGCAGTTCATTTGCTGTGGAGAAGTTGGAGAAGCTGGAGTTGGAGTCACCGGCGATTTACGGGTTAATGCAGCGCATTATAGAACGCCGGTGCTAGTAATGGCCACCGGATAACCAACATGGCCTTATTATTTACCGGTATCAGCTGCCCCGGCCTACCTTGATAAGCTCGGGATCTCTAAATCATCTGCATCTACATCACAATCCAGGACGGCCATCTGTCAAGTACTAAGCGTGAGTTACTGAGAATAGGAGAAGCAGCACAATGACAACCACCAAACCAAAGGCCAAAACGGCCCACGTCAACATGATGACCGACACGATAATCGGCAACCTGCCGCTTGACGGGTTACAGAGCATAATGCGCAATCTCCTTACGACACAGCCAGGCTTGACACCGATTTTCGAAGAGCAGACGCGGAATTATCTATATGAGACAGCGCACAAGCTCAGCAGGGCTGCAAACAGTGCCCTGGATACAGAGGCCTTCTTTGCAAGCTTGAGAAAGCGCATCTGTTGTATGGTGGGGTGTGGACTGTGCTATCAAGCTTTGCCGTTGTTACATGAAGTTGTTGAGAGAGTTGCATCGTTGAATGCCATTGAAGCAGAGGAGTATCGAGGTGAAATTGCGGCCGTTGACGGTGATATTGTGCAAGCTCTTACTGCAATCCAGAAGACATTGCTTGTGCCAACAGGGTCTCGAGACCTGACGGACGAAGAAGCACGGCCACTCCAAGACCTCCGAAGTGCACTGCTAGCATGCCGTGAATCCTACCACACCAAGGGACAGGCGTTTCTATTAGAGCGAGGCCTCGATGCCACAATCCAACTGCTTGACCCTTCAGCTACTTCACAAACAACGACCACTGTCCAATCGACCCTTCCACCCGAGCTCCCGCCTACTCCCATCACCGAATCATTCACCCTGAACGACACCATCCAGCTCCCCCGTATCTTCACCGGGCTGTGGCAACTCTCCAGCCCAGCTTGGGGCTCAGCATCGCGCTCAAAGATGATGGAGCAATTCTCCAGTTATGTCAGCCGTGGCTTCACGGCGTTCGATATGGCGGATCACTATGGGGACGCGGAGATTATCTTCGTACGTCCGACACATCCTTCTCGATTGTGCTGTGCATGATGAGTAACTGACAAAGTGCTAGGGCCGATATCGTTCATCAAGCGCATACTCCAACTCAATGTTCGCCGCGACGAAGTACTGCGTCTTCCACCCCATGGCCGTGTCCGAGGAAGCCGTGCGCGCGAATGTCACGGAAAGGTGTCGAAGACTGAATATGGAGAAGATTGATTTGCTGCAGTTTCATTGGCAGTTTGTATGTTCTCCTGCTTCCAAGTAATACTCTGCGCACCTGACGATAAAATGATAGTACGACGACGACCAATACATCCAAGCCCTGCAATACCTCCAGCAAGACGAGCGGGTCAAGCTCTTAGGGCTATGCAACTTCGACACAGAACACATGCAGCGAGTCGTCGAGAGCGGCGTCAAAGTCGTCAGCAACCAGGTTCAGGTGCGTTCACATCCAACAATCTACAATCAGCCGCTGATCGACCCGTCAGTTCTCCCTAATCGACTCCCGCCCAACCCTCAAAATGGCCGAGTTCTGTCTAAAACACAACATCAAGCTCCTCACCTACGGGACCCTCTGTGGCGGCCTCCTAGCAGAGAGGTGGCTGGGTCAGGATCCGCCAGATCTCTACAGTGATAAGACGACGCCGAGTCAGCGCAAGGTACGCCGTGCAACCACCCAACTTACTCTCTCACCATTACCTAGATATGCAAGAGCTAAACGTTGTGTAGTACTACGCCTCCATCCGCACCTGGGGCGGGTGGCCCCTCTTCCAGGACCTACTCCGGGTCCTGAAGACAATCGGCACCAAGCACGGCGTTAGTATCTCGAATGTTGCGACGCGGTGGGTTCTCGATTTCCCCTACGTCGGGGCGGTCATTGTCGGTTGTCGGATGGGGGTTTCGGAGCAGAGTGCTGAGAATCTGGGCAGTTTGAGCTGGAGCCTTGATGAGCAGGATCGGGGGGCTATTGAGGGTGTGCTGTGCCGGAGTGAGCGCGTGGCGATGTTTGAGGGGATGGGGGATTGTGGGGGGGAGTATCGGTAGTAGGAACCCTATCCCATGTAGCAATCATTCATGGTGCAATCCATCCTTACAATGTCTGCTGGCCAGTCCTGTTAGCTCGCTTCATCTTTAGGCTTAATAGGAGCAAAGCCTGCTGAAGCACTCATGTGCTGCCGGTGCAAGCCCTAACTCCCGACCCGGACGACGAACCCTGCATAATCTACAATATATCACAATATCAATCAAAGGTCTTCCATAATACAGAGTCTAACACATTGACTCAACAATGCCCCAAAGCATCGTCCATCAAGGCAACTCATGCCGATTACTCACCCCCCCATCCTGCAACTCCGCGCGCATCGAATGCACCGGCGCCTCCATCTCCACAACCGGAACGCCCTGTAACCCAGGCATATCCGTCTTATCCTTATCCTGGACAGTCTTCGTCCCGTCCTGAACTGGCGGCGATACATCCCCACCAGCAACGCCTGAACTGACTTGCTGCAGGTGCTTTCTCTTCCGCCTAAGAACGAACCAAACTAGGGCTAGGATCGCAGCAAGCCCTGCGACCCCGCCAACGACCACGCCTGCAATGGCGCCGGTGTTGGTACCGGACTCGCCATCTGGAGCGTCACTTGTGGGATCGTCTGATGGGGACGACGGGGCGGACGAGCCGCTCACCCGTAGCTGAAGGATCGAAGCGAGCGTTGGGTCTGCGAATCCAGCGGCCGGGATGGTTTTCGTTGCGCCGCCGGTGGAACTAGACACCTGGTTAGCGTTTACGTCCTTCAAAGGCCCCCGCCGGGGGAGGGGCATCCATGTAGGTATCGATTTGGTCGGGAAGGACTTACTCCCCCCCAATATCGCGATAGATCACCGGCGACACCTCGTACGTCGCACTGGTATGGTATCCAAACTGGCGCGCCACTCGTAGCTGGACAGATCCAGCACACGCACCGGATGATACACCTCCCCATCCTCATCACCCTCCCCATCCCCATCCCCACTCACACTCCCACCGCACGCCCCATTCTCCACATACCTTCCACCAGAGTGTACATCACCCCAAGCACCACCATCTGCGCCCCATCCCCCCGTAAGCCGTACACGCACTACCCAGCGCATCCCGTCCAATCTCCCGATCACCACCCTCATCCATCTCGCCATTCGTCACCCTCGCAACATCACTCGCGTCAATCCACTCGAACGCCGGGATCGCCAGCACATGTACGTCCTCGTAGCTGCGGCCATCGCGCCGGCTCCACCCGCCGTACGCGGTGATGTGGAACGCAGACCCGTCCGGGGCCGTCGAGAGCACACCCTGCAGCGCAGAAGGAGACGCGGTTGGTAGGCGCGGAGCCGGACGCGCGCTGCGCGTACCAGGTGTGGTGCGCGATGTCGTAGAGGTGGATTACCCTATCTGCCAGTCGGCTTCGATAGGCGGGTTTGCATTCTGGGCTAGCGTTGCGGTGATCGTGATCTGACAGTTCGGTTGAATGTGAGCCAGCTGAGTTCGTGAGGTTGGCAAGGGCATGTACCCTAGGTTAGGTTAGGTAGATAAGGAGAGGCTTACATTCCTACCCCCAACGACAACGAGCATTCCCGCCTCGGCTGCGGGGATATAGACCATCGCGGCGCCGTGCAGATTTGTGACGTCGACGCCGTACGAGCCGTTGGTTAGCGTGTCGTTTGTCCAGGAGAGATTATTCGGGTCTGAGGCGTCGAAGCGGATCAGTCCGCCCATGTGCGGGGACTGCCCGCCGGCGGGTGTGCTTCTGGGGCGCTTGCGAAGGAGGCGGATTCGCGGCGGCCGATGTTCAGAGCGCCACCGGAGACGTCGACGTCGGTCCATTGTCTTGTTGTGGTGTTGTAGCGCGAGATCCGGTTCGCTGCTGTGGAGGATAGGCTGGAGCACACCCGCCGAACGCGTAGATCGTGTCGTTGAATGTCCACAGGGCGCCGTCGGAGTCGCCGCCGTTTGAGTCTGCGGTGCTTTCGTACGCGAGTGTTTCGGAGGGGATTGTGGTTGAGTTGAGGAGGGAGGATGGGATGGGTGCTTCGACGGGGAAGGATGGGAGCTGTTTAGGGTGAGGTGGTAGAGGGATGGGGCTGGGTTGAGCGTCAGCACTCGGCTCGACTCATGGTGTTTGAAGATGGAGGGCAGGGTGTATAGGTGTACGGACAGGGTTCGACTTGGACATCCTGCCCACCAGCTGTTATGGTGCTGTAGTTGCCGCCCAGGAAGTACAGCCGGTCGTTCACAATTGTGCCTACGCCGAATGTTAAGCCATTGACTCTACAGCATCAGGTATGCCAGCGTCGGTCGCATACTTTTCGTCCCACTTAAATAGCAAATGTCGCCCTCGGCGCCGAATGCGCCATTCACGAAGCTGAGTCCTACAGCAACTGCGAACCACGTCCGGGGCATCATGGCGACACGGCGTGGAAAGGTCCCCGGGGCAAAGACAGGGAAAGCCCCGCGATTTGAGGATTCAGGACATTTAAGGATACCGTACGCAGCCCTTGCAAGGTGCCCTTGGCAGAGCGGGAGGCTGTGTGGCGTGCCAACAGCCCGAGGAGCCGCTAACATGCAGGACGCTGCCGTTCAGGGTGTGGACGAAGAAGATCCTCGAAAGCCAAGTACTAGGTAGTTGCAACCCTAAACTATGTTCGGTGTCATGGCGCGCTGCTAGCCCAGACGCTTGTCCAACGCCGAATCCTGGGGTATGTATGACGCATGCCATGCCAGGGGAGGCATTTTCACACCTGGCTTGAGGGGCATGTTACCTATTGGATTCTGGATGTCTGTATCCAGTAAGCGGTCCCAAAAGACGACTGGGGTATTCGCCTAATTACGGTTACACGTAGGCAGTTATATTCCCACTTGAGTTCTCGTAGACTGGGAGGCAGTGTCCGCAGCTATCTACATGGTCGCCGCGGGCGCTGACTGTATATAATCTTAAGGTTGGCCGTTAGAAGACTGATCATCAGGGTCCAGGTATTCGTTCAATAAATGTTCATATAAAACAGTGGTCACCTTTGTATGCCGAGTAGAAAGTGGGATCGTATTGAGATAAACCTAAACAAACACCACAACGCTGCATGCAACAACACTCTTCTGAGAACCATTCTGGGCCTCTAAATCCCGGACCTTGTACAGTACTACTGCACAAGTCCCGTTCTAATCACCATCCACCATCTGCACCCAGACTCAATCACGCAAGCCCACTAACTTTGCATGTCTCCGGACTAACCAATGCTGGGGCCCAGTTAATATATCTTTGTCTTCAAGGCCTAGGCGCTCCTACACCAGGGCGGAGGGAAGGGGAGCTGCTCACGCCATATGATTACCTAGTTGTCTAAGAAACATTCTCCGTCATGTGGAAACTAGGACGTCGCGCACGAGGCTTCTGCCCACCTCAACGGCGCGTAGGAGGAGGCATTCCGGACAATTCCAGACCTAAGGTAACAATCGGGGCCAGTTGGATGTCTATCACCTGGTCTTCCTAGCTTTTCTGCAACATTGCTTCATTGGAAAGTGGGTCTCTGAGCTCCCGACCGCGCAGAAGAGCGCGCTGGTGCTGCGCCGCGTGGCTGAGGGGGCAGCTGGTTGAGTGTGCGCGGGCGTATATCCTTACTAGTTACGGGCATGAGGCGGTTTATCGGGATGGGGGTGGCAGGTGGGTTGGTAGGGCGCAGGTTAGTGAGGAGCTGAGAGGGGAGAAGGAGGGGCAGGAGGGGCTTACGCGGGATTTGCGGGCGGGTGGGGAGTGTTTGTCGGGGGTATATTGTTCTTGCTGTTATGGGAGGGCGCATTATGGTGCGGAGGAAACGTAGTCTGCTTGTGGATGTGGTGAGGTTGACTTAAGGTTGCAGGGTGGGAGGGACGTTGTTCACTTGTGTTCGGGGTAGGGTTTGGTTCGGACGGGGACCTTCGATGGCGAGGGCATGTTTGCTTTGGTGTTTCTTTTTAGGCCCGGATTTAGGTAGGTAATGTATCTATCTCTTAGGGTACTTGACTTGACACCGGCTCTGCTTTGCCCACGTAGACTGGGGATCATATGGATATGGATGGGCTTCTATCTTGTGGCTGGTTGATTGATTTGCAGTACTTTAGGACTGCAATTTAAAAGTTAGTTGCGGGAATAACTAGGTTAACAAATTTTAATTAAGCAAGCTTTACCGTTTTTAATTAGCTACCCCCTTTTAACTAATCTTATAAATAACTACTTAAAGCTAAAGTAATATTATATAAACTACGTGTTTTTACTTTAAATTAGCTTGCCTTTTTACACGTGACCCGCAACCCTTTTAACACTAGTTTATTTTTAAATAATTTAAAACTTATTATTATAACCCCGCTATTTACACCTTTATTATTTATATTTTTTTTTATAAAATTATTTTTATTAATAAACCTTTTTTATAATTATATTTATTAAATATATATATTTTTTTACACACCTGTGGCTAGGTATTTTTTATTATAAATTTTTTTATTATACTAGCTAATAAAATTTACTTATAATATAATAAGCTTAAGTTTATATTAAAATTTATTTTAGCTAAGTATATATTAAAACTTACTATATAATATTAAAAATATTAAAATATAATAAAATAAATTATATATATATTTATTATTTTATAATTATAAATATTAATTTTATTTATTTTTTTTCTAGCGGCTTGCAAAAGTTTAATTTATTATAATTAATTAACTTACTTTAATACTTTAGTTTATATTAATAATAATAAAATAATATAATATTAAGGCTATTTTACCTAATTTTTTAGCTATTACTTATTTAAACTTTATAGCACTAACTACTACCTTATTAAATTATATAATTTTTATTTAATAAATTACTTTGCCTCCGCGGGCAGCTAGCTATTTTTAAGGTTTTTTTATTTTTTATTATTAAGGTATTTATAATTTAAATATAAAATTAATAGCTTTAGCTTATAGAAAGTAAGTAATTATTTATAAAAAATATAAAATTATTAATTATATTAAAAAGGCTTATTTAGCTACCTTTATATTATTTTAATTAATTACTTTTATAAGTATAAGTAATAAAGGCATGGCTTTACTAACTAGGATTTTTTTACTAGTTTTTTTATTAATAACTTTTTTTTTAATTACTTTAATACTAGAACCTTTTACTTTAATATTAAATTTTTTTTTATTTTTAGCACCTGCGCGAATAACTTCTTTTTTAATTACTTTAATATTAAAAACTTTTATTTTAATACTAGATTTTTTTTTATTTTTAGTACCTGCGTGAACGCCCTTATTTTAATATAAGTTTATTTAATTTAAAATATTTATTATAAGTACTTTAAGCATATTTAGTACGCCATGTAATACCTTACTTAAACCTAAATATAAACTTAAATTTAAAATTAAACTTACTATTAAAATAAACCTTATTATTAATATTTAGGATTTTAAGCTACTAGCTAGGTTAAAATATTTAAAAAAACTGTTTTAAAGCCTAAGTTTAAAATTAATAATAAGTAATTTTATTTTAAATAATAAGGCTATAAATTAATGTATTTACATAAACTATACTAGGTTAATTTAACTTTTAATATTAATATTTTTTTTTAAAGTAAAATATATCTTTTTTAAAGCACGAGATGTATTTATAAAGTTTTAAAATATTTATATATTTATACTTAATTTAAAGCCTAGGCAGGAGTTTAACCTAGTAAATAAGTATTTTATAATATTTTTATTTTTAAAAAATTAGTATAATATAGTTACTTATTTATTTATAATTTTAAATTATATATAAAAATACTAATGCTTTAAAGCATATTACCTTAAAAAATAAAAAAAAATTTAAAAAGGTTTATTATTATTTTTATTATTTTATATTATATACTAAAAATATATTTTTAGCTAAGCCTTTTTAAGTATTTTATTACTGGCTATATTTTAAATATAATAATTTATATTTAAATTATTATAACTAGTTAATATTTATAAGTTAGCTAGTAAATATAAATATAGTACCTTGCACAAGCGCTCGCGTAATAATAAATTATATTATTAAATATATTATAAAGGTAAAAATAAAAACCATGTTATATAAAAATATAATAATAAAGTTAATTTTATATTTAAATTTAAATAATCCCCTTTTTTTTATTATAATAAAATTAATAAATAAATTAATTTTTAAGCGGGATTAATTAGCGCAAGAAATTTATTATTTTTTACTTTATTTACCTTTAACGCAGGGGTTATAAATAGTTACTTATATTAATTATTATTTAAAGAATTAACAAGAATAGTTATTTACTATTAATTAGGCTAATAATAATAATTTAAAGGCTAATAGTACTTTTAAAAAAGGCCTTTTTTTTATTATTAAATATAAATAGCGCCTAGATAAGTATAAAAATATTACTTTTTTAAATTTTTTTTTAAATTATAAGTATAGGAGTGTGGTTAAAATATATTTTTAATATTAAAAAAGGCACGTATCTTAAATTACTTTTTTAAGTATTTTATTAATTAAATTAAAAATCTAGCATGTGTAAAGCTAATGCTTTATTACTAGTTTTAAAATATTAATAATTTAAAAATTATTAAAAATATTAAGTATTTAACTTTTTATAACATGTATATTATTTACTAAAAAGCCTATAATTATTTAAATAATTTTTATTATATTTTTATTACTTTAGCTTTAGATAAGAATAATAATAATAATTTTAAGTAAATAAATAAAAAAAAGTAAAAAGCATGGGTTAAGCTTGCTATATAACTTTTAAAAAATAATTTTATATATTTTAAAAATCCTAATTTACTTAAAAATCGCGATATTAATTACTTTTATAACTAAAATATTTATATTAATAAATATCCTAAAATTATAATAAAACGCGAATAATAAAATAATACTAAAATAATATTTTTAGTTACTATATTACTATATTTTAAAATATTAATTTAAAAATTAAAGGTTAAGCAGCAGGACCTATATAATTTTATAATTAAGTATTATTAATTTATTTTTACTAGTAACTTTCCGCGCTTTATTTAAGTTAACTTAAATAATTAAATAGGAATTAATAAAATACATGTAATTAAACTAATATTTATATATTTATAAAATATAGCCATGGCTACTAGCTAAAAAATATTAATTATTTATATTATTTTAATTAAAGTTACTATAAATATTATATTAAGGTATATTTTACACGCACTTTTTTATTTTTTAGTTAATATTTAATAAAAATATTAGGTATTAAATCCGTAAAACTTACGCGTGCTTTAAAGTTTTTTTTTAATATATATTATTTTATTATTAATAAAAAGTTTATGCTTAGGTTACCATGCATGCAGTAAATTAATTAACACTATTATAAAATATTTTTTATTATTAATAATAATTTTAAAAAAATTAGTTT